AAAATTCTTCTGGAGCATACCAATATATGTCATAATAGAATATTTATGGTACAATTACGCTGCATTCTTTCAACTATTTGGTATAGGTTGGAGAATTCGAATTCAGGCTCTTGCTGCACCAACTTATGATTTGAATACGATAAACTTTTTCACCCATCAGATGGGAGTTTTCTTTCACATTGAATGATACGATCTTTTCTGTTATGTCACATTTGCCATACTGATACTATGCTTTAGTCTAATGTAGCACAACTCTGGGGCCATTTTGCAATCAAAACTACACCATTATTACATCCGGCATATAATCGTATCGATATAAGATTCTTCAGTTGATGAGCCGTATATATAGATACTTCCCATACTACCACTGGATCTCCAATGATAGAAGTATTAGCCAACGATAGACTAGGTAAAAAAATCAAGGTTAAATGTATGCCTACCGATACAATAGGTGATTTAAAGAAAATAATATCACTACAAATAGGTACATCATATGAGAAACTCGTACTAAAGAAAGGATACCAGGTTTATAAAGATCATATCACTTTGGATGACTATGAAGTTCACAATGGATTTAATTTTGAATTATATTACAGTTGATAAACTATTTTCAAGTAGAATATAGATCCAATTGATATAAATACTAAAATACAAAGAAAGAAATAAGATGATGAAATGTAGACATGAGTTATGCATTGTAAATACAAGGGAGATATTTCGTTATATGAAGAGGTCATAAAAAGTATTCTACATGTTGCTGTGTTCGAGGCCTTCCGTTATAGAAGTCGCCAAACGAATCGTTGCCATTGATCCAGTCTCCATTCACACCTTTCCCACTAATTGTATCCTCATCATTTTCTGGAGATGCATCGAAGACATTGAAGAACTGGCCAGGCAATACACCATTTATTACTCCTAAACCCTTATCATAGGGGTCCTTCTCGCTATTGTTACTATTATTGTTCTTACTCTGGTAATTTGAATGGAGAACTTCTAATACACTCGCCTTATTTCCACACCTGTAGCAATAGTTCGGAGCCGACCACACCGTTAAGCATTTTCCTTTCCAGTAGCTTACATATCCTTCGTTGCATAATTGATGAGCCCGAACCAATTGAACCAAATCATTATCGTTGCAAAACTTTTCTATAACATCAAACCCGAATAGGTATCCTGCTCCTCTTGGTGATAACTTGAAGTCCATAATTTCTGGATCTGGATCTGACCAGACCAAATCGGCCATTATTCCATCATGGGGTATTTCTTTGAATCTATCAATTGCTCTAACCTGATCTAATTGTTGACAGCTTGGTGACAAGCCTCCATGAGTGGTGAAAATTTTTCCATCTATCGTTGCTCCTAGGGGCAAATAATCAAATAAATCTGTAATATACAACCAAACATCTACGGATCCACCGTATTTATTCAAAACTTCTGAATAGAAACCGTAATTAGTAGTAATAGTTCTCGATTCGTGGTTTCCTCGTATTAAAGAAACTCTATCTGGATATCGAAGTTTCAATACTATTAATAATAGTATAGTCTCCACCGAATAATAACCTCTGTCCACATAATCACCGAGAAATAAATAGTTCGTGTTGGGCGGTGATCCGCCAATTTGAAAAATTTCCAATAAATCGTGGTATTGTCCGTGTATGTCGCCTACTATAGTTACCGGCGATTGTAGTTGCATGATATTGGGTACTGACAATAGTTGTATCTTCAATGTATGGCATAATTGCTGGATGCTTTCAGGTGGTAATAATTTAGGTGGTTTATGTTCAAATAATTGCACTAAGCAATAATCTAGATCAGTGGTGGGTATAGAAAAGGATTCTGTCATTATTCATTAGTTGATTATTACACTATTCTATTGGCTATTGAATCGCTTATTCAAATACCCTAAGTCAAGGTATCGGTAAGTAGTGATTTATTTGTTTAAGTACTACTGGATTATAAATTTTATTTACTGTTTGATAAGATCACACGCGGAAACAGAATTTTTCACTTAGATATTGTTCTATACTATAAATGTATTATACATACCATTAACGATATACCATTAAGATTGTGAGATAGTAGACTTTGGATCTTTACATAAATCATCAATAGATTTGCTTAAAACATCTAAACCTTCTTCAATGACTTCGTTAGGAATGTTCAAAGCTGGAACGATTCTTAAAACATTCATACCAGCACTGATAACCAATAAACCATTTTCTCTACATTTAGCGACAACATCACCAACATCCAAGTTACCCTTGAGTTGAAGTCCTAATAATAAACCTTTCCCCTTAACTTCATCGATGTGATCAGGATATTTGTTAGCAATCTTTGATAAACCTTTAGTGAATTTTTCAGATTTTTCTTCAACTTCTGACAAAAATTCTTTGTCACTCACTTGATCAACGACGTAAGATCCAATTTTACATCCAAGTGGGTTACCACCGTAGGTTGTACCATGGTCCCCAACCTTCAAAACCTTTTCAATATTTTCTGAAACCATTACTGCACCGATTGGGAAACCATTTCCTAAAGCCTTAGCCATAGTCAAAATATCAGGATGCGCTTCTTCTGGTAAGTCAGAATGTGCCCATAACTTTCCAGAACGGCCCAAACCACATTGAATCTCGTCATAAATTAATACAACATCATTTTCGACACATAATTTCTTTAAAGACACTAAAAATTCTGGGTCAATGGTATTGACACCACCTTCACCCTGAACTGGTTCTATAATGACAGCACATGTCTTTTCCTTGCTGATAAGGTCTTTGACACTAGCTATATCATTAGGCTGTGCAACCTTTACCCCTGGGACCAAAGGAGCGAAAGGTTTTTGGTATTTTTCATTAGCTGTGACCGATAATGCACCCATAGTTCTTCCGTGGAAGGAATTGGTAAAACTGATGATTTCATATTTGTCATCACTAAAGCTCTTACCATACTTTCTAGCAAATTTTAAAGCTGCTTCATTCGCCTCCGTACCCGAATTACATAAGAACACTCTCTGAGCATCTTTCATACCACCAGAAGTGATAGTTTTGGTAACTAATTTATTAGCTAATTCACCAGCATATAAATTATGGTAGAGATTGGAACAATGCATCAATGTGGAGGCTTGATCTGAAATGATCTCAGAAATTTTACTATGAGAATGGCCCAAACAAGTGACAGCAATACCAGCACAGAAATCAATATATTGTCTGTTTTCTAAATCATACATATGCGATCCCTTTCCGTGGGTCATCACAACATTAGGACGAGCATATGTTGTCACTGTGAACGGTTTAGTTATAGTGTTAATGTATTGCCCCGTATGGGAATCTTCTGATGCATCTGGGATTGATGTTTTGTTCAACAAACTTTGTGTAGTAGAAAACTGCTTAGCGACGCAAGAAGCAAGGCCAGGAATTCTCTTATTGCTATCTTTACGTAATGATCTTGGAATATATCTAAGCATTATTACAGGAAGATTTGCTATTATTCTTTTCGAATATGGATATCCTGATAAAATATATAAAATTCATCAAAAGATTTTACATCGCGGTTGACTCACAAAAATCCTCGAAATTACTTGATCGGGTAATTCTTATTAAAATATGTACTATATGCTTAGATGACTGCTCTGCAGACTAATACCTATTGATATCAATAGTAACCTCTATCTTATTGGTTCTGACACTATGATCCACTCTCTCAACGGAGTACTGAATAATTCTATTAATTTCAAATCTTAATCTTGACTCATCATCCGGATTACCACCTTTCATAGTTATCTTCAAACCAACAACATACAATTCATAATTGAATTTAGATATGAATAGCTTCTCAATATTGTATGAAGTTTTATAACAGTCAAGGCTTAATATTTTATCGATTATTGATGATTTCAAGACATGATAATCGTAGTCAGAGTAAGGATATGACAATAACAATACACCACCCAATAATTTTACTAGCTTCCATCCACTGTAACATAATAATAGAGCAATAACTAAGGTAGTAGCTTCATCTATATCTATGTTAATTTGTGAAATTATGCTGGATGGGAGTAATGGGACGGCCATTAAACAAATGGAATACGTTAATGTCAATAAATGAGTGGGATTTTTGGCCATAATGTTGGCAAACTTTTGCAAGCCCTGTAAACTTAAAGGCTTTGCTTCTGATTCAATTTTCTTCATTTCTCTGTCCAAAAGACCCCCTTTCGGTTTACGGTTTGATCCAACTAAAGTAGCATTTTCATCAGACGACGATATCATTTCACTAATTCTATCGTAGGCTAAAATATACCTAGAAGTTATTAGAGTTACAACTATAGTAACAACTAAGATCAATTCATATATAAACCAATTAGCCAGATGTCCATGTTCTCCATGGATATGATGTGACAGGTGCTGTTCGCCATCATGCTCAACTGAGGTATCTTTTACCACCACAGAAATGACAAATTCCTCTAAGGAATGACTAATTAAATCACAGCCAACCATGATCAAAGATGCACTCAATGCAAAACCAACCAAGACTTCTAGGCGTCCCAATCCAAATGGGTACGCTATGGATGAATTATTCCAAACTTCAAAGTTAGACATGATATCTACAAACACGATAACCAAAGTTCCCAACGAATCGTAGAAAATCAAATGAGCCAAAGTTGACAACGAAGGTAATTTAAACTTAAAACCAACTAGAAAGACAACTAACGATAAAGTTAAATGACAAAATGACCATAATAATTTAGATTTTTGACTAGGTTTAATGGATGCAAGTGATTCTTTGAAGGTTGGAATTGGATACAGATCAGCAATAGTTAGTAATTCATTATCTGCATTCACAGCTGGTGGAGGCTCCTGAAATAAATTCATAGAAACAGAGGAATGCTTGTATTTATGTCCTTTTCTATGCGCGGGCTTTACCAGCAATGTCTGGGGACCATTATTCATAAGTTCTTGTGGCTGAAAATTAAAAGGCAGGTAGTTCTTACTAGGAGATGATGATCGACGAACAGGAGACTTTGATCTGTATGAACGTGCCGATCTTGTAGGAGACGACGATCTTGTGGGTGACGAAGATCTTGATGACGACAGAGGAGCAATCGGAGGAACAATTGTAGGCGGGGGTAAGTAGTTGTTCTTAGTAGTAGCGAGGTGAATAGAATTTCTGGCCCGCGGAGTATTCAATGCTGATTGTACTGGGCTACCATCCTCTGAAATTGGATAATGATTGGAATCCATCATAAATATGGCCGACTTGGGCCTAGCTCTTCCTGAATTAGAATTTGATCTTATATGCGATGAAGCTGATGGCTGCAATATAGGTGAGTTGGTCAACGATGAATTCGAATATCTTCTTTCATTAAAGTTAGGACCATTAGTCGTAGGACTTAAACATGCACTTGGCGTACCACCACCAAATGGATTGAACACAGAATTATTGGTGTCAGGTAATGAATCAGATGAAAAATTAGCACTAGCTAAAAACCTCAAATCTGGTGGCTTGGAGATCCCAGTTTTAGTTTCCTTCGTTGCTTCCCCTTTGTTTATAGAATCAGAGTGGAATTTAGGTGATTCCATTAGTCTCGAATTGGAATTGGAATCTATACTTGAAATTTCATCATCTTCTTCTTCATCTACTCGATTATATGAAATTGAGTTTCGATCCATATTACAGGTATGGCCCTAAGTATCAGATAAGTAAGCTTTCAATAAAAATTGTTGGAAAATTGTCTAATTAATTATTGACGTTGCTAGTGATTATCTACGTGTAAGTTCGAGTAAACATATGTGCGTTGCGAACAATGAAATTTTATCAGGCACAAAATCTTCTATTCACTATATACACTGTAAAGGTTATGGAGGATTCTCCTTGGTTGTGAATGAATCAAAAAGCAGTAAATTGATACAACCATTATTTAGTTCGATACCAGTATCTTCTAATAGTTCGTAACTTTTTAATTTAAACCTCTTAGAGACATTCTGTTGAGTCTCGTTCAAGATATCAAATGCACTGCTAAGAGCCTCACGTCTTGACGGAAGCAATATCAAATTACTGTCATTTAAAGCATGTATATCACCCCCTTTATGTAATTCAGACTTCTCTAACATAAGAGCACACAGTATTTTTGAATTGTCTGTATACTTTCTTAATGGATATGAAATGTTAGGCTCTGAAAGATTGAAAACAGACGATAAATTTGGAATATTAGATAGGTTCAGTACCCCAAAGTACTTAGAATTAGTACTTCCCACATCTGTAGCATCAGGGTTGGATCTTGATACATGATCATTTGGTGGGCTATTCTGTTGATGACTGGAAGTGACATCAATAGTCATATCATCGGCAAGGTTATTGTCTGTGTTAAGAGTCATCGACAGAGTAATTGAACTCTTCATTAACAATAACAAGTCATACAACAAAATTCTTAACTTCTCATTGTTGGAGCATAAGAATTTTGATTCAAGCAATGCAATTAAGTTTTTTATGAAATTAAAGTTCTGTCCATCTTGTTCAATAATGATTGAAGTCAACGAAAGCTTGTGAATAATTAGAATCCTCAAAAAAATTGAAATTGTGTTATATACATCCTTTCTACTATCACCAATTATGTCCAAATTTGCCAATTGCAACAACTTTTGTAAGAACTTTGATAAATCGTTAAAAACTTCAGTAGAAGTAGTAACTGTATTTAAGGACGAAACCGAAAATTTCTTAAAGTAGTCTTTCAATATCGATAGGAGGTCTGTTTTCCCATCACTACTTGTTAAATAAACCCTATTATTGTCCAAGCTGTCATTGGAAACATCAAACTCTGTGTTGCACAAAAAATTATGCTCCAAGATAAATAGAATATTTAACTTATGTTCCCACGAAAGGAAATTGAAGAGTTCTCCGAAGAACGAATTATTAGAGACGAAGTGAAATGTCAAATTATTCAATAACACATCAAGCATGCATCTCAACCTCTCTATTGATTTATCCCTATTTGAGTCATGTACTTCATTTATAACAATGATTTTAATTAAGATTTGGCATACCGGCAAGTTGAACTCGTTAATTATAGAAGCTAATCTTGGTAAATCACTGCTACTCCCAATAGGTTCCTCCGTTATGTATACAAGAAAATTAAGGAATGAAATAATATCTGAGTTAGAAACCACTTTTAAAAGACCATCCATAAAAAGCCTAGTATTAGATATGCAAAACTGTCTAAAAAAGCTTAAAACATCACCATTGTATTCCCTTAAAGCGTAAGAATCAAAAACTGTATTAGTTTCCTTTGAGAAGCTATCCAACAACATAATAAATATATCATTAGAGTGACGTTTAACATATAAATAACGGATGCAACCTAATGCCAAAACTTGGTCATTGAATAGATTTTTGCTATCGCTTTCTTGATCTCCGAAAAGCAATTCATAAATGACACTATCAATTTTTTCATTTGACAATTGTAAAGCCAATGTATACCTTAGGTTCAGAAGTAATTCGTGCGGTTGATAAACTTCGAAGTATAATAGCTTTTTGAATAGCGTGGTTATCTTTTCAATATCAGACTCTGCTCTAACCAAATCACATATGACTTGTTTCATGATGTCGAAGAATCTACCTCCGGTCGTTAATTCTAAGACTTTTTTAGAATTTATCAACAACCTCATGCATATATTCTCATGCAATTCATTAAATTTTCCAATATTCTTAAAATAATATCCCAATATAAAGTTTATTGACTCTTCAGATCTTGAGGCTTCAGTGAATACTTCAATACTAATATTAAGTTGAAGTGTACTAATGAATTCTGTAATATCGGTATTATTCAAAAGTTTAATAGGAGCTTCCAATAGCAAATCTAAGTCGTTTCTGAAGTCTGTGGCCGAGTAACTATCGTTATTCTTTTGTAATGCACTGCTGTTTGCGTGAATTCTCATTGGAGAATCAACAGTTTCTTTAGCAAAGAGCAATTGGTTAAAATTCTTCGATTTTGATACATTATCATGATTATCGTCGGAACTTTTATCATATGTGCGATCAATTTTTTCAACTGCATTATCTATGAAATACCAAACATCACTGAAGTTATAGTAGTCATTATCTCTGGTCAGCAAATCTTTATAGTTGAGGATAATTAATTTGAAAAGTTCGTATCCGGTAGTAGTAGACTCATAGCTTTTTCCAGCTATAAATTTAACCAACTTGAAATGTCTTATAATCAATTTGCTAATTAAATATAGCGAATCCATGTAACAAATTATCACTTTCCCTTCATTTCTTAAAATAAACTTTACCAAGACTTTAAAAAATACTGTTAAGTTATCACACAACGCGTAGAAATTATAAAGACTTGCTATAATGTTGGGATTGATATGTATTAACTTCGGGGACTTTGTTATAGACATCTTAAGTTCACTTGTAAGCCAATTCACCAACAAAAACTTTAGCCCAACTTTCAAGCTTTTAACGTAAGTAAATTTCTCTTCACTATATTCATCAAAAGAATTCAACATTAGTCTATCTACTAATTCTTGCTTCAAAATTAATTTACCCTTTTCAAATTTTTCTTCAAAATTAAACCCATTAGGAGTCCATTTTCTTAAGATACTATCACATTGCTTGTTATTTAAGACTGGAAGATTTTGTAAAATAGCCAAATGAGTTGCTACCAGTGAGTTATTTTCATTATGAGACTGACCTTCATCCGCACTCGGTGATACATAGAATATACCAGACGCTATCAATTTTCTAAGGTATGTTGATATTGTAATGACCTTCAATTGATACAATTCATTGATCAAAACATACAAATTATAGTCAATAATATCCACATTGGTGGAATGAGCCAAATTGTATATAATCTCAAGTATTTCATTCTCAAACTCAGCTTTTAGACTATTGGAATTTTTAATATTAATATTTTGTAGGATCTTCCTTTTCAAAAAGTTGCAAATTATTAAAATACCTTCACTGGAAGATTTTTGCTCGCGATATATTGTGATAGCCCAATAAATAACTACTTTTAAATTGATCCTCCAATCGTTAGAATTTTCAGGCGAAGAAGATACTGAAGTAGGCATTAGCAACTCTGCAAGATTATCATTTAGTTTGAGTCTATCGAGCTGCTCGATAATATTCAATGTGTCATCGCTATTTCTATTAATAAAATAATTCTCGCTTTCAATAGTAATATGTGTCTTCTTCTCAGAAAACATGGTATCATAGTTTTGTATATCTTGCAGAAGCGATTGTTGAATATTCACGCCTACTCCTCTATCGTTCGCTAAATTGCCAGAGTTAACATCAATGAAATTGGATGATTGCACATCTTTCATACTTAGCATTAAACTTTCATTTCTATATTTAATCAACTTGAGTTGTTTACGAATTTCATTCTGTTCCTCTGAATCATAATTATTAGGGCCATCATTCAAAAGAATCTTATAAAGAGTTTCATTCACAAGAATCCAATAATTAGGAATAATGAAAACGTTAGTATTATGCTTGAATAGATAATTAACGGTGTCAGATATATTGCTCAATAACTTCGATTTTAGGTTCAGAGATAATGCTGCTGTGTGGTTTTGCTTGTGTGCATAGTTGCTAGATTTTGAATTATAGGTTGGGATTCTCTCAATAAAATAATAATTTAGCAATAAAAGTTCGCTTAGTTCTTTAGATAAGTAATCCAAATCTAAGACGTCTTTCCAAAACATTTTAACTAATGTTAATGAAATCAATCTTTGACCATAATTTAAATCTATGTCAACTAGCCACCTATCAAGCGTTGAATCTTCACCTTCGGATCTTGAGAACGCGACAAGCTCAGATATATGTGATTGATCTAAAGGCAACCCTTCTTTTAAGAATTTTAAAATAGATGAAAGAAAAAAACTTTTGTCTAGCAAACACTCTATGTATAACACTTGAAGATAATTTAAAAGATAATTTAACTTTGTCAAATACGCTTGTTTCTTTTCTTGTATTGTTATGCTGCACATGTCTTTCGAAAACTTATAAAAGTAATCAACCAATTGATGAGTCCATTCTTGTAGCCATTGAGTTTCAAAAGATTCAGAGGTTGCATTGTCAATCGGATGAGGATTATTAGAAAGTCTGGATTGGTATTTCTTTCTCAAGGCCAATAACTCACTGAATAAAACACATTTAGTTAGCCATAATGCTCGTGAGGTAGGGATATTCTTGTTACATAAAATATCAACTAGCATCTTATTTTTTATTCCGTGAGGTAATTTGTTTGATATTTTCAGCAATGGTTCATCCGGATTTGCGAGATCCCGAAGCCACGCTTCTTTCTTCAGAGCAGTTAAAGTAACTCTTGGTGGTATCCTAAACCTATTCGAATCATGTCTTATTTTATTAATTATCTCATTTCTAGCTTTATATGAGTTGACTAAATGCTGCGATAACTCTTTAAGAACTTTGTCGCAATTACTGCTGGAAGAAAATAGCGATGCTTGGATCAAATTCCTAGCAGAATAGTACTCATTTGCGACCAGGGGACCTTCGAAGTATCCCTTATTAAGGTACGATTCATTATTTAGTTTTTCAACTTCAGCTTGTGATTTACCTTTGGGTAAGTGCGTCGTATCTTTCCACGGTCTAAAGTCAGGATAGGTCAATTCGTCTGTAGAGCTGTTGGATACATATTTTCCTTGTTCTGAAATGGATTCAGATGAATTGTTAAGGTCATTTAATGGATATAGTGGTATTGCAGGTTTATCCATGACATATTTCATTGCCAATAACTCATCTTTAGTGCTATTAGAAATAGATGTCCTATTATGCGACGATAATAAACTATTCCTGTTCTTTGTTTTCGACATTCCGATTCGTTCACTTTTTTTAACCTTTCATTTGTATTTGATTGAATAATTGTCCAGAAGATCTCTATGCTTAATCTCTAGATCTTCCCATAATCAGGCCAACCTCATTTTTGCGGTGAAATATATATATGATCATGTGCGCATCCTACAGATATGGTCTATGAAATAAGTCATTTTATTATATACTGTATCTGATAGTTTAACATAAAATTGTCGAAACATGAAGAAGAAATAAGTTACCAATCATCGTCGTCTTCTTCGTCTTCTTCATCACTGTCATGAGTAGCACCTTTCCTCTTTTTTAATGCATCTGCTAAGGAGCCAGCTAAATTAGTCTCTTCATTTTTCTTAGCTTTTAAAGCATCAGCCAACCCATTACTCAAGCCAGCGCCATTCAGATCAGGTGTCTGTTGTTGATTTTGTTGTGCTTGAGATGCAGCGCTTAATTGCGCTGGTGGTGGAGGAGGTGCCAACTTAGCATTTCCTGCTGATGGGTTTACAGGAGGATCACATTCTACAACATATGCCGCAGGCACCCAACCTTCTTTAGATTCATCTAAAGCCTTCGCTAACCACCAGCCGTTATCCTCTTTACGAGTAATATAGACAATGGTATCTTTTGAAATTGGTAACTCGGAAGCACTCCCAGTACCTTGGAAGTCGTATGCTGCCTTGAAAGTTGGGAACTTTGGTTTTGGAGGCTGTGACGCAACAGGTGGTGGAGGTGGTGGGACACTTTTCTTCTGTGGAGGAGCAGGAGCAGTCTTCTTAGTCGGTCTTGAAGGTGCAACAGGCTTCTGTGCCGACGGTTGTTGGCCAAATGAACTTGGAGCCGGAGGTGGCACCTTTCTTTGTGTTGTGCTTTGTTTCTGTGGTGCTGCATGGTGAAAGGCTGCTTGAGCAGCTTGAGCAGCTTGTCCCGGATGAGCGTGTGTTTGAGTATCTGGTGGAGCATATCCCCGGGTTTGCGGCTCAGATTGATTTTGTACTGGAGGACTAACATGTTGTTGTGTTTGCTGAGCTGGAGGAGCTGCGTGTTGTTGTGTTTGTTGAATTGGGGGCTGAATGTACGATGGTCTGTTGCTTTGCACAAGCTTAGTTGCTGGTGCTTGTTGATATGACGAAGTAGATCTCGAGTTCGTCCCTCTGTTATAATATTTGCTATAATCTACTTTACCTGAGACACCTCTAGGTCTTTTTGGATTTTGACTGTTCCCAGGTAAACCTTGCCTAACTGTTACAGTTCCCGACTTGTAGGTATCCCCCATAGCTGGAGCTGCATTTCCTACAACAAACTTAACGGTATGGAACTTACCTGGTTTCTTTTGATATTCAATAGTTTGTCCAATCTTTATATTCAAACCAGGGTTGCACTTTTTCAAGTGAGTAATAAGCTCAGTCTTGAAATCTAAGTTGATAAGGGTATCAGGTGTTGTTGGAGTAGGTGAGTGCATAGAAACAGCAACCCAATTATCCTGATAAATAGATAATCCAACATAATTTATTCCACTCACTGGGATCGTAAATTCCTTTTGTACTTGTAATCTGTTCTGAACTAGAGTTTGGGCAATAACATATAAACTATTTTTAGTCAATATGAAGATTCTTGGTAGTCTCTTAGATGATCTTCCAAATTTCGATAATAAGATATCACCTTTAGCAGAAAAAATGACTCTTTCGGAGACACCTGCTTGATTCATAATAAATCTACCGAAGCCAGAACTATCATTACAGCCCAAGTAATCACCCATGAATGCACGGGACCCTAACATAGACATTCTACGACGTTCTTTCCTACCTTGCAATAACCCATTTCCATAATCTCTTAATTGTTCAAACTGATTACCATGAGTCTTATTCTTCCAGGCACTTTGGATTAATCTTGCCGCATCATCTTTTCTTTTGATGTAGCGCCTCCAAGCTCTTTGGATTCTAGCAGCCATATTATGCCAATACTTGTCTCTCATGTCTTCCAAAGCAAATAATGTTTCGGGAGTTTTAATGAATACCTTTGTGGTACCCATTTGATATTCCGAATCAGGTATATGACAAGATCTCAAGATTTCATGAACAGCAGTCACATCATCACCATTCCAAATATAATCTCCTGCGTACCCTGTTTTAGGAGATAACAAATAAAACCTTTGAACAAATTTGTCGAAAGTTGTACGATAAGCAAAACCTGCTCTTCTAATTCTAACATTTTCTTTCAACCCCAAGTATTTGATTTGATGTAATACTTGATTATTTTCATATTCTTTAGGTCTCTTGGTTTGATTTGGCTTAATTGTTCTAATATAAGATGGTTGGCATTGAGATAATGTGTCAACTAACAAGTTAGCACTCTTCTTTATCTTATCTGATGCTGTTTCCGGCCTTTTCTTTGAGTCCGTTAATGCTGCAAGTAATTCAGGTGGGAACAAGACTTGACCAACAAAACTATTTGACGATGTAGACAAAACTTCCAATAAATCACGTAGCATCGAATCTTTATTCTTATCTGTCATTCCAGCTACATCATATGTAACATCACCAGCATAATGCTTAATAATGAATTTACCTCTACGATCCTCGAAATGTGCATTATTAGCTCCAACCATGCTCAATCTTTGTGCAAAAACTTGATCAGCAGCATCTGAATCTGCATGGGCAGTCTTAACTGAATCATTCAAAGCAGCAAACAAACCTGGTTGGGGTCTCAATGCTTCAATTAAATCACAAACAACTTTATTATTGAAATAATTTATTGGTGTCCATTTAATCTGTTCCTGAACATATTCATCTTGTTCTGCTTTCAATGTTAATTGAATAAAAATTTGCTGCAATTTTTCATTCACATAATTGATACAAATTTGCTCAAAAGAATTATGCTCAAAAATTTCAAATCCGTAAATATCTAAAATACCGATCGATTTTTTTTCTTGTGCTGCCCCTGATCCCTTCAACGATAAATTCACTCTTTCTACAATCCAATCAAAAAGATTATTATAAATACCCTTGGCTAACGCATCACGCACAGATGTAGCCTGAACAATATTTAATGGAACATGATAAGTAGATCCTCTTCTCATACCATGAGAGGTTTGCATTACTCTCTGAATGAGTGATGTTTTCAATGTTTCAGCATTAACATCTAATAAATAAGCCACAAATGCAGTTACACTTTCATCTCTAATTGCAGCATTTCCGTTTTCATCTTCTACAAACGAAACATTACCAATCCACAAAATCAGCGCCAACATTCTGAAAATATTATCTTGTTCTTCTTGAGATAAGCCAATCACTTGCATAGCTCTCAAAGTATCTTGAAGGTCCTTTGAATCATCCACACCATCAACGTTAATACATTTAGCTGCGGATGTATAAATATATGTTTCAGGCCCTTGAATTCCATATAACTGTTGATATTGAGGTGGACAATGTTTGGTGAACTGGTAGAAAATATGAAAATTACGTTCATTCGTTATCTGGGAGACAACTCTTTGTTTTTCCAAAAGATAATTGGTAATATGTGCTGAGACTGGTTGATAGTTAGATGGATTAAAATAGATCTCAAGATATTTACCATGTCTAGATGAATTGTTATTTCTCAAGGTCTTAGCACAACCAAAGGACTCCAATAAAGGATTAGTAGCTAACACCATATCTTTGATTTTAGAGATACCTCCGTCTCCGCCCGCGCCCACTTGGTCGTCTACCGAGACATTTGCAATGTATTGCATGATCTGTTTGGCAGCTTCAGTCTTACCGGCACCAGATTCACCAGATATAATAACACATTGGTTCTCGCCATAAGACTTCAAATTATAGTACATTGATTCTGCAATAGCGAAAACATGCGGTGGAACCTCTAATCTATTTTTACCCTTATATTTATTTAAATTCTCTGGCGTATAAATACCCAAATCTTCGAACGGATTAACTGAAATCAAAACATGTCCAATATATGTATATATTGTACTATTCATGAATCTTTTGTATAAGTTATCATTAATTGCATCGTCGGCAATTTTGGAAAGTAATGTCAAGTCTGAAACCCCAACTTCTTTCTTCTTATGAAGATCAAACTCGGCCTTTTTAATACCGCTCTTAGAGGGCTGTTGCAGTTGTTTATTCTTAGTACGAACACCTCTTTTCACGATCGCCATTTTTGCTCTTTATGCTTGATTTATCAAGAACTGACGGAAAGAAGTTCAATGATCCCTTTAACTGCTGGAATCAGCGTTTCGTCGGATGCTCGCATTTTGGTCATTTGATTACATAACAAAATGGCTCTGCTGCAAAATGATATTAACTAGTCTATACTCTTGATTTCTATTTATTACGGTAATATACAACGATCAATGAGACCATAATCTGATCATCTTATCTTTTCCACCACTGGCAACTCTTTTACCATCCATACTCCAGTCGACGGCATAAACTTCATCGGCATGGCCGGGCAAATCTACACTTAACTTCCTGGTCCTAATATCCCAAACCTTTAAGGTGGTATCCTTAGAACAAGTGACTAAAAGTCTGTTGTCAGCGGACCAGGCACTCTGATATACAGGTGCAACATGTCCTCTCAATGTTCCGATAAAAGTTCCTTTGATACCGTCCCAAATCTTAATTGAGTTATCGAAAGAGCATGAAACAATATAACGTCCATCAGGCGAAAATGAAACATGATTGACAAGTTTTTGATGTCCAGTCATACGGCAAATAGGCTTAGAAGACTTTAATGGTTCCCAGAGATACATAGTGAAGTCATCACTGGCAGTAACTATTCTTTCACTGACAACACCATTCAATTTTGCAACTTTTTCGTATTGTTCTAAAGCCTTCATACGCATTTCTTCTGGCGATAAATTCTTTGTTTTTGACTTTGTCGAAGTATGATCAAATGCACCTTTACGTAAAACGTAATCAGTAGAAGTAGACAAGTGGTTGACCCAGTGTGCATGGCTCTTCAAAGTTTGAATACATTTTCCACCGGCCAGGATATCCCAAACTTTAATAGTTTTATCGTGCGAGCCACTGTATACAATATTAGAACCAGTCCATTTGACACATGAAACTGCATTTGTGTGTCCACTCATGGTTAATAAGCAGACTCTTCTAGTAGTGTCCCATACCTTTACTGTGCCATCTTTCGAACCTGAGGCTAATCTTGGTTTATCGCCCGCTTTGACTAAGTGTAAAGGTTCCCATGCTAAACTAGAAATCCATTTGGAATGACTAGATAAGGCACTTCCAAGTGGCTTGCCCAGGTCTGCATCCCATAATCGTACAGTACTGTCCATCGAACCTGTTGCAATCATTGAACCACATGGAGAATACGAAACACACAACACCCAGTTTGAATGCCCCGATAAAGTATGCATAGGTGTCTGAGTATTACAATCCCAAATTCTTGCAGTTGAATCCCCAGCACCAGAACACATACGCCCAGAGTCGTTTGGAGCAAACAGACAACATAAAATAGTCGATCCATGTCCTGCAATCGCAGCATTTGATCTCGTTATTGCCTTAACTTTGAAAACTGCTCTAGGTGTATACACTAAGGTCATGAAATCTTCAGTGGTCTTAATTTGTGGTTTTAACACTGAAGAATATAAATTGTCCTTAATATCAACCAAATTTCCTTCTTTGTCATCTTCGCTACTTTTATTTAATAATGCAAACGTATATGGGACAGGATCATCTGTCTCACTATGAAGCTGGTTCAATAATTGTTCCAACTGCTTTTCTGTTATTCCTCCAGGGACTCTTATAGAGCCTCCAATAGATTCTCCAGTATCTGAGGCTTGAAATTTTATTAATACATTAGGTAAGTCTTCTGGAACTAGATCGACTTCACGGACCTTTTGTGCTTCTTTCTTCTGTTTTTTAGAAGGAGGAGGGATTACTGTGGCCATGGTCTATCGTTATATCTATCTTCTAATATTGTATTGAATATTTCAGTAGTAATAAAATTTATCTCTACCTAAAAAAAATATGTGCGATGAGCATTTTTTTATATACAGTAACATTATACACTAGGAAACTAATTCGTAGCTTCATCAACTATATTTACTAGCAATGAACCCATAATTTCATCATCGGAAGCATCTATCTCCAGCTCATGATCCCCGCTATCTTTATGCCTAGAACCTTGAGGAGAATTTTCATTTTCTTGGAATAACTGCGAAAGATGACTTTTGCTTATATTCTGTGAATCGGCAGACGGCAAGAACGTGTTAATTTGGCTCTCTGTTAGGTTCGGTGACGAAGGAAGAAGTCCTTCTTTGTCCCATATTGTGTCATTCATATCATTAATACCAATCGAAATTCCGTTCGAACCAGCGGCCTCGGGCTGTGTGATGGTTGTTTGTAATAGAGGTAATGGCTCCGGAGTATTATTCGTTGATTGCAGAATTGGACCCGACAAATCTATAATCTTAATATGGCTAGTTTTAGAAGCTTCTGTTATCTCCTCTTCTTCGTCGAAATCGTCATAATAGCCATTATCATAATCAAAATACACTGGGCGGTTTTCAGATCCCACCCTGTGTAGATTTATCGTCTTCACCGCAAATACCATTTTCAATTGAGAAGAATTGATTAACCTTTTTTGCAGTTCATCTAGTTGTGAAGGATGGTTTTCTTTGAAATGTGATGTTTTGTGGTACCAATCTTTGTAGAAAATTAGTCTTGATGTGATAAAACTATCTAATGAAGAATTTGTAGAGCTTGAAGTCTTCCTCGATGAAGATGCAGATGCAGAATTAGTAGGAGTATAATTACCTCCTAGTGAGGCACATAAGACTAGGCGTCCCCCACCATACCCCAGGTTCGGTCTTGTTTGTGACAATGATGTACTTGAAGATGCTGAAGAAGGTATTTGACTATCATACCCAGAATTATTAGTCAAAAATGGCTTCGGACGATAATTCTGATACTTGGAACTGAGGTATCCAAGCAAAATGCATATCAGACTGTTTTTATATGTATACTGTGATATCATATTAGTTAATGTACTAACATGCGACTGGTACTTTAAGGCAGGATTTTCTCTTAGTAATGCTGATTGTGACGGTATTTCGGGCAACTTGGGCTGGTATCCTTCAGCCTTACTCTTCTCTTTGTTATTTATTAAGATTGAGTTCGTTAGCACCTGAAATTTTAAAAGCGCCTCTTCGTACGCAGCAGACAACTCTAATCTATATAGCTCGAGAAGCTCATGGAAGTTATTAATTACAACAATTGTCGATTCCTTTGGCCCGTCCAACTTGTCTGACATCAAAAGTGCAAATAATTTAGCAAAAGTATCAGCTTTATACGATATCAACTTATCATCTAACCACTCGTCTTGAAATTTTGGGTTATTCACGATACTATGCCACGGAAATGGATGCAAAGTATCAATAATAATGGCTCGATTTTCACTGCTATGACTTAAATGAGACACTATAAGTGACCCAACAACAAACGAAGCTCCAGTACAATTGGGAACACTTTCAAAATCGTAAATGCCATTACTTATATTCTTCTTCAATAGCGAATCTAATGACGGAATAGACGTCGATAAATGCTTGAAAGTCGGCTTTTTCAGCATCATATCATACAAAGAAACCATAATACCTTCCTAATATTCCTCATTAGTTATGTACACCTTTAGGTTGTTGTATAACACGTCCTATAACTGGTGATTGATCTATATTCACATAGATATCAAATTCTGATACTACTGCATAGACTTCAGAACACAAAATTTAGAATAATTCTCACTTGCTTTAGATAGTCTCACCAGTTCCATTGAAATAATTGATTTATAAGTTGACATAGATCCTTGAAAATATCATCATTGGAATAAACATAGGATGTCAAATTCAAATAATGGATCCATCTCGTCGTCGACAAACTCAAAAGATCCGAATTCGACGCAACAACCAAATGTAACTGTGAACAGTCCTGTTCCTAATGCTAATCATAGTCATCGTCATTCAGCGGCAGCAATGGGTAGAAGGCCATCATTGTTAAGAAATGATTCATCAAGTAATTCTGTGTATACAGCGAGTAATACTTCTGCTAATTTATCCACACCCATGCATTCAACTCACCTTAAATGGAGCTCAACTAGTAATGGAAGTAATAACCCCTCCGGTACGTCGACAAATGAATCGCATAATAACACCAATGCCAATGCAACGTCTTTGTTGACTCCTAATTCTAATAAGAGACAGACTAGTCATAATAATTCCGGTAATAATACATTAAGTTCCACTGGAGGTAGGACACGCTCCCGGTCGATAACCCAGACCCTTTCACACAATCTACAAAATAATAACAAGCAGTATTTGTCCCAGGAGAAGGCATACCTAAGAAAGATGAAAAACCAGTTTGTGGATGATTACTATACCAAAGGAATTACTGGTGCAGAAATGAAAGAGAGCGAGGTCAACAACAACGATGACGATGAGGATGAAGACGAGGATGAGACTAACCCTAATGGTCACAGTGATTTATTGGCCGATATGGACGATGATAAATACCAGATTGACTACAATTTAGCATTTACGTTATTAAAAAGTGGCAAAAACGCTATCAATATCAATCCAAACAGAAATATCACACAATTAAGTGCTGATAGTGCTGATGATCCTGCTGTGATAGAAAGACTTGAATGGCAGTCCATGTTGACTTCTGTGCTTACAGGTGATGTGGTGAGATCTGAAAAGACTAAAATTATTAATAACAATAGTCCTGAACACGAGCAAGGCTCCTTCTTACATGCGGCATATAAAGAGAACTTGTGGTTTGGGATTAACGCTAAACTCTTTAATAGAACAGAAGATGATCAAAGAAAAATCATTGAATATCGTCGTACCCTAGCTGACGCATTATTTGACGAAGTTTTAACATATGAAGTAAATCATGATGACCCGGTGAACAATCCGCCAAGGGATCAGGTTGCTAGCATACTCGATAGGTATGATAAATGTTGTGATTTATGGAGAACTTTGGAAGACATGAAAAATGAAAAACCAATTTGTAGAACTGTTGAATTCCAAGATCGTATTGATGCTTTGACTGCTTGGTTATCTATTACGGATGCGATGCAGAGGGAAAGTGATTCCTTAAAAACCTGGATAGGAAATGATGAAATGGATATCACTAAGAGTCGAAGTGAGTGCGGTAGTGCACCATCTTCTGAAGCAACAACCCCTACAAGTACGAAAAAAATATTCAATGAAGACAATAAATCATTAGCTGAAAGGCTTATGAAAGAAAAGGATGTTTATTCAATTTTTCAAAAGAGAATATTTTTTCCATTAGCTCCTTGGATGATCAAGTCGAAAGACACTTTCTTGAGATTGGGGCATATTTTTGAAACGCTTAAATTGCCTGACTATATTCACGATTTGATTCAGCTTTGTTTTATACCAATGAAATTGATTAAGGAAATTATCAATGTGAGATTGGTTTATGCCAAAAAGTTGCAAAATCCTACATTAATGATGATAGATCAAATGATAGATGATTTCAAGTCTTACATCACCATAGCATTGGAAGTAAAGCTGGGTATTGTTGAGTACTGTAGACCAGATGTGGGTAAGACATGGGTATTAAGTGACTTATTTGATTCTGAAAATCAAGATTTTGATATGGTGGTTTTGAAGTGTGTCAAGTATTTCTTTGCATTATTAAATAAAAAATTATTGGATAGTTCTAGATCACCTACTAATTTCAGAACTTTCAAAGAACCTGAAGAGTTAGAAGAAACCTGGAATTATCTTAAATGGTTGGGTAATCTTATCGATGGAGGTAGTGTCGTTGTTGCTGAGCACATAACTGTACTAACACTGAAGTTGATCCATAGACTATTAGCCTATTTCAATAATCAAATAGGAACGCCTCCTTCTAAACCTGCTGGGGCGGCTGATCTAATCAGATGGTACAGCTCGACCACAGAAAACTTTGGGCAATTACGTCGTAAATTGGCAAGATTTACTGGTGAAATTTCTAGAGACTTTACGAATTCTTTAGTTTTTGATCTTTCATCAACGCCTAGCAATAGAACTAAAACTATACTCGAAGTTTTGAGATCAACTAATCATTTCTTAGTATACACTGGTACGGTGGAGACACAGGGAACTTATTTTTTTGCAAGTGCCGAATTGATGGGTAATGAGCAAGAAATATTACGAATAATTAATGGTTCTTATATTGGCTCGGATCCGAATGAAGCAAACCTGGACTTTTCTGATTTGTTGAAGATGCTTCAATTGCATGAAGATGGGGAAACAGACCAGCACTCTGACTTAGTAGACCACTTGGATCCAAACGAATCAGGTGATTTTGGATATGTCTTAGCGTTATGTCCTCCTAAACCAATCGTTTGGGAAGGTCACATTGTTACTATTCAATTAGAAAACGTACCTATCACTGACATTAAAGTGGGACAAATACTTATGATAACTAAGTTACCTTACAGCAACTTGCATATGGTAAAAGAAAAATTTTTGGACACAGTAAATGATTTCATATTAGTTGGTGGTGTAATGAAGCAAGTTGACCAAAGGTGTTCCTTAGCCAAAGTACATCATGAACTAACGAAGATTAATCGAGTCTTCTTTAAAATGTCATTGTCAGTTTTGGATTCTGTAAAGAAAGTACGAGCTAACTGTAAAGAATTAGCTGTTGAAAATAGCTGTCAAGAGTTGATCAATAGTTATTTTATCTATGCAAAAGACTTTGGTAAAAACTCTGTAAAAAATTTAGATTCTTCGAGAAAATCTACGGTTATTATGAAACTTATTCAACTCTCTATTGAATGGGTTAGTTTTGTTTGTGATGATTGTATACCTACGGATAGGAGAACTTTTAGATGGTGTGTGTTAGCTTTGGAATTTGCAATGGATATGACTAGAGGCTTTAACGTGTTAGTCTTGAATGACGAGCAATTCTATAAGTTGAAATTGAAGGTTGCCCGCTGCATGTCGTTACTTATTTCTCATTTCGATATTATGGGTGCAAGATCTAGTGAAGCTGAAAAGAAGAAATTATTAAAATGGTCTTCTCAGAGACATAGGATTGAAAATTCAGCTGATGATGCATGCATTATACAAGCTTATAGGGAAGATGTCATGAAAGAGATTGAAGAAATTGAAGATTATAGAAGAGATTTGCAAGAGCAGTTGCAGTCGATTGGTAGAGTTTTAGACGTCACCGACCTGGAATACCAATTCGTTACTCTATTAGCATCTTCCTTCTCTAGCGTTTCTATTAGGTGGCAAAAAGGTAGATTTATTGGAGGAGGTACATTTGGACATGTTTATGCGGCAGTCAATTTAGATACCGGTGGTGTTATGGCAGTCAAAGAAATAAGATTCCATGATAGTCAATCTGTTAAAAATATTGTGCCTTCAATTAAAGATGAAATGACTATTTTGGAAATGTTGAACCACCCTAATGTTGTTCAATATTTTGGTGTTGAAGTTCATCGTCATAAGGTGTACATTTTCATGGAATTCTGTGAAGGTGGTTCTCTTGCGGGCTTGTTAACACATGGACGTATAGAGGATGAAATGGTCATACAAGTCTATACTTTACAAATGTTAGAAGGGTTGGCTTATTTACATCAATCTGGTGTCGCACATCGTGATATCAAACCAGAAAATATTTTACTTGACCATAACGGTGTCATTAAGTTTGTTGACTTTGGTGCTGCAAAGGTAATTGCGACGAGTGGAAGAACTCTTGGTGGTGGTAGTGGTGGTAGTGGTGGTGCAAATCCAGGCCGAAGCTTGAATGGCACCAACTTGAACTCAATGACTGGTACTCCTATGTATATGTCCCCAGAAGTAATAACCGGTGCATCTGGTGCCAGGAATGGTGTCGTAGATATTTGGTCGTTGGGTTGTTGTGTGTTAGAAATGGCCACTGGTCGCAGACCTTGGACTAATCTCGATAATGAGTGGGCCATCATGTATCATATTGCTGCCGGTCACAAACCTCAACTACCTTCCCCAGACCAATTAAGTGAACCAGGAAGAAAGTTTATATCAAGGTGTTTGGAGCATGATCCTAGTAAAAGGCCTGGAGCTGTTGAGTTGTTAAGCGATCCTTGGATTGTCGCCATTCGTCAAGCAGCTTTTGTTTCTTCTGAGAGTGTTAGTACACCATCGTCAGACGTTGGATCTGATATGTAATTATTTAAGATAAATATTTAATTCTTATATTAAATTAACAATGTACATTAGAATAATCCTACAATAATCTGTAATATGTTACAAGTAAATTTATTTACATATGTTAATCTAAAAAGATACGAAATGAAGCTATGATATATACAATAAGTGCAATGAATTAAATTCAGTTATACGGTTTTTATATTCTCCGTGAAAATTTGTTTAATATCTTCAACCACATCACCCTTCACATTAACATAACCGGCAACTTTGTTCACCATTATATTTTCGGGTTTTAATAATGGATGTGCTTGTAATAAATCATTTTTAAATTGTTCAATATCACCTTTTATTCTCTTAATTTCTGTGGTAACTTTAGTATTTTGAACTTTCTTGTATACTGGCCAATGTCCATATTTGGTCTTACAAATAGAATAGTTATTGACTCCAAACCCATTATTTGGTAACTCTACGGCTTGAATAGATGCTAAAGGAGGGAATTGATATGGCTTAACTGTAGCCTTTGGCAATGGAGGCCTAACTGACTTTAATGAAATTCTAGAAGGTTTCATATTATATAAATCGTTTTGTAATACTTAACAGTAATATCTAGAGACTTGTCCTCACTATAGATTAGTACGGTTTCCATAATGAAAAATATTTCAAATATTTTCTCGGTTTTTACACGCATCAATAAATGTCGTTATTCTTAAATGCGACATTATATATTCGGTCTATATATCTTATTTAAACGGGAACTTCACTCTTTATAGAAGCCACAGGGGCTATAGTATCATCCTTCTTATGTAGTTTCATATGCTTCGTATAATTGGTCTTCTTATCAAATTGCTCTCCGCAAATTTCACAATTGAAAGCCTTCAAATGTATTTTCATATGCTTTGTCAAATTCGAGCTTTCGCTAAATCTCTTACCGCACCCAGGCCATTTACACATAAGAGGCTTTTCACCAGTATGAATTCTATTATGAATTGATAAACTTGAGCCAGTCGCGAACGTTTTGCCGCAAATCGAGCATGTGAATGGTTTCTCACCTGAATGAATTCTCAAATGCTGCTTCAACATTGAATCGACTGCAAAGGTAGAACCACAAATGTCGCATTTACATGGTTTGAAATTTGTATGGATGTGAATATGTCTTAGAAGCTTTTGTCTCTGACGGAATCCTTTACCGTTATGACGATCACAGCCGACCCAATTACAAGCATACAGTGACTTTCCCAGTCCAATGTGGTCGTCAACCAAATGAGTATGCAAGTCACCGCTTGAAAGGTGAGTTCTATTACAAGTGATTGGTTCGCCTGTAACACTATCGACTCCAATTTGCCACTTACAAGTAAAGTGTGGATCTATTATCTCGCTGCAACAAGCTTTATTCTTTTTCTGTGGTGAGAATTTAATCGAAGTAATATTGATATCATTTAATGGGCTTTGATTTGATTGCGATAAAATTGGATTGTTTGGAGACAGTATATTTGATTTGTCTGTAGAACTAGGAGTTAGCATATTAACATTATCATGAAACATGTTTTCGTTTCTCTTATGGCAATTCAAATGGTCTATTAATGAATCCAAATCAGTATTCATGTAGTTACATTCATTCCATTCACATTGATATGGTTTGAAATCTGATACTTTTGATATAGTGCTACCAGTACTATATTCCTGACCAATGTGCTGATCAAGAACATGTCTCGTAATTGTCCCATCACTTATGGTTTTGAAACAATTGTCCCATTGACACGAATATTTTGGAGACGTGGAGGTGCCTGTCAGCTGGCCAATTTCATTCACTTCCGCATCTTCTAACATGGATAATTTGTTATTGTCCCCTTGTCCATTATCTTTTAATAAGTCAAGCAAATGTTTAAAATTATTAAATTGTATGAAAAAGTCAAAGTCCGACATTGGCTTATCGTTATAAGTCTTGTTCGACATGTTTTCCTCTGAAGCATCAAGCGGAATAGAAGCATGAAAGCATGATTGGTGTACATGATGGTGATCGGCTGCTAAACCATTTTGTTCATTTGCGGCGGTGAATTCATTCTGAATTTCTGGTGTAGGATGGCATACGTGAGGAAAATGTACTTGAAAGTATTTATTAGTTGCTTTCTTTTCCTGCAGTAATTTTTGTCTTTTCAAACTGGGTTCTGTGTTATCAGCATTTACTTCTAAGCTATCGTGTGCCTTGATAATCAAATTTTCGAAAATTGGCTTCTTGGACATCTGTAGGTCACATAAATTATTCTCATGGTTATAGAAGTCATTCTCTGATGTGTTACAACAATCAAATGAAGAATTAGTAGCCATTTGAGGTTCCATGCAAGCGGGATTATTACAAACTGTATAGGCCCTTGAATCAGATGAATCTCCCAAACAGTTAGGATCCTCACAGCACTTCACCTCATTTCTATGGCAATCATCATTCTTATCAAAAGCGTCATCTTGGTGTCCATTATGGTCTAAATTTTCTGCTACGCAATCACTTGTACATGCAACCTTCTCCTTCTCTTTGGTCCCATCACACTGTAAATAGAAACAATCATCTAATTCGTCACAGAAAATGTCCTTACAAAGCGAAATATCATCAAACTCATTACAGGCTTCTAGGCCATCTTCCATGGGTCTCGACCCGGTATCAACGGTTTCTATTTCCAGTATGCCCTGATTATGATGGTCGTGATCGTGATTATGAATATGTCCATGGATATGCGTGTGGTCCTTGTGTCTATGAATATGCCCGTGAAGATACCCATGGGTCCATACTTTACCTTCTTCAAACAATTTTTCATAAAAGTTGGCCGGTATCGAATTGGAATAGCTTCCACCTGTCGGTTCGGAGTTTGATGGTACGGCTTGTTTTTCAATTGATGCCTTCATATCTGTCTCTGAACATGCATCATGCCTAAGCAACTTTTCGCTGATATCACTCGTTGAGTTAGTCATTCTGAACTTATTCATCTGTGAATATATCCAAAAAACTATCAGTATATGTGTGAAGACTTGTTATCTTTATGTCAAATATAATATTTCGAAAATCACAGAATACTCTGATAAAGACTAAGTTAATTTTGTGAATGCTTTCGATTCAATCCCATATAACTAACTATGCTTCGGTTACAACTTCTTATTCGTCTTTGTCTAACTAAATTATATTCATTCATTGGAAACCAAAAAAAAAGGTTGCAATGACCCTGGTAGTTATGGTTCAGTGGGCATATCGCATATCAGGTGGATAGCGAGAATTTTTTTGGGTGGTGGGATCTCAAGGTTGATGTCTCAACTTCCCTACACCAGCATCAATCACCGAACATCAATCCTAAATCCAAATACGATATTTTTAACTTCTAAGCTTTGAATTTTGTACTTAGCTCATGTTGTTTGAGTGAGCATGAAAATCAAATTCATAAAAATAAGGTTGTAGACATTTAATGTACGTAGTATAGTATTCATTAATTGGAAGTTGAAAACATTATGTTGGACCAGATAGACCCGATACAATTAATGAATTCACCTATATAATTACAAATATACAGCAATATGGTGAATTACAAATGGTGGTCTGGTTTACTTAATCGCCTAGCTCACAGTCTCATACCCAAATTTGAATTATGGAGATGTGAGGATTCAGTGCGTGTTGTTATTGTCTCAGTACCAAAACATATACATTGTCCACATAACTAAGTCTAACAGACGTGTTTGTATTGTTCATTCTGTATAATGTAGGGTTTAAGCGGATTAGCATGTTGCTCTTACGATAAAAATAGATAACGAATTGATTGCAATTGGCAAAAGAAGGGTATTCTTTCCCAGATTAATTCCGCATTTTCACCTCAAACTCATCACGATCTCCTCTATTTACAAACAAAGCCCATAGATAATGTACATGTACGTCAAAATAGATTTCAAGTACCCAAATAGTCAAACACGACATTTACGGAATAGCCATAGGAGATCAGTCATGAAAATGAAAAATCATTGTGGCTCTGAATACTTATCATAGTTTGGCAAACATACTGAAATTACTCCAGAATCACGTAAAGCACATTAATATTTGACCCTGAAGGGACCAAATGCTCTCAATGTTTAGTGGCTTTGTTCTCTATTGGTTTGCATAATAGATTATTTTGTCTCTAACCTTAAGCATATAGTCTTCCTATGTGCCCAAATGCACGAGATGTGAGAAAACGCTCCAATATCCTCGAACGCAGCATAATTACTCGATTTAGACTAAAGATAAACAATAATATTGCAGCACTTTTTGGAGTCATAATAGTCTTATTAATTGACTCCTGACAGTAATAGACTAAGTCGCATGTTATCTCAGCTTCTATTGGGTAGATATTCATCTAGACATAAGAGCCGTGTAGATAGTCTATGTCTATAGTATTTACCATAGTAAGCTAAAGGAATTAGAGAAGAGGTCGCATTGGGAATGCATCTACCGAATGGTCCTAATCGTATTTACTTCTTTTATTATCGGGAATAAAGTACCCGGGGAACTTATTGTCAAGCATTTTATGTATTACTTGCAGGCTGTACGCAAGTTAATTATTTACCAACTAAGTAATTTTAACCTGTTTACCCAAAAAGACGGAAGCGTGTAAAACAGATATCTATCTGATTACATCTGGTTTCAACAAACCTACTTCAATATTCATTTATCTCTTCCTGTCTCAAAACCGAATATAACGAAAATAACATTGAATAAAGGTTGATATTATGACCCTCAGTCAAATACTATCGCGGCGAAGCGGTTCTAGTAACCCCATAAAAGAAGATACAAATAAATCCTTAAAAAAATCCCCAAGCTATTTCGGAAGACTAGCTTCATTCAGTCTTCTGAGGAAAAAATCAAGTGTCTCGATAAAGAAACAGCCTATAACGATAAGAAGAATATATACGGAAGATGACTTGGCGAATTTTAATTTTAAAACCAACGGCGAAGCAGGTGACGGCGATGAATATGCTATTGACGAAATACTTTCACCCTATAGTGATGATGTTAGCGAGATTTGCACATACATTGAGAGGACTTCAGAAATGTCAGTGGAACAAATAGAGAGAAAACCACGCTACGAAGAAAGCATTGAATGCGCCACTGTTGAATTGGACAATTTCTCCAAAGATAAATTGAGCATGAAGCTGATATCAAAGGAAAATTCTAAGGAACACGAATCCCCTAGTGCTAGCTCAAGTATTTTTGAGAAGGCTAACTCATTATTGTTCGAAGATGATGCTATTTCTCATAGTACTTCGAAGCATTCTCTTATACTGTCAAAACCAAACGATACAGACAACCATAATATTTTAGATTTTGTGACAAACGAACAGTATACTGATATTGGATCTATAAATGATGCTAATATAGCTGTGTTTAAAACTCCCTCGAAGAAGCTAAATTTAAAGTTTATTGCCAGATCTCCAGGTTTGCTTCAATCAGCTTCCTCAGCACATAATTATGTATCTCCAAAGATGGCTCCTCCTTCCATGATAGTTCCTAATGACACACAAAGTGCTAAAAATTTCGAAAAAATTGATTCAGTAGCAAATAAGGATGCCCGTATAGAACATGAAAGCATGTACCTAGCAAATGGTAACTTTGAGGTTGATAGCCAATATATATATAAGAATGAAATGGCTATGTTGGTTCAGGAGCACAAGCTAACCATCAGGAAACATGAAAAAGAAATAAGCTATCTAAAGGATTTATTACAGCAAGAGAGGGATAGAAATAAATTACTTACTCTTTGCCAGCAGAAGAAATCCAAACTGAAGATTGAATCTTCACACATAAAAAAGATGAGACGCAAATTCATCCCAATCGATATATCAGTTGGATGTGAAACAGACAAATCGAATAATGAACTAAATAAGCCGCGGGATTGTCCCATGATGATCCAAGATGCATCTGCATCTCCATTTTTAGCTATCACGGGCTATAAAACACCTACTAAAGCTCTGAGTAAGAATTTTATAAGAGATAGAGGTTTGCCAATAGCCCCTACAATAAATCATTCTACTCCAGAAGGAATATTCTGTACCGGCTTAGATAATGACGCTTGGAAAGCTAAAAAGAAGCAACAAAGAAAGGATGCATATCATGCTTTGACTCATCAAACTTTGAAAGAAAATGAGACGAGCAACGGAAACATAGATTTCGCTTGCCTAAACAAAGTTTTTGGATCTAGCAGAACAGCCATGAAAACACACAATTCTGTAACTCCTTTTGACTCTATTTTAACAACTCTGGATTGTTCAAATTCTTTCCTGATGATACATGCCTAAGGCTAATTTCATCGATAATTTAATTAAGAATTAATCCCTATAGATTCTTTAATTCTCTCCCTTCTTTTCTTCGGAATTGATGATTTTCGCATAATGTATATTATCAAATATTTAATTTAATCACAAGCCACCTAAGAAATGGTAGGCTTTAATAATTTCGTAAACTATAGGTATTTAATAATATTCAAATATTTTTCAATTGTATTGTTATCTTTTCGCATCTTTTTTAAATTTCTCTCGTTTTATACCAATATATAATAAAAGTGGGAAAGTTCTACAAATTTATATCAGTAGTGTTAAATTACTTTAAATTACTAAACTAGGAAAAGCGTACTTAGTAGTATCACATAGTTGAGTCGTATCTTTTTAAAAAAAATATATATATTATGAATAGACGTATATACTGGTCATATGCGATCAACGTTACCTAATCTATAGAATACAACAACAATAAAATATCAATAAATTGGAACTCAGATGATGAAATGAACCCAGGAAAATGATTATGTTAGCCTAATATATAACTTTGAGAATAATCAAAATTTAAAAAGCAAGAATATTGGAAGCTAAATATACAAATCAGCTTTGCAATTCTTTGATTTCATTTTCATCTGCAACTAACCCCATAACAACCAAATACATATTTAAATTGTTCAATAAGTTTTGCTTTTTGTATAAGTTTGCCAAATCTGAATTATCGATGGCTTTAGCTCTATTCATGACACCGAAAATCTCGTCTCTAACTTCATCAACAATGATTCTTTGGTGACTCAACTTTCCACCCAAGGACAAGGTAGCCAAGAATTGCCAGACATAATTTTCTCTTGAGGAACCATCATCGACATCTTCAGGATGCGGTGGGAAAATTGCAGCTATACGAGATTCTAATGAAGTGAATAACTCATCGTAGCAAGAAGACCATTCCGACAAATCAGTTGCTGAGATGACACCTTCACCTCTTATTAATTCCGCACGAGACAATAAGGTTGTTAAAATTGATAAACCAATCTTAGTAGTCGATACAAAAGAAACATTGTTATGCTCAATCAAGATGACTAACAAACCAATAATTTCATTGAATTTAAAATCCTGAGCAGCATTCATCAAAACCTTAGAGAACGTTAATGAATACGCTTCCACTAATTTCAAAATAGAATCTGACACTTTCTTATCAGGGTACGTTGTATAGGAACCAAGCTTGATAACTGATAAATTTTCCAAATTTGACATTAATAATGTAACTATGGTTAAGATCTGCTCTCTAGATAAAAATTTGAATAATCTTGGCAAGATTTTCAAAGTTTTATTGTGATTTAAACATTGTATAAAAGGATTAACTTCTAATTCATCATCACCAGATGAAGAGGGTTGATCCAATATATGTAATGATTCCCATAAGTCAGTTGTGTCAACGTCACTTGTTAATCTTGATTCACTTTCAACATTCATAAGTTTCGAAATAATATTTTCTAAAATACTCATAATATCCTTCTTAGAATATTTCTTGATTGGCTTGGATGGTGCTGAAATAGATGGCGATCTTGTTTTCTTGGCAGCTGGGCTAATTTTATCCGCATTTGCATTGGAGTCACCTTCAGCAAATCCATTCCCTTCTTTCTTACCTTCTGCCTCCTTCTTTTCAATTTCTCTTTGGGCAGCCTTGCTGAAAATTTCTAACTGTTGCCTTGGCTTCTTACCATTACCAAAAGAGATCTTACCTAAAGCACCTTCTCTTGCATATTGGGTTAACTTAGGTCTTTCCTTGGCGACAGTGACAGCTTTTTGAACTTGCTGTTGCATTCTTTGTAATGCTACATCAGCTCTCTTATAACGACCACCCAATCTATGCCCACTTTGCTCCAAATAAGCTTGAGCAATGGAATTATGTTGCTGAGCGTTTTGTTGCATAGGATTGCTATTAACCTTTGGGTGAACAACTTTAAAAACCTGAGCGTAAAAATCTTCATTGTAAGGATCTTCAGTAACAATTTGAGATAATTGGAAACGAGTTACAAAGTCCTTATCCTTAGGGTTCATAATACCAGAATACTTCATAATACGAGCAACCTTGTCATGTCTTTTAGCTAATTTGGCTTGCTGTTCTGGGGTCAAGTCAGGTTGAGGAGCTTGTTGAGACTGTTGTTGAATTGGCGAGCCTTGAGAGAACTGCTGTTGTTGTTGACGTTGAGGAACATATTGTTGTTGCTGTTGTTGTTGTTGCTGTTGTTGCTGTTGTTGCTGTTGTTGTTGTTGCTGTTGTTGCTGTTGTTGCTGTTGCTGTTGTCCTTGTGTTTGATAAGCTTCACTTCCTTTTGAGCCCAACACTGGGAAATGGGAAAGATCGACCTTCGAAACCCTGCGTTGTTCAGTTTGTTGAGGAGGAACCTGCTGAGGTTGAGCCTGTTGTAATACTTGCTTTGGAACAGCTTGTTGAGGTTGAGGTTGGTGTGGTTGTGATTGAGGATGAGGTGGAAGTTGCTGACCAGAAGGTTGCATTGGTTGTGGTGGTAACTGCTGAGAACCTAATGGAGCACCTTGAAATTGCCCATATTGACCAGGAGGTGGCATGAATCCTGCTGGAGGTAACATGTAACCACCAAATTGATTTGGAGGCATCATTCCTGGTACAACAAATTGGGGTTGGGGTGGAAGTTGCTGGGATTGATCAATAGAAGTCAATTGAGCCTCAATTTCTTCTAACGATAAGATCTTCTTTTCTGGAGCTCCACGTAATTGTCCTTCAGCTGGCTGCTGAGGTTGCTGTTGACCCTGTGGGGCGTTAGATGTGCCCCATAAATCTTGCATAAACTCATCATCATTGGAATGGGAAATAGCATCAGCATAACTAATTCCTGGTCTTTGAGGTTGTGGAGCAGCAGAGACATTATTGATCCCTGCTCCTGCAAAATTGAAATCCTTTCTTACTTCTTCAGATGTACCAAATGTTTCGTCATTGAAAGCGTCGTCGCCTTCATCTAACTCATCTCCTAATCCATCATATGTATCTTGGAAATCGTAACTTTCTGTCACTTTGTCCCTTGACTGAGCATGTGGAGGCACACTAGGATCAAATCCAAAGAATGACATGTTTATATTTCTTATATTGGATGAATAAATATGTATTGCTTTGGTCTTAATTAGATGAATTTTGTCGACCGACTGAACGAAAAAAAACCGACGACATCACGTGACACAATATACAAGTATTATATCTTCAATCTATATACTATTTACATGTTTATTTGAAGGCTTGCAAAGCACTGGATAATTTCAATTTCATCTCTTCCCACTCTCCTTCAAGGTCACTCAAAACAGTGATCGCACCACCGGCACCAATTCTCCAAATGTTTTTGTCTTTCTGGTTCTCTTTGTCATTTACATAATGATAGACCGAGCGAATAACTACAGACCAATCTGAATCATCAGTTACCGACCAATAGCCTGAAACTCCACTGTAAATGCCTCTTCTACCACCAGGATTACCGTTTCGTTGCAAAGTTTCGATGGCTTGTAATAATTCCACGGATCTCTTCTTTGGAGCACCAGTCATGGAGCCTGGTGGTAATGAATGGTGCAAAATATCTATACCGTGATATTCATTTTCTTTCAACACACCTTGGATAACACTGACTAACTGATACACGGTTTCGTATTCTTCGACTGCCATTAATTGGGATACAGTTACGTTCTGAATAAACTGATGCAAATCATGTCTGATCAAATCTACAATCATTAGGTTCTCGCCCATTTCTTTCGGGGTCTTTAAAATTTCGTTAGCCATTTTCAAATTCACTTCAGGAGTTCTTTTGACGGTTCCTTTGATCGGTCTTAATTCAATCATTTTATTCTTTTGTTCATCATCTTTCCATGACAAAAATCTTTCTGGCGAAGACGAAACAAGAACAATATCTTCGAACTGTAAGAAACATGAAAAAGGAGATGGATTCTTGCGTAAAGTCAATACCTTATAGATATCCCATGGCTTAATATATGATGGCAATGTTATTTTCAGCTGTGTAGTAAGACACAACTCGTACGAATCACCTGAATGAAGATACTCTTGGCATAATTCGAATTGCTTTTTATATATTTCGTGAGATGGAAAATCAAAGTCAATTTCAGATTCATCCAAGTCCTTGCATAAGTTTTTGACACTTTCTGGTACTTTGTTGATATCCAATTTTAATTTACCCATTTTATGCACACTTTCGAGTTCTTGAGATAATTGGTCACACCATTGGCTGTCATCTGTTTTCTGGTTGATTGAACCGATAAACCATTCATTATTAATATGATCATACAACATAAATCTTTCGATAAATATTAATTTGACATCTGGAGTTGGTGAATTACAGAGCAGCTCTAATTTTTCGATTCCTATATGCTGGCCTTCTTCATAAGATATAAGGCCCACATACCCTCCAAAAAATGGAACTTCTTTAAAAGGCTTCTCTTTAAGTGACTCATTGATAATATTTCTAGGTATGTAAGAACTTTCCATTCTAGCTCCAATTAGATTCCATACTTTTTCTGATGGTTTCAAACGCAAAGTTTCATTAAACGAAGATTTATATTTTTGTATAGTTACTTCATGAATTGCATCAACTGAATGGGTTATAATTTCTGATTGTCCCTCTATTGGGATCCCAATTATTGACCACTCACCAGGAACTGATGCGGAGTTCAAAAGGAAAAAGTTAGAGTCTGTCTTATGTAAATGATCACAAATATCAACAGGAGTGATAATATCTTGGGAAGGAATGACGATTTTTCTGAAGTAAATATTTGGACGTTCATTTCCACCACTCAGAAGTTTACCACTTTTTATAAGCAGTATTTCATGTAATGCACGTTTATTTATTAGTTCATTAAGAAGCCTCTTGTCTTTATCACCTTCTCTGGTTATTGAAGTGTTTGGTCTCAGAACTTCATTATACTTCTCGGCAATTCGGTTAAAATCAACAATTAACTCATTACCTTTTGAAGAACAAATAGACTCAGGGTGATACTGAACACCATAAAAGGGTAAAGTTTTATGTTTAGCAGCCATTAATATCCTGGAATAACCTTCATCTTCTTCATTACAATAGGCTAGTGGTATTATGTCGTCACTGAGAGAATTAATATCAACGTACAATGAATGATAACGCACACTAGGAAACGAAGCCATTGGTTTGTTCCTTCTATCATGTTTACCTGGATATAAATCATTACCACTATTGTGATCTATAGGGTGAACATCATATATTTGACCATGTCTAACATTTTGAAGCTTTTTAACTTCATTACCGAATTCGAAGCATAGGCATTGGAATCCCAAACAGATTCCCAATATCGGTATAGCCTCTGTTTCTCTTTCACTAAAATAATGTAATATCCACCTAACAATACCAACATCTTCAATATTCGAGGGATGTCCTGGTCCTGGTCCTATAACAATATAATCAAACATTGGTATGTATACGTTCATAAAGTATTCATATTCATTTGGTTTGAATGTATCATTATGAATTGTAATAACTTCTTTGCCGGTATTATCAATAATCAATTGCGAAAGATTATTGGTAAACGAATCATATGAATCAATAAGGAGGATCATGGGATTACAAACTTCTACAACTCAATGTTTAGAAGATACTTATCAAGATCTGTATGAATTATTACCTAACGAAGAATAATTTTTTTTGCACTAAAAAAATAATTCGCTCTACAATAAAGATATTATTATTAATTGTATTGGACTAATTACATATCGAAGAGGATAAAATTAATCATCTTCATCATCGTCATCATCATCATCTTCATCGTCGTCTTCATCATCGTCATCATCATCATCTTCATCGTCGTCTTCATCATCGTCATCGTCACTTTCTTCGTCGCTTGAAATGTCTTGGCCTAAAGCCTTCAATTGTTTTTTGTATTTCTTATTACGTTCGTCAATATCAGACATAAGTAACATTAAGTCATCTAACTCCGATTTTGGTACCATGTTCGACGCCTGTTCCTTCAATTTCTTTTGTAACGATTCTATCTCCTCCTTAAGTGCTTTCTCACTCTTTAAAAACTCAGCCTTTTGAGTATCGAAGTCTTTACCCTTCTCTTTATCTTTTTGACTAGATTTCAAGGATTCTAGTTCTTTTTTCAATAAATCTTCGTTTTTCTTCGAAGAATCTAGCTCCTGTTTCAATTTTGCTTCATTTTCCTTTAACAGAGTCATTTCTGTTTTCAAGGTTGATGCGCTTTCCTTTGAAATGTTCAAGTCTTTTTTCAATTCCTCTTCACGGTTCTTCAAGGTTTTAGCAGACTTTAAATCTTCCTTAAGATTTTTGATTTCAGTATCTTTTGTTGTTTTAGTTGAAAATAGTTCTTTGTTGAGCCTTTCAATTTCACTCTTCAAATCTACTACTTCTGCCAGATCATCTTTTAAGGAATCAACCTTGGATTTTAGTTCTTTCAATTTTTCATTATGAATATTTTCATCTGTTTCAAATTTCTTCTTTAATTGTTCATGATCTTTTTCTAGTTGCTCAAATTTTCCTTTGTATTCCTTTAAATCAGTTGATAGCTTCGAATGATCTTTCAATTCGGTAGATAATTTATCTGTTGTAGATTTTTCGGCTTCTAAATCTTTTTTCACAATTTCAAGTTCTTTTTCAAGTTCTGTGATTGTTGAAGAAAGATTCGTCGACCTCTCTTCTAAGTCTTTTTTCGTTTGGGATTTTTGTTCAATATCATCCTTTAACGTTTGAAGTTCGTTTTCCAATTGCTTAGTCATTTCTGATGCAGCTTTATCAGATGACTTTAAGGCTGACAATTCTTGAGATATTGATCTTTTTTGCTCTTCAAGAGCAGCATAACTAGAGTCAGAATCCTTAAGCTTGCTAGACCAAGAATCCTCGGAGATTGCATTTGCACTCTTTAACTCCTCAATTTTTTCACTAAGAGCCTCTATCTCGTCCTTAGTTTCATTACCAAGTTTCTGAGCAGTTTCTAAGTCTTTTTCAAGTTGTTTAATTTTGGATTTTCCACTTTCCGATTCTTTTTTGTAAGATTCAGCAACCTTATTAATAGAATTAATTTCTTCTAGCTTAGTATTTAAATCATTTTCTAGAGTAGAAAGCGCTCGATTCTTTTCATGGAAATTGTTATTTGCAATCTCTCTCTCTTTTTTAAGCTTCTCAATTTCATCTTCAAGCTGTTTTGATGTAGCCTTTAAGGCTTCTGCTTCCTTTTTGAATTCCACTTCTTTCTCTGAAAATGCATTCGAAAGTTTCTTTTCATTCTCCAATTCAACTTTCAATGATTCAACTTTTTTAGTGAGTTTAGAAGTCGCCTCATTTGAATCACTTTTATGACTTTCAAACTCTTTGCTTATAGATTTGAGACTTTCATCCGCAATCCTTTTCTCTTTCGAAATTGCATTCAACTTGGATTCGTGAGCATTTTTAGCGATACTAAGAGCCTTTTCCAATTCTTTTATTTTATCACCATATTCCTTTATCACTGTTTCTGAATTTTGGCTTAACATGTTTCGTTCCTTTTCTACTTCCTGAACCTTTTTTTCAAGGTCAGATTTAAGATCAGAAATAGTTACCTCATGCTCAGTTATCTGGTCTTTGAGGCGCTTGGTTTCATCCGCAAATTTAGATTCCAGAGCCGATAGTTCTTTTTCTGTTGATTTTAATTTGACTTCCAAATTCTCATTTTTAGTTTGTATTTCATCAGAAATTTTCGAATTTGAAGATATATCATTTTCCAATTCTCTAATTCGACTTTCTAAAGTTTCCTTTTTCTCGCTTAAATTCTTTACAATGGTCTTTTCATTATCCAAGGATTTAACAAGCTCCTTGAGCTTGGATTCTTGGTTCTCCATGTGAACTTTCTTGTCACTTAGCTCCTTGGTTGTGCTATCCAATTTGTTGTTAATAGAAACATGAGAATCTTTATACTCAGCAATTTCTGATCTTAATTCAGATATTTCAGATTCCAATTTATTCTTTTCATTCGATACTTGCTTTAGCTTGGCCAATTCTTCCTCAGCAATAGACTTTGCTTTTTGCATCAGTTCCAATTTCTTTTGAACTATTTCTTTTTCTTCTTCTAGTTTTGTCAAGTTTTGGTTTAATTCAGACTTTTGTTTTTCGAATTCTTCAGAGGATTTTTTTGATCCTTCTTCAGCACTTTGTATGGATTTTTCTAGATCAACTTTTGTCTTTTCTAAAGCAGAAATTTGATCAGCCAATTTAGAAGATGAATCTAGATGATCCTTGAGTTGTTTTGCGGTTTCTAAACACTTAAAATTCGCAGCTTCTAGTTCTTGTGAAAGCTTTGAATTCCCAGAGTCTAATTCTTCCACCCGTTTCAAATGCGTTTCTTTCAATGAAGCAATGCTGAGATCTTTATTTTTCAACTTTTCTATAACTTCATCATACTCGCCCGTTTTCGAAACCAACGACTTTTCTAATTCTTCCTTTAGTTTAGTATGCTTAGCTTTAAACGTCAGCAATTCCTCTTCTATGGATTTATGCTTCAGCTCAGCATCTGCTTTCGAATTGGTTATATCGTCCAAGTCTTTTTTGAGTTTTTCATTTTCAGATTTCAATACTTCAAGTTGACTATCATAATCAAGTTTTAGATCGTTGTATCTTTTAGATTCTTGTGACAATTTCTCTTTCAAACCTTCAAATTCAGTAGAGATTGTAGAATGGTTGCTATCCAAAGAGTCTTTCTCTAACTTTAAATCATTGATGCTTGAATTTAACTTGTTAACTTCAGCAGATGATTCCACTTTAAAGGCCTCAAATTCTTTAGTTATTGTCGACTTTTCGTCTTTTAATAAATTGAATTCCAGTTGCAACGAATTATATTCGTCACTTTTAGTTTTGATCTCAATTTTGTATTTCTCGATTTCTTTATCAGAGATATTTTTAGCTGATTTCATCTCTTGAAATGCAGACGCAGCAGATCTTAATTTATCCATCAAATGCTCATTAGTTGCCTCTACATCATCAAGTTTTTCTTTCATTTCACGAGACTTTTTCTCACTATGCTCATTGTAGGAAATTGATTCAGATATTTTCTTATTCAAATCTTCGACTTTTTCTTTGAACAAGTCATTAGCTTTTTGCAATTTTTCAATTCTAGCTTCAAAGTTTTTCGTGATGCTGACAATCTCTACCTTCAAAGAGTCAATCTTCTTTTCGTGGGATTTAATGCTATTGTCAGCCTCCTTCTTCTGTTTACTAAGTTGAAACAATTCCCTACTCATTTTATTTATACCATCTTCAGCCTTTTGTCTAGCTTGTTCAGAATTTTCTAATTTTTGCTCTAAATTTTTAACTAAATCATCGCTCACTCCAACCTTTTTTAATGCATCTTGTAATTCCTTGAAATATTTAGTAGACGAAGTTTCAAACTCTCTTTTTGATTTTTCAGTTGCTTGTAAACTTTTATTGGCATTGTTATACTTTTCGTTGACAGAGGAATGCTTGCTTTCTAATTCTTTCAACTCATTTAACGCTTTGTCTAATTTTGATTTCAAATCTTCACCATCTTTATTCAATTTATGAATTTCTTCCTGAAGTTTTGTTTCTGTTTCAGAAGCTTTAACTTTTTCCTGATCTAACTGGGTTTTAAGTAAATTATGCTTTGTGTCTAGTTCTTCATAAATCTCAAAAGATATATGTCCCTGGGGTTCGGCATGAGGGTCATGAAATAACGCCTTCTTTAATCGAGGGAAATTTTCTTTGATCAAGTTTACATAAATAGCTTCGAAATAAACATCAGGTAAACCGGTTTGATCTTTAGTATTACTTAGTGGTGATTCTCCATCGAAACTCTTGAATAGCTCGTTATCCTTAAATTGTCTTACCTTTAAAGAGTAGTTGTCTTTGCCCATTGCTTTCACTAAAAGGGAATGTAGTTCTAATCTAGGCATAGGAGAATCTTTTGACGAGAATTCATAAACCACACCCAATAGAATTGTAGCCATACCATGCACCAACACGGCCAGTTCGGAGGAATTATTAGAAAGAAATGTCAATATAGACTTAATAATCGTAGAGTCTTCTAAAAATTCATTTACTGCATTAAAATCTTCATACAACCAAATAGTTAATAACATTAGATATCCAACTGAGATACGAGGGTCCATATTATCTAAGGTTGTTATCAATAGACCTGAGATAGCTTGAATCGAGCTCATGACTTCTTCACCAGCACTTTCATCACCGGTATGGACTTTCTGGGCTGCCATTTTGTTTTCTTCATGTTCTTCAAATAGATAGATCAAAATTACAGCAGCAAACCATAATCTGTAAGGGTTCAATTTAATATCAGCATCATAATCCATTAGGGTCGCGAATATGTTTCCAAAGGGAGTAGGAATAGTATTACTGTCTTGCATCTTTTCATGAGCCATTGAATTTGCTTCTTTACTAGATGATCCATTGTTAGCCGTATTGTCTTTTAATTCATCGTCCTTTTTGTTTTCTTCTTTTTCGTCACCTAAATTTGAAAAATACTGAGGGTCCGCATATGCCTTTATTTGATCTGTTAAAAAAGCTGACTTTGAATCCTTGTTTTCTTTGAAGTATGCATGCAAACATTGCGCTGCCCCCATTCTTATATCAAATACATGAACTGAATTAATAAATAATGTCCAGTTGAGCAATGCAATAGTGACAGGTATCGACTTGTCATATGACTTTAATTGGGTTGGCATAGACGGATCAATATACGGAACATCTATCTGTGAAAATTGTAATTGGATTTCCGGATTACCGCTTATTAAATCTGCAGTTGTAAGCAACGCAATCGATCTAACTGCATTAGCAGTCACTGGCGAGAAAACTAGCTTTAAAACAATAAACGAAACACCCGATTGAAATAATTTCTCTTGATTTATTTGTAACGACTCGTTGTCTTCCGAGACTAATATTCTACATATTTCCAAGGCAATGATCATATTCTGTAATCTCTGTTCCGTCCATACCATGGGTGGTGGAAGTATAGGCATACCATTCTCATCCATTAATTCACCATCCACTGCATCCTCCACTGGTTCACCCAACAACTTAGCTAAGCGTGGAACACATTGTGTTTCTAGGAAAAATTTCTGATTAGATGCATTATATTGCAACAAGTTGGTAATCAACGTAAGGCAATCTTGCACAAGAATCGAACCTCTTATTCCTCCCTCTTCGTCAATAATATCAAAAAGACTATCAAAGGTATTTTCAAATGCAACTAGCTTTTGAATATTAAAATTACGGTTAACGATTGCCATTAAAAGCAAAATGGCCTCATTTCTAACTGGGTCATGAGAATCATTCAATAGAGAAACTAATGTAGAAACGGCTGTTGGTATATTCATTAAACAGTCTTTGGTTTTTTCTCCTCTCGTTGATACCAATGCCTCTAATAATTGCAAGGTGTACAACCTAATATGGAAATTATCATTCTCCAGTAATATCTCGAGTAATAACGAAATACACTCTTCATCTTGAGTAACTTCATCAGCAATCCACAAAGAAAATTGATCAACAGAAGCATCGCTCATTAATATTGGAGACGGATATTTTCCATTCTGGAGTCTCGACTGTTGTGAAATCCAACCTCGGGTTAAATCATCGTCTCCTTCACCTCTAATAAATAGAATAAGTAACGTTTCTAAAATCGCTTTTATGATAACAGGATTCGAGGAATCTTTCTTCAACGTTGTAATTAATGCTCTTAATCCGTATTCCACAACCGACTCTCTATATTGCCTGCTGAAACTTTTTAATCCTAATACGGCTGATCTTCTATCTGAGGACAAGGTGGCATGCTGTAGTCTATTACAAAGAGTAGGAATTGCTTCCTCTACCAGCTGAACCTGATTTTGCTGGGATAATATACTATTCAAGTAATCCATTTCCCTTTCAATTGAGTAGACAATCGATCCTACTCGTTAATGAATATAGCGGTATTATTCTTGATGTTTAACTCGAAAGTGAAAAATTTGGTTCGCGTAGACCCATAGAATTAATACGAGTATTTTTATTTACAAACATTTAGCTAAATAAATTATTTGAAACCTTTATTACCCAACTAACTTTATAATTAGTGTTTTAAATGGAAATATCATATCGTGCTGAGTATTCTGTGGTACTCCGATTAATATGAATAATAACTTATGGGACGATGCCTATAGCGATGAGACCACTAATTCGTCAACGGTAGTCTTTTTCCCAGACATGTCTGAATTTGAAGATAAAGCTCAAAGAGAAGAAGAAGATAATTCAAATGAAGGAATTATTTCAGACTGGGCTCTCAAGAAGATTGGAACTTTGCAAGCACGCTTAGAAGCGATGCAAAGTGCCAAAGACTCAAAGCGATTCACTGGATCACACTTTTACCTGAAATTTGCATCAAACGTTATTTTTAACTTGGCAAACGAAGTATTTGGCTACAATGGATGGTCATCTGAGATTATCAGTTACCATTGGTACACGAGCATCTTGATGAAGAAACTAATGAATATTCAGTCAAATATAATGTTGTTGCTCGTATAATTTTGAAAGACGGCACTTACAACGACGAGTTAGGTACGGGAGAGGCCACAAATATGCCGCACAAACATATGTGTTATAACAAAAGTAAAAAACAAGCTATAACTGATGGATTGAAGAACTCTATTTTAGGATTACGAGATCTACTTCTTGAGAACGAATTGAAGAATTTTGTTAAAACTGAACAAGACAAGCTGTAATATAATTTTCAAGTATGCTACTTTATTAGCTATATAATGTTTACACGACTAAAAATCTAAAATATTCTTTTTTGGGAAATCAGATATTGTTGGAACTGGAATTTCAGGTATTAAGTATACTTCACCATTGTCATCAATTCTTTCTCTATCTCTTTCGCTCATGTTGTGAATTTCCTCAATATTTTCTCTCAAGAAATCAAGAAGTTCCATCCAGTTTTTCTGAATTTGATAGGCTTGTTCTTTCATGTTCCTTCTAATTAATCCCTCAATTAATCTAATAGCATCAGGTTGTGTTTGATCCAATCTTTCTAATAAACGACCGACAGATCTAATAAGATATTCTTCTTCATAGATAGTACCTTTTCTACCTTTAGCCTTCTTTCTCTCTTCTCTCTTACGATTTTTGGCAGTTCTTCTAGATGCACCAGTCTTAGCTGTGCCGGATGTTTTACCAGTATATCTAGTAAAAAAAGAAGGCGTGGTTGAAGTTTCCGATGCTGCCACAGAAACATTATCTGGTGTATCGAAGTCGTCATTTGGTGCTCCATAAAACGAATATGGGTCTTCTTGTTTCTTAGCTCTTAATTCTCTTAATCTTCTCAATTGGGATGTCATTTGACCTTTACAATCAGCCAATAATTCAGCAATAGTTCCGAATCCTTCATTCAATTGAATATCCACTATAGAAGGAATCAAATCATCCTTCTTTTCTTTAACTGCTAATAAAATTGCATCTTCGTAAAAATAATTTTTACAATATAATTTTATTGCTTCTTCAATATTTCCTAAGAAATAAAATTCAATTTCTGCAGCTGCAGCGTATTTATGTTCTTCGGTTAAAGAAGATACCAATCTTTCAGCAGAAGAAATCAATTTAGATTTGTATTCAGCCTTTTGAACTATTGATAATGCTTCTTTCCATTTCTTGCCAAGTATGTAATTTTCAAGCGCATTTTCAAAATCACTCAAGTATTCGTAAGTTAATGCAGACTCACTAAAGTTTTGTTGGTCATGTAAATAATCCGCATATAATCTTAATATATCATTCGTTCTTCCAGAATCATATTTGTAAATAAGCAATGCTTTTTTATATAATTCATGAGCCACAACATATTCATCGAATTCATCATGAGATTCTTCACCAATCTCAAATAACCAGCCTAATGCCTTTTCATAATTCTTAAGGTAATCGTCAATTAAGAATTGCTTTCTTAACTGTGGTTGTGTATGCAAGTTTTGTAAAAATGGTAAATATTCTTTTGGATCCTTTTGAGATTGTTGAGCAATGGCTAAGGTCAATTTAACGTCATATAATCCCAAAGCAGTATCATATAATTTATTAACATCCTGCAAGAAGCACAAATGTATAACAGCTTGTTCAGTTTGTTCAACACTCTTGAAGCCACCTACTAATTTTAATGCATCTGGTAAATTTGGAGGATTCTCACAAGCGTACGCAGTAATAATTGTTTGCAAATATTTTTCGAAATATTCAGGCTTCAATAATACAGATAAAATCTTTTCACAGATTTTATTAACCTTTGAATCTTTGGGGTCCTTCTTTTGGACTTTATTCCTAATCATTTTCTTAGTACCATCATTCTGTACAGGAGTAGGTTGTGATTCTAATTGCAATGACTTCAATCCTGTGGTGATATTCTCAGACTCTCTAATAGTATCTTTGTATTTGGTTAATGTAACATCTTCCTCATGTAAACATGAAACAAACAAATCCAAATGTTCGACTTTCTTTATTTGATTGACAAAGACTTCGACATTAGCAGAAAATAGTTCTGGATCGTAATCATGTAAAATATCCAAGTCGATTCTGTGTGTACGACATGCCAAAAATGCTTCTTTATAATTCTTCTGTTTAATGAATTTACGAACTCCTGATAACACCATAATTCTAGGGCAGATAGTTTCTAAATTCCCTCTAGGTGCTTCTAATACTACGGAGTATTTAGATGGCATAGCATTTACTAAAATAGATCCTCTTTCAACTTGTCTTATTCTTTCATCAATTGAAGATTCGTTATTATCATTAGTCTTTTGGAAAATATCATACTCAAAGTTACCAGTCGCTGATTTCAAGTGAATAAAGCATAATTGTGATTGGGCAGTAGTGAAAAGAAGATGAGACTCGGTCGTCTTTAATGAAGTGACTGCGGTCGCAATTTGCTTTTGGTCAGCGAATAATTTACCATTTGTTGAAATTCCGAAAGCTATCAAAACAGGATCAGAATCTTCCATTTCTTCGTCGGAAGAAGTAACAGCTAATTCAAAATCACGACATAATTGGGGAAATTTACTGACTTCCGCAAGATCTTGACGAGAATTCAATTGATAAACCGTACCGTCGATAGTTTGTAAAGCTACAGCATTGAAGTCAGCTTGTGATTTCAATAAAACAACTTTTGGTACAAAATTAATTGAGTCGTTAAATATAGGTGAAGCAATATCATCACGAATATCAAACTCAATAGCCTTTGAATAATTTCCAGCATCAACAACCACAACTATCGTAGAATCAGCTACAAATGCAATTTGCTTTGAAAATTCTGCTGGACCCATGAATTGAGTTGAATCAATTTTGCTAATAATCTTTGGATGCTTTCCCTTTTTCATGTTTTCAATTGGTAAATGGCAAATATAAATATCGTTCTTGCTGGTTAATATAGCATAGATCTCATTCGATTTACTGATTGCTAAATCGGTAATGTTATCTTCAACTTCTATCTCCCTAAAACTGATAGGTGGGGGAACATTGGCTACGGACAATGGAGTAATCTTCACAATATTACCGTCAGCAACTAAAGTCATACCAATGTCATGGCCCAACTGCGTAGAGCCCGTAGTAATTTTATAGGCCAAATCAATGACTTGTATACCACATCTCAGTGTCCCAATCATTAAATGTAATGGCTTTTCAGGGTGAAATTTAATAAACGAAACTTCATTTGAAGAGTCATCTTCAGTCACGTAGATTTCTTGTTTCAAATACCAATGGTAATTCTTGTTAGTCCATAATTGAACCCTATCAGTTAATTGAAATGCTAAGACCTCACTGTCTGAAGACCATTCAAGGTTCTGAATTGATTCTTCAAATGGGTTTAATCTGGTGTTAAATTCACCATGTCTCAAACCATTTCTTTCATAGAAAACTAAGTCTAAGGTTTCATCACCGTCGTCATCAGTATGTCTTTGAGTTGATGCAATTAAAGAGCCCTGAGGCTTCCAAGATAAATTGTGTTCTAATCCATCCACTGCTTCCGAAACACTGTCTAATTCACCTTCTCTACTGAAAACTCTAATGACTCTTCTGTCATACAATTCTTGAGTATCTTCGACCAAAACAGGTTCAACTGTTGTAATGGCAAAATATTCGCAGTCACCTCTCCAACTTATACTAGCAGATCTATCATCAAACTCTGAAATAGTACCCTTTTCTAATTGTGCTACCGTAGGGTCTCTTAATGGAGTGTCTTCCTTTAAATCTAAGCCTGCGTGTTTCAAAGCTTCCTTTTCTCTTTCTAATGCCTTTGCACCTTTACCTTTGAATTGTGTCTCTTTCTTACCCCATCCAACAGATACGTGCTTGGAGTCGGTAATTTTTATATCATCTGGGTTTAATTGTTTTTCATTGAGTGGCTCGAATAATCTAGACAACAAGAGCAAGTTATTTTCTCTTGTTAAAATCGCTAATGTTTCTTCATCAGGAGACCATGACGATGCCAATAAACCTGAATCAATAGACCCTACGATTTCTACCATCGTAGTGTCTGGGTCTGGCTGTGCTGGGTCATATGTAGCTGTAACGATATCTCCATTTTCCATAACAAATATCAACTGGCAGGCATCAACGAAATGATTGAATGATAAAATACGACCACCATCACTAGGAAATGAAGCTAATACCAATACCTCTCCATTTTTCATAAATTGTTGTACTTCGATTATTCCCGATTCCTCTGACGATAGAGCAAACGTTACACTATTAGACACTGCATCAAAAACTGAATCAACAAGACCCAAATCTGGGTATGTCTTCGATTCAGGAGAAATATGCCCTTTGTTCAAGACTATCAAATTTCTCATATTCAATCAATATTTACAATTTAGACTGCTTTTCCTAACTCTATCGTCTCCTGTTGCATTTATGAACCTCTTGATGCTCATCGTACGAAAAAAATTGTACCTTTATATAGTACTGCATACAACACATAGTCTTTCTATGGGATTTTGCAATTTATGACCTTCAAACGGATAGTTTAAGGCATTGCTAGAAAAGGAGTATCAAAGGGACGTTTCAATACATAAAGGCCGGCGTGGATCCTCTGGGTCTTATAGCATTATGTTCTCTAATGGTGAATAAGAATATGCGAAACTGGATTTTGAAAACTTCCAATCTTCTAGAAGCCTACCAGGTTAAAACGTCTAACAAATAGTCTACATTACACTCTTGGATGGTACTATAATTCAAGGGTATTATCATTTATAATGATTAAAACATATTTTTACTAGTCTTTATCTGGTGTACTAGAATTGGTCACAAAACAGACCAACAAAAGAGTCGTGGACTTACCGAAATACTAGCCGTCCTCAATCCTCTCCTGTCAAGGAAACATATATGACTTTCTCCTTAGTATGAAGAAAAGCAAATCAAGGCCACTTTAATCTAAAACAGTTAAATATTGCAATTAACATGTCAGAAAAAGAAGAGGCGGTTTTCCGTATGTTATCAGATGAATATTTAGATGAAATAGAGAATATTGAATAGGATTACTAACTAATGTTTGTAGGTTCTGCCGAAATGTCTTTGGTTCAATTATATGTTCCGACAGAAGTTTCGAGGGCTATTGTTTATGAGATTGGTCAATTGAATATGATTCAGTTTAGGGATTTGAATTCTAAGGTCAATGAATTTCAAAGATCGTTCGTGAAGGAATTGAGAAGATTGGATGAGATTGAAAGACAATATAACTTTTTCAAGAAGGAGTTGGACCAAAGAAGTATTCCTGTCAAGACATATCCATACCTGAATGAAATGCAAAACATTGTTCCGCAGAGTGAGATTGATACTCATGTTGAGAATGGCAAATTGTTGGAGGACCGTGTTTCTCAGTTGATCGATTCCACGGAGTCATTATACTACAAACAAAAGGATTTGAAGCAATTGAAATACAGTATTCAAAGTGTTGGGAACTTTTTTGGGACGAATAGCGGCCCCCAACAAGAATCGGGCGATGATGCTTTGTTAGCTCAACTTGAAGCTGGTGGTATTTCTGATTTACGTGATCCATCGTTTATTTCTGGTGTAATCAACAGGGATAAAGTTTTCACTTTACAACAAATTTTATGGAGAGTTTTAAGAGGTAACTTGTACTACCATTCTGAAGAATTGGCGGAACCAATTTATGACGTTAAGACCAATACCTACGTTGATAAGAATTCATTTATTATTTTTTCACACGGGACTATTGTTTATGAACGTATTAAGAAGATTTGTGAATCCTTGGACGCTGACTTGTATAAAGTAGATTCGACCAATGAATTGAGAAGTGAGCAGTTAAGGGAAGTTGATTCAAAGTTGGCAGATATTTCGACTGTTTTATCCCAAACTGAAAATGCGTTAAACTCAGAATTAATCGCTATCTCAAAGGATTTGTCCAAGTGGTGGGAAATTGTAGCGAGAGAAAAGGCAGTATACAAAATAATGAACAAATGTAATTACGATGATTCTAGAAAAGCGTTGATTGCCGAAGGTTGGATTCCAAGTGACGAAGTGCAAACCTTAACTTCAACTATCAAGTCCTCCACGGCTTCTCAATCTATCCCAACAATCATTAATGTCCTAGAGACCTCGAGAACACCTCCTACATATCATAGAACGAACAAATTCACTGCCGCATTTCAAAATATTTGTGATGCTTATGGTATTGCAACCTACCGTGAAGTTAACCCAGGTTTACCAACCATTATTACTTTCCCATTTATGTTCGCTATTATGTTTGGTGACTTAGGTCATGGGTTTATTTTAACGTTAGCTGCTTTTGCATTAGTTTACAATGAAAAGAAACTAGGTGCAATGAAACGAGATGAAATTTTTGACATGGCATTTACAGGTCGTTACATTTTGTTATTAATGGGTATTTTTTCGATGTACACCGGTTTCTTGTATAATGATATCTTTTCTAAATCCATGACCCTCTTTAAAGCAGGTTGGGAATGGCCAGAAAATTTTGAAATAGGTGAATCTATCGAAGCAAAAAGGACTGGTACTTACATTATGGGTTTAGATCCGACTTGGCATGGATCTGAAAATGCTTTGTTGTTCACAAATTCCTATAAAATGAAATTATCTATTTTAATGGGTTATTTACATATGTCTTATTCATATTGTTTCTCATTAACTAACTACCTTCATTTTAAAAGTATGATTGATATAGTAGGAAATTTTGTTCCTGGTTTATTATTTATGCAAGGTATTTTTGGTTACTTGTCGTTATGTATCGTTTACAAATGGTCCATTGATTGGTTTGCAATTGAGAAGCAACCACCAGGGTTATTGAACATGTTAATTTCAATGTTTTTATCTCCAGGAACGGTTGAAGAGCCTTTATACAGCGGGCAATCTACTGTCCAAGTATTTCTTTTACTAATTGCTTTAATTTGTGTTCCATGGTTATTATTAGCTAAGCCATTATATTTTAAGAGAAAGTTCGCTCAAGAAGCTCATCAATATCAACAATTACCAAATGATGATAACGAAGATGAGCATAACACTGACAATAACCAAGAAGATGAAGAAGACCACGAAGAGCACACATTTGGTGACATAATGATTCATCAAGTGATTCATACTATCGAATTTTGCTTGAACTGTGTTTCTCACACTGCATCATATTTGAGATTGTGGGCATTATCTTTAGCACATGCCCAATTATCTACTGTCTTATGGTCTATGACCATTGGAGGTGCCTTTGGTAAGACTGGAATTGTTGGAGTAATCATGACAGTTGCTTTGTTTGCCATGTGGTTTGTATTAACTGTTGTTATCTTAGTTATTATGGAGGGTACTTCCGCCATGTTGCACTCCTTAAGATTGCATTGGGTTGAGTCTATGTCTAAGTTCTTCGAAGGTGAGGGTACTTTGTACGAACCTTTTGGTTTTAGAAACTTGTTAGAAGGTGTATTTTAAGCTATTAAAATTGAGATCTCTTGATTATATATATGAGGTCATTTATTATTACAGACATTATTTATAAAGCCTAAATTCACAATTGTTTATTCATTATTCATTATTTAATTCTTTATATATAAATCTTCTATATATTTATATTTTATATATGCAGGATTTAAATCATCTCTCATCGCTATATTTGAAAAAATATTGATTCTTCTAAACTAATGCTAGTCTTGTAAATTAGTTAGGAGAGATGTCATTACCGTTAGATGTTATCCTTGAAAGCTTGGAGTCATCTCCGAAATCAATAATCCCTATACTTGCAACTTTACATCGTGATAAGGCGTTGTTGAATGATATTTCTAAGACAGATTTGAAGCATTTAGTATCACGTTCCTTAAATTTATCAAAATCTCCTATAGTATATAATAAATGGTGTGGGATTAATTTGATCAGAATATTAGGCAATAATTACAATATTTTAGCTAATGAAGGGGTGAATTTTGTAAGTCAATTATTGAAAATATTAGAGAACTGTAATCAGTCCTCTGACCCAAAAATTTTAAGCTCAACCGTTGAATGTTTAAACAGTCTATGCGATCAAATAAGAGGAAAGCCAACTCTTACAAGAGAAGTTTTGACGCCTAGGTTACCAACAATTATCACATTGTATATGGAAAAGATTGCCTACCATCCATCTTTAATTATTGGGTCATTAAACTCATTAATCAGGAAGCATCCTACGACTTTCAGACCTTACGGTAATAAGTTACGTAACAGGCTTATCGAATTTTTAAGTTCTGAATCTTATAAAGCCTTTCCTCAAGACTTGAAGCAATTAATATGTGAAACCTTAGCGACGTTGCCGATCATCGAAAAGACTGAACCAGATGCAAAATGGCAAGGCGATATAGTAGATATCGTAAAGGAATTATCACAAGTTTTGCTTATTTATGATGAATTCTTGAATTTAAATGATGATTCTGATTTAATGGAATTATTTAAGAAAATACCTCAAACCAGAGAAAGTGAAGCTCAAGGACTGAATTTCAAGTTTGCTTCTTTAGAAATAGATATAAACAAGCCAGATACCATTTTCCAAATTTCAGATAGAGTCGAACTTTTATTGAGTATTATGAAGGCTTATTTAGTTTCTGAAACTCAATTTAGTGTAAGGGTTCCGATTGGATTGGTACTCATAATTAACGAAATCATTTGTTCTATCAGTACTAAATTTGTCCCTTTTAAAAAGGACATTCGTGACGAGAAAGTTAAGAAAATAATTAAGTCTACAACTTTAATAAACCAGCTTAATTCTCTTAATCTTTTGAGTGAATTACCTATCAAATACCAGGGGTCATTAATTCCACATTTGAATAACATATTAGCATTCTTGGAAATACTAATCCCTTTCTCTAATAAGAGAATTGATTACCAAGAAGTATTGTCAAATGAAATATTCATGTGCAAATTGCTTGACTGTACTGGAAATTTCTTGTCGCTTGTATCAAGTTTGAGCGATGCGTCACTTTTAATAAGATTTATCGATGTTGCACTTTGTTTGGTTGAAGAAAGAACACTTAATTCTTCACCAGTTTCTGATGGAAAGAAACAAAATCACCAGGTTAATGGAAATAGGAAGAAAAATAAAAAGAAGAACAAGGAGTCTGTACCATTATCGGATTTGTTATCCCACCAGCATTTATTCAATGAAACAATTCCATCTTCAACTCTCAAATCTACACGTAGGTTTGTGAATATCGTTATAACAAGGGTCAGCTTACCACCAACTCAACACTATAGAGTGTTCCGTTATTTAATTATCGAAGCTACAGTTGCTAAGTCTTACAACAAAGACCAAATTATTTCTCAAGAATTAAAACATTTGTTAATAAACTCTGTCTTATATCCGGGGTTCGAAAAGAATTCAATGCTTCCAATTGTTACTAGTCTATTAGGTGACGATCCGCTATTGAGTGTTTTTAATAATCCAAGATTTCCACCTTTGCCAACTTATATTAAGAAATCAGGTCTGGTGATTGAAGACGATGAAGAAGAGAGTGAAACAGAAGATGAGGAAATGGAGCAAAATGATAATGATGGCTCATTAAAAGTAGACGAGGAATTTGAATCATCAACAAAACGTCGTAAGATTGACACATCTGAATCTAGCGTCGGTGGAAATGAACAACCAGAACAAAACCTCCCAAAAATAGTACCTGAAGATAGTAAGACAAATGAAAAGATATTTACTAATGTGAATCCAGAACTGATAATTCAATTTGCTGAGACATCTGAAAAGGTTGAAGATGTTGTTCCTGAACCCGAAGCTACTAGAACAGAGGTCCTTACAGAAAGCACCTCCGAAGCAGTTCCAACTTTAGAAAATCAAATTGCGACATCAATTACAGTAGACAAAGATGAAAACGATGATTCAGATTTTGAAATGCCAGATATCGTAGTTGGTGATGATGATTCTGATGATGAGTAAATAGAATTGTATATCATAATGTATAAATATTAATAGTTCGCGCTGATTGATAAACAAAAATATAGATCCAAGACGGCTTTTTATACGTACTCAATAACATATAAATGCCATTGCATACAAGCAGGATTAAGTTACTTCTAACAGAGGACTTGTCACCTCATAAAATTTCGTTATTAATACTTGTTGTATTGTATTGCACAGATTTCATTCGAGAAAATAGATTGCAAGCTGTTCTAACTACCATAGTAAGATTTTTAGAGAACGATTTAGTATACAATGAAAAGAAAGAGTTGGTAGTACTACCAGAATTACGTGACTTGTGTTTCATTTTGAAACAATCCATTATTTCTGATTCTAATTCTGGATCCGTGGAGAGTAAATTAGCCGCCGAGGAGGATGCTAATGATATTCAAAAAAAGTTGTTGCAAGCCCTATGGAATATAAACTCTGTTGAAAGCTTGGATTCTCATATAAAAAGAGCTTATTGTATTCTTCTGGGATCAGCTGTTGTGACAGTTGATGAACCTACACCGGACCAAGATATTAAGAAACTTATATCGCCTAGATCATTGCTTGGTTCATTTATACAAAAAATCGTAACAACATTTAGACTATTGCATTTTGACGAAGAGCTTCTTTTATATGAAGCATTTGTTGATTACAGGGAGCCTTCCAGAGCATTATATGTGTCAAACGGAGGTAACATACAACATTATAATAATAGACCTATAGACCTTTTTGATTCCAAAAGAAAGCTATTGGAAAAACCAGCATTTGCATTTGAGAACGCCAAAATCAAAGAAGCAAACGGAAATAATGAAAACGATGAAATCCTTTTTAATACACTCAAAACTCAATTAAATGAAAGCTTAGGTGTAAGCTTGCCAACACCCTCACAATCATCTCAAAGTGTTAATTTGAAATTATTGCCAGTCCCGAAACATGATATACAAGTTCTATTGGATAAACAGATAAGTTTATTGGAGGTATATGGAACTGAAACTCCTAAGTTATTACGTGATGTGATGTCATTAATGACATCTCCTAATTCTAATACATGCCTGATTCAGAATACTACATTTAATAATTTACCATCATATTATTATGTTAACTATTTGGAATGCTTGCACGATCTCGATTATGAAGGCGCTTTTCAGTCATTGCATCAATATTTTGATTATATGGTTTCGAATAATTCGAAATATTTCTATCATTTTGCATTAATTTCTAGGGCATCTTTGCACCAGTTTTTTGGTGAAGACGAAAAAGCCTTAGATGCAATTCAGGAGGCTATTTCTGTTGCAAGAGAAAATAAAGATAATTCAACATTAACATATATTTTATCATGGTTATTCAACTTTATGAAGAATAAACCTGAGTTATGGAACACTCAAACATTTTATCATAACAACAATGAACAGCACTTGTTGGACTTTCTAGTAAACAAAACTCAGTCAGTTTCCCTTCTGCTATATGCAATGAGTTACCATTTTGAAACATTACATGTAATGAATAATGGCGGTCCTCTAAACAAATACCTTGAAAGCTTGCTTAAGGCTACTTATATTTCTATTAATGACGAATTACCTACGTTTATAAAATCTGTTGAAATGATTGCAACTGTTTGGAGTAGAATTGGGAATCCGCATCTATGCAGTGTTTACACAGATATTGGTCTCGAATGCACCAAAGATACGGGAAACTTAAGTGACGAATTATCAATTGAAATAAGAAAATCTTATTTAGAATATTATAGTGGGGACACAGAAATAGCCTATTCGAAGTTAGAAGCTTTGAAACATAAAACGGTGAGAGATCAATCGCTTTACAAAATGTTGCAATTGCGAACATTGATAATGCTAGTAAAGATAGCATTAAAAAAAGGCCGTTTTAAATTTGCGCAGAAGATCATGGAAACGCTATCCAACAATGAAATTCAAGAAATCGAATTAAAAGCAGAGATGGTTTATCTACATGCTGAAGTTGAAACTGCGCTAGGTAACTTTTCGAAAGCTTTAAACTACATATCAAGTAATTTATCACGGATCGAGTCGCAACATTCTAAGACTCAGACTAATTTGCATACTATAATAAGACTTAATTTACTAAAATGCTATATATTCAATAAGTCAGGAGCACATTCAAGAGCCATTTCTCTCATCATTCAACAAATACAGCATGCGAAACAAACAGGATTCAAAACCTTAGTTGTTGAAGGGCTAATAATATTAATTTCCATTTTAAATAATATGGAATGTTACGAAGATTCTTATCAAATTTTAAGTGCAATAATGCCTGAAATTCTTATGGTTGAGAACAAGGAGTATACATCTACAGCATACTTTGAATTTGCTAAAACGTGCTTTAGGCTAAGCTTCCAAGATCAATTAACTGCACTGAAGTTAAATGTAAACGAAAAACAATTACTTAATAGATTTTTGAAATTTTTAAACACAAGTATTAGCGGGTTCCGCCAATCTTTGAATTTAGAGATGTTGAAGGAATGCTTCAAATTGGAAAAAGATATGGCAGATATGAAGCAATTAGACGAGCTCCAAGAGCATTCGGCAAAATCATTAGAGAAATTACGCAAAAGAGCATTAGAAGAAGCTGATTATGGATTTGTTTTAAATAATAATAAAATAGAAAATTAAGTACTTATATATAGGTTTAATATTTATTACTTATGACTGATTAATTAAATGAAACTTCGACAAAATAGACTTTAGATCGACTTCGCTCAACCAGGAATTTAACCTTGTGATAAGATTAGAGGTAGATATACACACAACAACAAAATTTATAAATATGTAGAGAGCGAGTTGAAAAATCAAGTGATAATTAGGATGTTATCATTTTATAAGGCAATGACGTTGAATTATGACTAATGGTTTCACAGGAAATTTGCTCATCATAGGCGGTTGATCATTTAATTCTTTTTTGAAGACTTGTCCTTGGCATCCATAGTAGCTAAAATCAATGCAGCAGCTCTCAATTGGATAACATTTGCAAATTGTTTGAAGAACCAAATTGGGGCACTTAAGAAAACTAGAACCGTGCCTAACCAAAAGAAATCAAAGTAATGTAAGTAAATAGCAACATAAAATAATTCATTAACAAGACAAACAACAAACAAAACTGTTCTATTTGTATAATATAATGACAATATCTTCGATTGGGATTCATCAACGTTCTTATGGGATGCAGAACCACTTGACATCATAGCATACATGTGGATATAATGAGAAGCCAAATCCAAAGATACTAACAATTGCCAAAGTAAACAAAAATCAGGATAAATGACACATAAGAAACAAGTCAATGATGTTGTGGCACATCTGTCAGTAACCATATCCAATACTGCTCCATACCTTGTACCTTGGTTATATTTTCTAGCTGCGTAGCCATCGAATGCATCTAAGAATCCTGAAATTCCATATAAAATTAAAGTACTTATAGGACGATTTTTCATACAAGCAAAAGACAATATTGCTGTCAATACACGAAGATAACCAATCAAGTTAGGTATGTAAAGCATAACATCTTTAACTGTTACGTTGCCTTTCGATGGCTTTATTATTGCTGAGGTTTGCGGTGTTACCGACATGATTTTTTATTAGTCTCTAGTAGTATTCACGAATGTTTCCTAAGAAATACTGATAGTAGTATAATAATAGTCTTATTTACAATTAATTTGAATACCTGAATTTATAGCTAAAGTACTATCTGAAATTGAAAAAAAAAACAGTTCATGGAACTTTAACTGAATTTTCGGCGAGCAGTTCTGATATAAAAAAACTGGATCGGATATTTCTTTTAGAAGCTCTTCTTTATGGGGAAAGTACAAGTTAGTGCTTAACAGCTATATATTCAAGGGTAGGCGGTACTACTATCGTATGGTATATAATGTTTATAATCTAATTCTTCTCACCTTTTTCTTGATCATCTTGCTGTAGGCATTCGGATAGCGTCGGATATGAACTCCAGTTGACCCGTTGATCAGTTGACCAGTTGATCAGTTGATTTCGATATAGAGAATTCTAACACATGTATTGATAAAAGATGATTTCACAAATAATGTGGTTTAAAAACATATATTGAAGTTTCCTGTGGTTAGTTTTTGGAACCAAACAATTGCTAGTTTTCATATCCCGTAATTAATTATTTGTACGGTTATCTACAGTTGAAAAATACCATTGATAAAGTACCATTGATATCTAAAAAGCATTAGGCATGATCAGGAACGCAAAAAAGACATCTTAATCAGTTCTTATGGAAATATATGCCATTGCATTGAGGATAGAGAGTTCTTACGGAAAACAGAAAAGCCGACAAATCCGTTTGAGATACCTTCAATATTCCTGACACCACACGATAAGCCTATCTACAGTATAAATAAAACTATTATTACAAATTAATAGGATGTACCTCGTTTAACACGTAACAACATTACCACAATAGAGGGTATTGAACTAGAACAGGTTCTATTCTAGTAAATAGCTATCTATAATCATTGATAATCATTGATAAGCATCGCTTCGAACCCAGACTTGTTCCGTAAATATTACTAAGCACCATTTAGAGCAATCGAGGTCTACATTACTAAATAATATATAAGGAAGTATATTGACCGAAATAGTTCTCCATATACATCAATTGATTCATATCATAAAGATGTCTTGTGGAACAGTATTAGTAACAGGTGGTACAGGATTTGTAGGAACCTACTGTGTTATTCAGCTGCTTGAACAAGGTTATGATGTTCACACTTCCGTACGAGACTTAAAGAAAGAAAATAGGTTACGTGAAATAATCAAGGCCAATAGTAAGCTTGATGATAAGACGGTTAAGGAAAAATTGAAAGTGTTTGAAGCTGATGTTACCGAAGATGACGGATGGGCGGAGGCATTCCAGGGAGTTGATCATGTTCTTCATGTTGCATCGCCATTTCCATTAACTGAGCCTGAAGATCCCAATGACTTAATAGTCCCGGCTAGAGAAGGTACATTGCGTGTATTGAGATTTGCTACTTCGTCTCCGTCTGTTAACCGTGTTGTGCTTACATCGTCTTTCGCAGCCGTAGGCTATGGGCATGCTGAACGTTCCAAACCATTTGATGAGAACGATTTTACGAATATCGACGGAACTAGTGTAACTTACGTCAAATCTAAAACGATTGCTGAAATCGAAGCGTGGAAATTTGTTAAGAGCGTTGCGAATACTCATGCCCAAAGCCCAATTTCACTAACTGTTTTGAATCCAGCGTACATCTTTGGACCTTCTTTGAAGAAGAGCCTTGATAATTCGTCATCTTTGAAAATAATAAATAATTTGCTCGATGGTACGCTTGCTGACGGGTGTAAAAATATGTACTTGAGTGCCGTTGATGTAAGAGACGTAGCAAAACTTCACGTTCAAGCTTTGCAGACCCCAGAATCAGAAGGAAAACGATTTATCTTGACGACAGGTGAAAACATTTCATTGCTAGATGTGGCAAATATTTTAATTGAAAATTTGCCATCTGAATATACGAAAAATGTGCCAACTAAAGAAATTGAAGGGACGAAAGATATTCGGAAACCATCTACTAACGAGAAAGCTAGAAGGGTTTTCAATTGGAAACCAATTCCCTTGAAGGAAGCAATATTGGAGTCTGCAAAGGGGTTGCTAGATATCTAGGAGTATGATGTATCAAGCCGTAGATTGTAGTGCGGTATTCACTTTCAGCGATTTCTACAGAGTTCTTCCAAAATCTTTGTTATAAAAATGTTAGTGCAGTAGAAGGATTTACATTCTATCAAACAGAAAATGGCCGAATAATGTTTGCGAGAACGATTTTAGTAACAAAATTAGGAAAACTGATTTTCTGAAGTAGATACTCTGTGATATAGTTATTGGAGAAACCATATATATCTTTGTATGTTATGAATTAATTTATTTTTGTTTGGCTGCGTGTATTGTAGTACTTGTAAGCGAATATTTGATGCGCTTAAGAAAAGTATATAATTTTTCACAGTTATTGTTTACAAATAAAGCTTCGAGTTTGCCTTTATTTTTAGTCAATTCTTTCGACTATAATGGTTTCCATATCCACGCTCCTACATGGGGGATTTTTATTGGTTGGTCAAAGTGCATATCAAGATGTTGCAAGCCCTCAACAGGCATCAGTCGAACAGTATAATATTGTCCGGTTTTTAGGTGGGGCAGGACCATATATTCAAAACCCAGGCCATGGTATTTCAACAGATGTACCAGATCAATGCACAGTCGAACAAGTGCAATTAATTCTGAGACATGGTGAAAGGTTTCCCAGTTCTAGTGCAGGGAAGAAATATGAAGACATCATGCAAAAGTTTGAAGACTACAATGGTACATTCAGTGGGCAGTTATCATTCTTGAATGACTATACTTATTTTGTGTCGAATAAGGACTTATATGAACTCGAAGTAAGCCCTTCGAATTCACGTAGCCCGTATGCTGGAACCACAAATGCCTTGAAGCATGGTGCGGCTTTCAGAGCAAGATACGACTCTTTATACAACCCCTCTAATGCTATTCCTGTTTTCACCACGAGTAATACTAGAGTATACGAAACATCGCAGAGTTTTATTCGAGGCTTTTTGGGACAAGAGTATGATGAAAGTAAAGTTGATACTGTAATATTATCTGAAAGTAGTGAAATGGGTGCAAATAGTTTGACTCCTGCGAGTGCATGCAGTGCGTGGGATTCAGAAGAAAGTGAAAATATTTTGAGCCACTATTCTAATGATTATCTTGACAGTGCATTAAAGAGACTTTTAAAGCCAAACCCGGGGTTGAATTTGACTACAGATGACGTTTATAACATGTTTGGTTGGTGTGCCTATGAACTCAACGTGAAAGGTGAATCACCTTTCTGTGAATTATTTACAAACGAAGAATTCATTAAATATGAATATTCAGTTGATCTTTCGGATTACTATTCAGACGGTCCAGGCAATTCCGTCATAAAACCAATTGGATCAGTACTCCTAAATGCGTCTTTACAACTATTGAAGGACGAAGACCTGTCTAATAAAATATATGTGTCGTTTACACATGATACTGACATAACCAATTACATTTGTGGGGGGTTGGGTTTATTTGAACCAGAGAATCCCTTGCCTGCAGACCATATACCATTTTTTAATCCATATGTTCGTTCACACATTGTTCCACAGGGGGCAAGGGTTTATACAGAAAAGCTTAAATGTTCAAATGGAAGTTATGTTAGGTATATTGTTAATGATTCAGTTATTCCCATCAATAATTGTACTTCTGGCCCCGGATTCTCTTGCGGCATGGATCAATTTGAAGACATAGTGAAAACTAGATTGGAAGGAGTTGACTACGCCAAACTGTGTAAAATCGGTAATGCTACCAGTGATTTGACATTTTTTTGGGATTACACTAAAGTTAAATATAATGCACCACTTAAGAAGGCGTCTTATTAGTTTATAATGGAACTGAATTTAATAGATATTAGATTTTATAAATAAAAATACTACATCACCACTCCAAGTCACTGAATACGTGTAAATACTTTTCGTCTAATTGCCCTTTTTCTTTTGTTACCCTGATTTTATTATAATAAACCAGACAGGTATGATTAACACATTCATTCATGCAGCTTCTAATAGATCTAGACCCCAAACCCTCATAATTCATATTGACACACATTTCACATGTTTTATCTGCGGATAATACTTTAAATTCTCCCAATTTAGAGGACATAGAAAGGTTTGCGATTAATTCTAATTCGTTGCTTAGACATTGACAGCAAATGAATTTAGACTTGGAATGCTCTTCTAATTTTGAGCCACAACATGCACAAGAGTTTGATTTTATAAACTTTGCAAATTGGAAAATATTTGTCTTCGTTTCAAATAGTTCGTTGCTGAATTTGGGCAACTCTTTATACCAACCTTTGATATCTACCCCAATCAAGTTAAAAATACGTTCTAAAGGGGGGATCAAAACTCTTGTAATATAGTATTCATTATCCAAGCTTAGAGGTTTCAGAGTGTTGTATGATTTAATGAAATCCTCAGGTGATATGCACCTATCCCTTATTCGAAGTTTGGATGAATCTTGGAAAATGAGATATGGAACCCTTTCGCGATATTGCGGTTCATTTCTTGGGTCCTTATTCACATTTCTATTTGCAATAATAGCACCCGGCGGTAAATGTGCCTCATTTTTGTAAGTCCCAAAACGTACCCCCTTAGCAAAGCAGAAATCCTTTATAGAAACTTTATTAATTAAAATCTTGTAAAATTGTTCCATTGTATACTTCTTAATTAGCGACAAATTTTTAGTTTCAAATAATAGTCTAATTGTCTTCTCAACCATTTTCTGCTGAGCTGGTATACCATCTCTTCTAATCGTTTCTATTCCTTTCGCATCAAATTTCGGTTCCTGCTGATCTTCATATTCATAACTATAACCAACGTACCGTTTCTTGGCAAGCAAAATACAAGGGTGATATACCTTCTCAAATTTTAGCTTTATAGGATCAGGGAATCTATCTGTTATAAAACTTGCAAGCTCTTTGCCGATTTTGAATGCATCTTTTTTAGTCTTACCAGGCAAATAAACAAACAAAGAATCTGTATCGCCATATACAACTTTCGCCCCATAGTGTGTCAGTTCAATTAAGCTTGCGGACTGAGTTAAAATTTCTCTACCAGTTGAGACAATAGCATCCGCGATATCAGAATTTGGCATTCTACCACTAAAAGTCGCTGAAGTGTATCCGTATGTGACGTTTGCAATTAATTTCAAGGCTAATTGACGTGAATTATATAATTTAATTAGCTCCGGATCATCTTTAAACAACTTCATTACATATTTAACATTGATTCTTGCATTCAAAATTTCCTCAAGCATCTTGGCTAACATAGACTTTCGAATAGACGATTTAACAAAAACATAACCGTTAGGTGAAATGTTTAGACCATCGATTTTGGCAAATAAATCAACTAAGCCAGGTGGTAATTTAAGGTTTTTTAAATAACCAATAACGTTCTTTTTTGGACTGAACCCATGCAACTTACCTAAAATTGTGGAATAACAATAGTTATAAGCAATCATAATTGATGGATATAAGGATTGAAAGTCTAAGACTACCAAAGGAGACTTGTAAAAATTCGAATCTGGCTCCATAACCAATGGAATACATTCTAACAGCCTCATTTCATGAACTTGTTGTTTTGAAACTGAATTTAGCAATATATTCTCTGCCTTAGTTATCCTACATAAAATAGATTCAACTTTAAACTGGGATCCTCTATAGAAATTAGAGTTGAAATCAATTCCAATTAGTCTAGATTGCTCAACATTTTTTGTAATCAACTCTTGAATATCAATAATTTTCATCATTAATTGAACCCTTTTCATATAGTACTTGAAAACAGACAACAATTCCAGAAAATTGTTTCCAGAATACCATTGACTTAACTGAAAATTCAGGTATTTTGGTAGCGTTTGATGAAGCAAATGATATGAGATATTCTCCAAAGAATAATTTGTAAGACTTAATTCAGATTTCAACAACCTCCATAAATTCAATATATGACGCCCATTAATTTTGAACGCAGATGTATGAGTATATCCCCATCTATCGCCGAATTTGCCGTTGCTTTTGAACTTACAACGGCTCAATTCAAACAATAAATTTATGTCATAACTATTTCGAAACCGTTCAATAACATAGCCCCAAGATGATGCGTTTATCTCATACCCAGATAGAATGTCCGGATCAAAGCATTCAACAAGCCAAATTAGTTTATCAATCATTGATTTTTCATCAAAAAATATCGTGACTATAGGCTTTTCGACAAGGTAGCTTGAAACCTTCCTTAATTGCTTATGAAATTCATCTGTCAGAGATCCTGGTTCAAGATAAACCAAAATGCCAACTTTGTCATTATTCTTGAGGAACATTTGGTTCGAGTCGCTGAAAGTATAAAAAATCATCGTAATAGGGTCCACATTCGGGTTAGGTAATAGATCATTAAAAGTATTAACATGGATTTCTATATGGAAATTAGTTAGCGAGTTGAAAGAGCTGGGTTTACGTGATACTTTTTCCGATCTATATGAAAACTTAAAGTCATTGGTTTGGGTAATCGGAGGTTCAATTTGAGATCGGAATTTAGACCTCTTGTATTTCATCTTAGCTTCCTCTACAGTAACCCATTTCTCAATTTCTGCTCTCAGAGGTGGTTCAATAAGATACTTCCAAGAACAGATGCTCCTTGCACATACTTTATTTTTTGAAGAACTTGAATCCCTTAGACTTTTTTTAATCATCAACGACATAGGTAATAAATTAGAACCTGCAGTCACTTTAACGGCTTCAATCGTGTTGTAATTTATAAGAGGAATACTAATTTTCTTATTAGCGAATATCATTGGCTTAGACTGAACGTCTGATTCCTTGTCATAGTGTGGGTCAGCGTAAATAACTTTCAACATATGTTGCTCATCAAAACTTTTCATTATATGATTGGGATCTAACAAATGAGGCTTTATAATTTCATAAAGGTGTCTATTCATAGGGACATCTACTAGGTCAGGAAGATTATCACTTTCTTCCGACTCTGCAAATCTGCTGAAGTAATTACGTGGTGAACTAGGAACTTGCAAAGCCGATTGCCCTTCCTCTGTTGCTTGAGAAGCAGACGTTCTCCTCCTCTTCCTCTGGCTTACTTCAAACATTATATCATGGTCTGATCGATTAGGATGGCTTTGAACACCACCATGTTCTGCAAGATCAATATCACTTTCCTCAGTTCCATCATTTGGGTTAATTTGTTCAGAATCTGTGAAATCATCACTATCAAAATCTATACCCAACGAAGATTTGGATTTGGCTTCGATAATATCACTATGAATGACATCATTTTCTTCCTGTTTAGAAATATCTTTGGACATAATCAGATCTTCAAACAACGACAGATAAACAGTCCACTTCATTAGATCGTCGTTGAAATTCAACAATGATATACCACCTGAAGAATTAGTGACCTTCTCTATATCAATTAAATCAAATGCTGTTGAAAATTTAGAAAATTTATCAGATTCAATAAATCGCTTGAAATATTCATCTAATTTTTCTGTAGGAGCAGGCTTTGTTAGAGAAATTACATAGCTCATCAAATCTTCTAAATCAGATTGATTTTCCCAAGACGTCCCACCCAAGCCTAAGTTATTCTGTGAAAACTGTGACTCAGTCATCTTTGAGCCCCTTGATTCACATTGATATTTCAAATCCTTATAGATATGATTTAGCGACGATAAATGTATCTCACTGTTAGGTATTCCTGAATTGAAACGACGATTCTCAACGAAGTCATTGTGTAAATGCCGTTGTTTAATATAACTTCTATTATGTATGTTCTCGGTTGTGATATCAAATTCTAACAAGGATCTGCCAATTCGAGCAAAATTAAAACTATCAAGAATATTGTTAGGTTTGATGAATGGTCGCAAATACGACTTAAGATGCGCCGTATCTATGTTGGTATTGTCATTTAGAATAGGGTATCTTAAATAAGTATTGTTTATTTCCAACCAACCACACCCAAACAAATTAAAATCAGTTAAAAACTGAAGTAAATAAGGAATGTGCGCTTCGTATACGTTCACCGCATACGACTTCTTCGTCCCTCTGTCAAAACTAGAGCTGAAGTCGCAGATATTGATAAGCTTGTCTTGAAAAAGGTTAGTTAGCCTTGTTTTGTACAAAGGAGAAAGCAACGAGATTTTGTAAAATAGCTTGTAGCCAATTTGATACCCGTATATTGGTGAAGCTTTACATATTGCCACCTTAGCAATAAATTTTCTTTTACCCAGGCCCGAATCGGTATTCAAGTTTATTACCTCTTCTTCCTCGTCACCTTTCTTTCGCAGAAAGGACTGCTGCAAGCTCTTTTCAAGATACTCTTCCAATTGACCTATATAATCTTTTGATCTCAACAATGCCTCATCCTCAAAACAATCAACATACAAATACGGGTAGTAATTGTGAACATGCACTAGAACATTATACGAGAGGGCTTTTTCCGCATGTTTAGCATCGCCATGTTTCGTATGACTATCATCGGCGTTTTCTCTATCGCCATCGCCATCATCTATGCCCACAACCAACGACCCAAAAATCCTTATGATAGGAACCTGAACAACATCATTATACAATTGATCTAGCTTCAGTGAATGTGTCTGATATGTATCGTAATCGTTTATCTGAACATGTAATCTAGCATCGCTCATGTAGGGTCCGACAGCGCTTAATAGACCGTTAAAACAACTTACAAAAGCTACTGGTGATCTATTTCACTTAGTGCGGGTGCTTTACTCCTATTACCAGAGGTTATTATACGAGCCGAGCTGTCTCTTCTACCAGGAATCAGGATACCCAAAAATTGTGCCCAAGATCCTTATAGTAAAGGTGCATCAAAAAATAGAAAACGTCGTACTCTTATTTGAACATTTGATTACTGCAGCGCAACAGCTAATGCACACTACATGCTATTGCTACATCATCTTACAGCGACTTAACCTAGTTGATGCCTTATTTTAATGTGCCACACTTTACGTCGCTTCGACACTTCGGTTTCGACCTGCGGGCAAACTATATCGACTACAGCCCTCTTCTCGGTATCACTACATCCTAAGTTATCCGAGTTTTTATCTGGCATATTTGCATTGAGATATCCTCCTTCTGCTAGTTCATCCGAAATTTACAATAAGGCATGCATATGTAGTACGAGCTTGTTGAATTATCCGATTTATCCACAACTAATGATTTTTAATTAACCCATGTCGTAACCAAATATCTTTCTAGGTTTCGGTTCCACCGTATATGATAATTATTGTTCTTTGTCGATTAAGTATTTGGACCCATGGTGCAATAGAAAACCTATCAGGCGGGTATCTGCAGTCAATGCCTTTATTACTCCCACATTCCCCAAAACTCAACTTATTTTACTGACTTGTCCAGCGTGAAACGCCTCAGATATCCCTCCCTTCACTCTATTGCTTACATGCACCTTAACAATAAGATGTTCGCAGCCATTTTCAGCATTTTGCGCGACTGATCCCGTAATCGTACGACGAGACACCCTAGTGCTTTTTAAAATGGCCCTATATGGGTTATGCGACATTCCTCTTGGTCGGGCTTTTTTCACTCCATGTCCCCCAATGTCGCGCTCCCACGTTATCCAGTCTTAATAAGCGTCTTATTGCTTAACAAGCAAGTGATTGTTCCTAGAGGCGTCTTGTGACGGGCATATCACATATCCTGACGGACCGCAAATGGGCCATACCACTTCAAAGGTTATTTAGACTACCAACCGTAGTATATCGTTATCTTAAGGTAACCTCTGTTGAAACCCGTAGATTTTCCTTCGTAATCGGAACGAAATGGCCCCTAAAATACTATATGCGATGTGTCGTAATGGCATCTTGCGGCATTACTTTCGACGTAGAAGGTTACCTAGCGCCGACTCCAGTAGTTCGCAGTAGGGCGATTGGCAACGCCTCAAACATACATAGATTTATGGTTCTAAACTCCACAAACGCCTCCATTTATTACAGGCACTAGGTTTACTACCGATTGGTCTATTTACAATAGGATGTTATTCCCATTGAATTCGAAGTGTGGATAGAAACGCAGGGGTCGCTGTTACTTAGCCTGTATTGAAGCTCCCATGCGCTTTTTCGGATTGTATGGGACAGTAACAATAGCATGGGCCCATATTGCAATTGCCACGGGAACAAGTTGCTTCGAACGTTCTTTGGTGTACGATTACATATGTCTCTATATACAGCTGTATGTGTATTCTCCACCAAGTATCTATAATTTGTTTTCATTTGAATTTATAGATTCAGTTCGTAATTAAAAATAAATTCTCCAACACTCAAAGAAAATAATTTTCTGAAACAGACTCTTTTAAAATACATAATATTATTAATAACTTAATAGCTTGTTAACGTGGGAATAGGATTATAGATATTTCAAGAAGAATTATCATAACGTAAAGAATAGTTGAATACAGGGAAACCAACTTAAGCGTTGACACCATTTTAGTGTAACTAGAAAACGAACAGAAAATTTCGACGATACAACAGACTGTCGGGATTAACATACAAGAATACTTAACGTTTTTAACAAAATACTTGTTAAAGAATAGCAGAAGGTGTCTAGTAGGTATTGGTTATTTGGAGAAACACAAATAAGCAAAGGGATTTACATTATAGAGACTTAGACGTCGAGGTGCTATTGTATTCGACCAATATTCAGTATCAGCCAATTTTGAGTGATTCTGATACCATCACATCGGTTACAGGTGAGACAACGTACAGAATAGAGACACATCAATGAGTGATGCAAAAGATACAGCGGACAACTTAAGTCCCGGGTTTGAGAACCTAAACCTTCGAACGCCTAAGGCGGCCAATCATGAGAATACGCAGTCACCACAGAGAGTATCACATTCACAGATAAATGGTGATATTCAGGCCAGGATATTGGCATTTCAACAGAAGAGAACAAAACCGGTGAATGGTGGACATGGTGGGTTAAATTCTATGCCACCTTCTACCAACCACTTGAATGAGGCACCAGACAAGCCATTACCACCATTACCACCACTACCTTCATTACCTAAATTGCCTAATATGCTGGCACAACAAAGGTCTTATTCTCTGGGAGATGCTAACGATTTAGGTGTAATTCCTTCGCCAATGGAAGCGGAAAATAACCACTCAATCAACCACTCTATGAATCAGGCTATGAGCAGAGGTATGAACCAATCTATAAGCCAAGGTATGTCCAGAACTTCGAGTTTAAAGAAGCAAGATTCCCAGCAGCCACCATTTGAATTACTGAAGAAGCCATCTTTATCCCAAAGAAGAGGTATGAAGCTTAATTTAAGTGAAATGAGTAGCCCAACTAGTGCTAGTTCTCCAGATGATACGAGTCCCATAGGTGACGATAGAAAGAACCCGGTGTTTCCAAACGCACCAAAGGGAAGTGATATGGAGTCTGGAGCTTTGAACACGACTGGTGATTTATCAAGAATGTTATCGGACAGAAAAAAGAAACCCAACTTTAAGTTGAATTTGTCTAATACAGGCGCTCCTGGAGTAAGCGGTATGCAAAATTCACAACCAAATTCAAATTCAACTTCGACAACCTCATCATTAAATTCTTCTGGATCCTCAACTACCATGGCCACCAACAATGAAACAAATCAATCTAAGAAGCCTCAATTGCAGGGTTTATTTGCAAATTATTCGAAATATGTAGATATAAAATCTGGTTCGTTAAATTTTGCTGGTAAGGCCTCTTTGCATTCAAAGGGGATTGATTTCCTGTCAGGATTGCTGTTCCGTATCTCGTTAGAGGAATTGGAGTTCTTAGAAGAATTAGGTCATGGTAATTATGGTGTTGTTCTGAAGGTTTTACATAAGCCTACAGGCGTACTTATGGCAATGAAAGAAGTGAGATTAGAATTGGATGAAACAAAATTCACACAGATCTTAATGGAATTAGAAATTCTACATAAGTGTGACTCACCATATATTGTCGATTTCTATGGTGCTTTCTTTGTTGAAGGTGCTGTTTATATGTGTATGGAGTATATGGATGGAGGCTCTTTGGATAAGATATACGGTAAAGATGACGGTGTCAAAGATGAAGCATGTCTTGCATACATAACCGAATGCGTTATACGTGGATTGAAGGAGTTGAAAGATGAGCATAATATTATCCATAGAGATGTGAAACCGACGAACATTTTGGTCAATACACTAGGTAAAGTAAAGTTGTGTGATTTTGGAGTTAGTGGTAATCTAGTAGCGTCATTAGCGAAGACAAATATTGGCTGTCAGTCATATATGGCTCCCGAAAGAATTAAGTCATTAAGCCCAACTGACAATACCTATTCTGTTCAATCTGATATTTGGTCTCTAGGATTAAGTATTTTGGAGATTGCAGCGGGCCATTATCCTTATCCGGCTGAAACTTATGGTAATATATTTTCCCAATTAAGTGCTATTGTTGACGGGGACCCTCCTAAATTGGACCCCAAAGTGTTCTCCAAAGATGCTCAATTATTTATCAAGAGCTGTTTAAATAAAAATCCGGATTTGAGGCCTTCATATGCAACTTTGTTAAAGCACCCATGGTTGGCGAAATATAGGAAGATTGATCCTCATATGGATAAATTTGTAACAAAGAAGATTCAGGAGCTCGAAGAAGAAAAGAACAAGAAGAATTTAAGCAGGACAAATAGCACAAATTCGTCAGCTACTACCGCCAAGCCTCCAAAGGAGAATGTTCGCTCTTTATTAAAAGGAAAAGTTCAAGCTCCTGCTTTGCATAGAGGCGGGTTAATGAATTCAAACAGAAACAGCTCCAATCGATAATCATAATTTAATGACGTTCAATTGAATTTGTGATTACAACAAATTTGTATTATATTTTCATTTTGCTCATGTATTAACTATTTGTAAGAACAACGAATAAGCTAGTATTTTTACTGAATTACATGTGCTATCCTCAGTCGGAGACATAGGTTTATTTTCCGATATAAAGATTATTATATCATTCACGAACATGATTTCATTTCATTTAGATTCATAGTTATGTATTGTTATAATTCTGTATTAATTGTGTTACGTATATGTATAAATTATATTATATTCCATATCTAATTAGAGAAGCTAGAACTTCATCTCTTAGTTTTTTTAGCATTGGTATGGTTTTTGTTCTATTTATCTATAGACTATACAAATATGTCGCGCGACATTTTGGTTTAATGAAATCGAGTTAACCCTTGATCAATAAAGGACATAGTTACAACTGGAAGGTGTATTCACAGACAATCAGAATGTTACAAATAGAACAGAATAACTTATTGATTCAAAATACTTTGACGGATAAGATTTTTCCAAGTCCTGATGCTCCTTTGAAATCATTAGATAGAATTGTCTCAGATTTTGATTTTACTACATACCATATTTCGACATTACCGGATAATAAAGAATTGATTCTTATTTCTGTATATTTGAAATGTTGGAGTGATTTGGTTAATTATGGGGTTGAAGCATACTTGGGAAGCAAGTATTCCAAATATGAGGGACCTTTAACTATTTTACCCAGCAAAGATATCGAGTCTAATTATAATTATTCCATGGTTTTGGATTTGGGACAATTGAGTAGCAAGGATGATGAATTTAAGAATCAATTGATTGAGGATTTATCATTTTTGAAAAGGCATTGCATGGCAGCTCCATTCGAAAAAGCTTTCAGTAGATACGACGAGTTGAGTGAAACGTATGCCAGCAGTAACACGTATGCTGAGGAGATTCAAAGCGAATTAAAAAACGAAGAGGTTTTAACTATTAATTATCGTGGTTCAGATGAGAGCATTTACATCAAGCCATCATTCGACAGAGTTACCGTGATTTTCTCTACTATTTTCAAGGACGAAACCGATAAAATCTTTGGTAAAGTTTTCCTTCAGGAATTCGTTGATGCAAGAAAAAGATCGGTTCAAAATGCTCCACAAGTATTATATTCTCATAAAGTGCCACCATTGGATATTCAACGTGTGGTTAAGAATTATGATGACGACAACAAAGGCTATGTTACATTTGTTTTATTCCCTAGACATTTAACTAAGGGCGACAGAAGGGATAATTGTATTTCCCATATTCAATTTTTCAGAAACTACTTCCATTATCATATCAAATGTTCTAAAGCTTACATGCACTCGAGAATGAGATTTAGAGTTAAAGAATTCTTGAAGGTCTTAAACAGAGCCAAACCAGAGAACATCGATGATGACGGTAAGGCTGTTGACAACAGAAAGACAGCCAGTGGTAGAAGATTTGACTCAACCAGGGTATGAGCTATGAAGATCACACACTAGACTTTTATGTAACGATTTGTTCACACTTGTTTTGTGCAACAGAAACCAATAAATTTACCGAATTTAGTTTATTAAATATTTACAGACTTATCAAAATATATACTTTGTACAGCACCTTTATCACCTAATTATCCTTAGGCTTCTTAACACCGTATTTTGATCTCGACGTAGTTCTGTTAGCCACTCCTGCTAAATCAAATGCTCCTCTCACCAAACGATACTTTACACCTGGCAAATCTTGCACTCTTCCTCCTCTCACTAACACAACATGATGCTCTTGTAAATTATGTCCTTCTCCTGGAATTAAACATGAAACAACGTTACCGTTCGATAATCTTACACGACAACACTTTCTTTGTGCTGAGTTTGGCTTTTTCGGCTTGACAATCATAACACGTAAAACAACCCCTTTTTTGAATGGGTTGGTATCCAAATGCGGTGCCTTGGAAACATATGGTTTGACAGGTTTTCCGTGTCTACCACTCTTTATTTGGTTCAAAGTAGCATATCTTTTTTGTTGGTTCAAAAGATTGAACTGGTTATTTATAGGAATATTACTTCTGATAGATGACAAATAAGACGTAACAGGGGCTACTCTGCTGAAGGTGGATGCAGACTGGATTGAAGTCTTACAAATGTTGGCTAATGATCTAATCATCCCGTTTCTTGGGTCTTTTCTTGTTCCTTAATATCGTTAGTACTCTGATTATGTCCCGGCATTGAAAAATTAATCGCAGAATTATAAGGTCGTGTACTTTTGTTAGTGATGTTCAAAAATTCATCAACCACTTAAAACAAACAGATTAATTTACTAGACAGACATATTAACCACATAAACTACCCTAGAGACATTATGTTTAGATCTACTTTCCTCAGAAGTCTTAGAACTCCATTGGTTAGACAAACCATTGCACCACAAGCAATTTCTATAACAAAACCATCATTTGTTCGTTTCTACGCCGGATTCCCAGCTTTAACTAAAGATCTTGCCAAAGAGAGAATCGTTGAATTATTAGAGGGATACGATAAGGTTGACAGCTCTAAGGAAATCACCGAAGAGAGCTCTTTTGTCCAAGATTTGGGTTTGGACTCATTGGATGTCGTTGAAGTCGTCATGGAAGTGGAACACGAATTTAACATCCAAATCCCAGATCATGAAGCCGACTCTTTAAAGACCGTTGGTCAAACTATTGACTACATCCTTTCACAACCTGATGCTTGTTAGAGGTCTCCGGTCCGACGGGCCTAGTAGTACATCGTGCTGGAAATCGTGCTAGTACACATGCATTGTTTTTTATTCCTATTATTTTTAATATCGTGATTTCTAGCTCCAGTAGTACATATATTTGATTGAAAGTGGTTTATAATTGGAATTATAGAGACTTTGGACAAAACTACGTTTGCTTTAACTGCCTACGTTAATAAAGGTATATTTCATCCACGTCTGTGATGACTATATATCGGTATTTTATAGTCAAAATTTTAAATTATTATTGTATATCACTAGCTAATGTAAGCATATCGTATGGTCCCGACTTATCTCCATATCTCTTTCTAGAATCTATGAATGGTTGACCCATTGGTAGATATAGCTTTCTCCCAATAAACAAGTCACGTGCTATTTTTCAACCAATCGAATTCCAATTAAATTAATCCACTATAATTGACAATATAAAACATTCTGTTACAACTATCTACACTTATCTTTAATAAATATTGAAGAATGGTTTCTGTATGTATTAATCGGATATTAGAACGGGCTGTAATATTAGAAAATGATTTACTTGGATACGTTATGAGGTGAAATTTTACTAACATGAAAAATTTAGTACATTAGAGGTCCAGCTTACAAGTCTGTTAAAACCATTGCTGGTTTAAACTTACCACTTATTAGAAAATACGTTCCTAACTTAGTCATCTGGGGAGGTGCTGGTATTGCAGGTGTTGCCACTTTCACTGAAGGTATTCCATTATTTAAGGACACTTTCTACACTAAAATTCCATACTTCGGTCAACACTGGGTTTACAACCCAGATCCAGAAGAAGTTCCTGTCTAATTATGCATGCTTAGCTATATGGAATTATGTGCTATAATATTTATTTACATAGTTGAATTTCATTGAAATAATAAACACTAGAATAATATTTACGTACCTGTAAGTGTATTCAAGGTATATAAGAAAGAGTTTGACCGTCAAACTCTCTTTTGACATATTCATTTTCTATTAAGTACTCAAGATTTGACTTTAGGTCTGCTATGGAACATGGCCCATTTTTTTCCACTAATGATAGAGTTTGGTTTAATAAATCAAGATATGAGATTTTTTTGGCACTCTTCATGACCCTAACTAAAGCACTCCTGAATTCAACATTTCTATTTCTTTCAAATGTTTTTGTAGGCTCACTATCAAATAGCCCGGCTGATGTTTCTCTATCCTTTGAAAGCGGAATTCTTATTTTTGTTGCTTTATCAGTAAATTTTGAATTGAAGGAATACGTTGTGTTGTGTCTCAGTAAAATTTTGTATTTATCAGATGATAACGATCCGAGTACCTTTTTCAACAACTTATCGCTAATATTCGTAAGCGCTAATATCTCGTCATAAGTATAACTGTCACTATTGTTGAATAATAAAATGACAATTGCCTGAAGTAAATTAACATCCAATTCCTTTTCGCCATTCTCAAATTCAGCTTTAATGGTTAACTGATGCAAAGGGTAATGACTCCAATCAAGAGTACGATTTTTTAATTTCTCGTCCGAATTATGATACAATGCTGTGAAATTATCTAGAATGGTTGTAAGCTGTGGCAGTAAAATAATATTCGAGTCCAATTTGGGCATTTCAGGCCAGTGTTTCTGTTCCAAGACTAATGCAGTAAAGTCAACAGGACTTTCATCTAAAGCTACCAGAGAATATTTTTCTCTGGACAACTCTAGATCTTTAAACATTATTTGCAACCCTACGGTTTCGTCCCCTTCACCAATAAGCTTTAAGAAAGATTCTACTAACTTTCTTTCTAGGTTATAATTTGGAGACTTTCCTAAAAGTAATCTCTTGGATAATTCCTTCTTATAATGAGAAATAAAATCATTTTTATTATTTAGGGCCTTAAAAATGATCAATACGTTGTGTTGAAATTCATTAAATGATAAGTTGACGATTTCATCTTTGTTTGATTTTTTATTGATGCTTTTAAAGAATGAATCACAATACTTACATAACTGGAATATTATAAAAGTATTAATCTTCTTCTCATTAAAGGTCTTTGTGAAGGACTTTCTAACTTCAAATTCAAATAGTTCATTCTTGTTGAATTTATCACCAGCAATGCTCTTATATCTCAAATTTAATTCTACTAATAATGGAATTATATTTTTCAGGCTTGATTTATTATTTTCGATTAACTCCTTAATCGACTGTATTATATATTGACCCCACTCATAAACAAAAATCGGCATTGCATCTAATTGATATTCTTCTAATGATTTTCCACAATAATCATATATTATTCCAAACTGTTTCAAATTTTTATCTTGTACCATAAAAGGCATGCAGCTCTTAATTATTGTATTAAAATCTTGAAATATTAAGATCCATTTGAGTTTCAGTAAAAACTCTATCAAGAACTCTCTCTCATAACCACAATCTTTAAAAAAAGTCATTTCTCTAGATATCTTTGTTAAAACTGTATGTATGTATGTTTCAGGCTTTTCAATCCACGAGTCTTTTAATGAATTATAATGCGATATTATCAGATTGATAAGATCAGTATGTAGCTTGATTTGGTGACTAAAGTTCAATTTTACCAACATTGTTGATAATTGTTTAGCAACTTCTAAATCTCTGATATCTTCAAACTCTCCTACCTTTTTAAGTAATTGTATATGCTTGCGAAGAGTGATTTCGGCTAATCTATTAGTGCCTTCGTCTTTATCAATCAAGAGCTCTTCAACAAACAACGTCATCCCAAATTCTAAGATCATCTTTTTCGAAGGGTGTTGCATTAAATAACACCGATCCAAATAAAGAAACAATTTACTTAATAACCGAAGCTTATGTCTCCATTTTTCATATACTTCCAAATATCTCGTTATAGATTCATTTAATGACAGCAGATTATCCTCTAGAATACTTGTAATGTCAGGTATTATATGGTAATGAAAATGGTCTTCCAATTTTGATTTCAAATGGTCCGCCAATATCGACTGCTCGATATGCTTAAATCTGCACAAGGATTCCACACTTCTGTAATATACATCGAAGCTATATTCAAGCTTTGATCCCTGTAAAATTAAGTCTATAACTCGATGTGCTAGTAATTTAACCTTTTCCTTTTGAGCTGACAAGTGTGATTTATTAACCAGAGCTATATTTGGCTTTTTTCGTTTATTATCATTTCGGAGACTAGGCTCATGTCTTGAGTAATCATGAGATAAATGGGATGAAGTTGCAGTTTTAGAAATTGAAGAGTTAGAGCCACCGAAATCTAAAATTTCAGACGTACTCTCCTCTGTCATAGTATGTCTTATGCTTGTGATGTTCTATGGATTGAGTATAATTATTATAATATAGTATAATCTTTTTACGCAGACATTTTTTGTTATCGCGATTTAAAAGAAAAGTATTAAGGCTAAAGATTTATTATAATACATACTTAATCATAAAACATGAGTGATAATACTGATGGAAAGTCGACCAATACCCCAAATATAACAGAAATAAATGATCCAAAACAGCTAACAACTGTTTACAAGAAGAACGGATCGTTCGATCAACGCAGAAAATTATTATTAGAGGATTTTAAAAAATCAGAAACTCATTCGAATTTGTTATTGAAATTGAAATTAATGGTCGAAAATAAGATAAAGAATGATCCATCAATATTGATGAAGAACAAAGGAAAGATGGGTGCATTAATACAAGGTGCAATTATAAATGATCATATGCAACAAAAATCTGTTAACTCCAAAAATGATAATAGTTTGTTGAGTATAGTAGATAAAGATATTCAAGAGAAAATAATAGATTCGCCAGAATTTCATAAAGAATTAAAGGATGAATTAAAGAATACAAAACGAATACTATTAGGCATAAGTGATGAAGAATATGCAAAACAGCTAGAAGAGGAACAACGCCAACGAGAGTTGGAATTGGAGGAAATGAAGAAGCAAGATACCGAAAGAGAATTAGCATACAAAAATAATTTCAAAGTTAAGAACCTTAGCGCAAATCATAAGGTCACCAAAGCTCCTAGATTTAACTTTTCATCAAATAGGAATAGCGAAAGACACTTCAGAGAGAACTATCAGAGCCCTACTAATGAAACTTCTAATAACTCTAACAAGAATAACGCTAATAATAGTAATACTACTACTACTAATACTAATAATAATAATAGTGCTGGTGAGGATAATAAACAAAAGCAAAATGTTCCTTACTTAATGTATTAGTATATAAAATTAGGAATATATTTAATTACAAACAAGATAAAAGACAATATTGCATTTTAAATACTTAAAATACAAACTAAACTTGAATAGAAATGCATTAATCATCTGTATCAAAAATTTCATTAGCAATAAGCATCAACTCTTCAACAACTTTACTCTTATAACTTAAATCTTGAGGGCTCATTGAATTGTCGTTTAACAATGCTGGTCCCCATATTATGGCTAAACTCTTTGTTGTCATTCTATTCGGAGCCTCATCAGCTGCTACTTTATTTAAATGGAATATTAAAGCTCTTAATGTAAAATAGGCACCGTCGGGTAAATTGAAAACCAAATGATGTAATTTTTTGGCGATATATGTTTCATCCAAAGATTTGACTGTTTCAATGAACGACTGATAATATTCTTTAGTCAATAATGGCTCCGGTAAACTAGTAAAATAACACTTTAATAAAGATGCAATACAATATATGTCTGCATCCAACACGTTATTTGGATCGATATTATTACCAATCATCAAATAATTAGTGAATTTTTGATCAATAGACTCTTTTAAATTTTGAACTGTAGTAACATTACCACTGGTTCTATAAATTCCTTCGATGTCCATACCGTAATTCTCGATTACTTCAATACATTTTTTGACAATTAATGGAACATTATCAATGCCTGCAAACTGAATCACATTTTCAATTGAAACACCAAATGTTGGCTGTGATGCTTGGTTTAACTGTGAACTTAGTGATCTTGGACCATTCAAATCAGGGGTATTAGGGTTGCTTGCGGGATCCAATGAACTATATGTCTGGTTACTTGCGTCACTTTCAGTTTGGGCATGTGAATCAGAATTGAGCATAGAAGCTTGGACAATTTTATTTGATGGAGGTGAAAATGATGAGTTGGTAGTATTGTTCGATGTCAGCTTGGTATTGTTTGCTATGCTATCATTGCGACTGTTGTTAGAATTATTTAAACCAGCAGCAACATTTGTATGATTGGTCGAATTGCTGTTGTTTAAGAAAGGTTTACTGGGCTTCTGTGTTTTAGCTATTGATGGGTGCATTCGATATTCAACTGGGACGAGGGATTTATTGGACGCCTGCTTTTCATGTTTAATCAAATAATTGTATAAGTCTTTTTCATTATCTATAGCAGATGCCAATGCTTTCATAGAAGTTTTTGATGAACCTTCTTGCTTCAAGGGAGAAATTAAAACACCTGAGTTCATGATCAAATTTTCATTCCATGTTGCATATTTTTGCAATTGAACATTCATAGCAATGTCCATTTCCAAAATTAAGTTTTTTAACTTCTTGGAACTAGCTGGTCTATGCAACATCAAGATTTCATCTTTCAACTTTTTACAAGTAGTAACTCTCAGCTTATAATCTTGATCAGCAGCGTCTACTTTTCTTTGTAAATCATCTTCTTGCTGTTCTGCTGACTTGTTCTTCAACGAAAAAGATTTCTTATTCGGGTCAGATGCTTTCAATTTCTCTAAATCATCACAGAGGTGGTAGTATTTTTGTTTTGCTTTTTCAGCTGTCATTACGGAATCCAGGCATTCCTTTTCTTTTCTTTTACTTTCATCCTTTATGGTTTTTCTTGATCTAGAGACGGTGCCAATTAAGGATGTTAATTCATCATACATCACATTCAACGCCTTAACATAAGAACTACCTACATTGAATAATTTCTCATCAAATTCAATAATTGAGTCCAATTTGCTACTAAACGAATCATTTTTCAATTTAGTTGAACCTTTCATAGTAGTTCTTGTATGAGAAGCAAATTTCTTTAATTGATTGTAGTGTTCATCTTCAATTACTGCTTTCTTTTTAACAAACTTAGAGAATTCCTCTCCAGTAGTTATACTTTGTTTAAGTCTATTTAATAATACGTCTAAACTTCCATCACTGTTGAGAAAATTCTGTATTCTATCTTGGTCTAATAATGTAGATGATTCAGCATTCGTACTCATCTTTAATATCCTTCTTCTAAGTTAAAGAAAAGCTAGTTTTACTTCTAAAATCTATTTATTGATTTGATTTTAGTGACAACGAACCGAGCGCGGTCTAAGCATTTAAGACTCAGACGTGAATGATTGTTGATGCTTTAAATTCTAACTAAATAAAAAGAGTTAATATCCTAATAGACAGATACATTACAGAACATGAGATGAATTTATATATATTTATCGAAGAATTATACTAAATATAATAACACTCGACATAATTTAAAGTTGTCGAGTGAGTTGTTAATGAACCATAGTAGTTATGAACAAATGGTAGCGAAACAAGCATTTCATATATAGGCGTAGTAATCTGGTTTCTTTAAAGCAGTGAAAGAACGTACTGAAAGGTCAATAGTTCAAAAGCTTAGTTGAAAATTGTACTACCTCTCTTCTCGTCGTTTCCACCAAATGCAGTCACACCGTGCTCCACGTTAGCCACAGAGAATTCTAAATCGTCTACTGTTATCATATCCCAATACTTATAAATCATCATGATAGTAAAGACATTACAAACACTTCCAAAAAATAGCCCATCGATGTAATGCGAAGCACCACGACAGATATCGTCACTAAATGCGTAAGTCAAAACTTGACCAGCAACAAAGAAGAATACCCCCAATATGATGGCACCCAAAGGCCAGTATGAGTCAAGTGCAAAAATAACCAAGATTATCTGCGATATCACATAAAATGCCAATATAATTGCATTGATAAGATACGTGATCACAAACATGGCTTCTGTCTTTCTACCGTCTAATGCAGTATTCCAGCTCTTGAAAGTGATTAAAGCCACAATAAAGTTGACTATGAACCAACAGACACAGATCAACCTTAACGACCACATCGATTTTCTTGATCCATCCTCCCAAAATTGAAAGCATAATAGCCCATTATACAAGAGACAGATGCACGATGCACTTGCTAATCCTAGTTGAACGGCCACAAAATATGCATAACTGGACGAAGATGGCGGCGACACACCACAGTCAACCACCAAAGAACTAACAATTAAACTGATAATAAGATAGAAAAAGAAAAGCATCTCGGTTCTACCAATAGCTGTGTACTTTGCTCTTACATTAAATATAATAATCAATAAAATTATCAATCCTCCAAAGTGAACAAATGCATTTCCTATTTGAAACACCATAGTGTTGGCCAACTCCACTGATCTTGCATAGCAATCTGGAACTATACCTCTAGTAAAATATGATGTCTCGTTGACTGATCCTACTACGGAACATAAAGGTAACGCCGTGACATTACATATGGTATCGAAATTTCCAAATGCCATCTCGTTCTATAAAACTTTAGAAAGCCTTGTGATATCTCGGAATTTTATGATGTTGGTTTAAAAATTAAAAACTATAGTGAATCAGAAATTTTTAAGAAAACAAACGAGGCGATATTTTTAGATTAGATACAAATTTTCATTTACGCAATTGAGACATAAATTAAATATATGACATCGAATATATGATTTTAAAATTACAAGAGCTAGTATTAAGACAATTTGTATATATATAAAGTAGAACGTAAGCACATGAATATGTGGAAATAAATAAGCGATAAACGATAGAGAAAGGTCATTTATAACCTTAGATATGTATGAATTGAAATAGGAAAATACTATGTACATGCTACCACTAATACTGATAAGGTGGTGGTGGAGGTACCTCAAAAATGGTATGCTGAGGCGAACTGCAATTATGTCTAAGACTAGCTTTATCAAATTCCAATTTGTTCCCTTGTTCAATAGGCTTTGAATCAACGGATTTGTTATTTATGGACTTGATGTCGATGTAATTGTTAGATTTTTTATTCATCAATCTGTCCTCTTCGTTTTGAATGTGAGAAGTGGAGATCTGTTGGTTGCTGGTAAAGTTGAAGTAATTATTACCCAAACCTACACCGCGCAACAAGGAAGAATTGGGGTGGTGTGGAGAATTTGTATTCGAGTTACAGTTGGCATGGAAATGTGAATGCGAAAGGATAGGTTTTGAAGTGTCGATATTAATTTCCCTATTAGCCCTCATCGGCTTAGGTTGTTTCAAATCAATCGAGATGGGGTGCTCTAAGGTGACGGGGCTTTCAAATGTGGAATGTTCGATCGTGGAATGTTCCATAGAATCATCGATCAAAGTAGACACCTCGCTGTATTCGGGGGTTTGATCCAAAGAATTAGTGGTACTTGTCTTCTTTGATTTCTTTCCACCTAGTTTGACGACCCTTCTCCTAGGCTTGGCGCCATTGTTATTACTATTCAATTTATTGTAATAGCTGTTGGTTTGAATGCTGGAGATTTCTGTTAAAATATTATCGATGTTATCATTGTTGTTGATTAACAAATCGATTGGAATGCAGTTACTAGTTTGAGATGGGGCAATGTTGGTGTTGACGTTAACGTCTGGCAAATTAAGGTTTAAATTTAATGTGCTGATCAAGTTTGGCAAATGTTTGTTAAACTTTTCTAAGTGCGATCTTTGTACAATGTTCTTGAACTTTGGGATATTCAAGTTTAGTGTTTCTCTTGAATTGAAGAGATTCATATTCTTGCGTAAGTTAGTGCTAGAATAACTGAATTCAGAATTGCCATCGTTAATCGATATTTTCTCCAAGTTTTCACTATCGAGATTGTTCATCTTGCTCTTTAATTTAGACTGTAAGTCACTGAAATTTGATTCGTTCAACGAAGTGTATTTCAAGGACAATTCATGGATCAAAGTAGGTAATGTTTCTCTGAATAAATCTCTGATCTGGTTTTCAATCTGATTTTGCAAAAAGTTCGCCAACACCTGTACCGTGTCGAAAGTTGAGGATACCTTAATTGAGTCCAACGGATCATTTCTAAACACAAGTGTTAACCCCTTGGTCTTACTAAATACAATTATTCCAATCCCCGATATCTTGATATCACTGAGCTTCAAATCTAATGGCAATGCAAATGGATCGTTACAGAGAAGGAAATCTGGAGTCACAAAATTGTTCATTTCATCAAACTGATTCACCTCCCTGTCTAATGAATTCGAACTGTAGATCTTGAGTGGGTTAGCCTGAACCTTCGTATGCAACGTCAAATGGAAATCGCCCTCGTAATTTATCTTGAAAATCCCCCTAAATCTATCTTTATCCAATTCTCCTATCTCCAAAATCTCAAAACTTGGCCCCACCTTTCCAAAATTTAAATCCTTTATTTGAATATCCGATGCAAGGATATTCGGTCTCTTTCCCGAATTTAATGCATCTGTCAATAACTCTTTAGTCCACGAACTTAATGATTCGGTCTCTAGTGAATTCCAATTCACATTAAATGACATTATGGCTTATTATGTGTGTAAATTTTGCTTAAAACCTGACGGTTAAATTTTTTTTTGCGATGTACAAAAACAGAATAATTTTAAAATATTTGATGTATGGCTTATTTCAGATATTTTATTGAATACCACTTTCAGTGTCTAATGCTATGCGCTTTGGAAACTTAAACCGGCTAACTTCACAAATAAATAACTAGAATAAACAAAACATTAGTCATGTAGAAGGAGTAAGTTTTTAAAATGCAAAAATCGTGTGATATGTAGAAGTTACACAAAATCGTTTTTCTCACTAAACTCCGGTTTTGTGTTATATTTGTCTATTGACCCGATTTGTACTGCCGGGGTAGTGATTGAAATATTATTATGTAATATAGTCAGCCTCTATTATGTAAGCTTTCGACTAGTGAGATTTACTGGTATAGACTAGTAGACCAACTAAGTCATCGTATCGACATCTGATACAACGAAAGAGATAGAATTGTACTGTTGATGGGCGCAACGATCTACGACTTCAAGCCATTGGATGCTTATGGAGGGGTTTATGATTTCAGTCAATTGAAGGGGAAGGTGGTGGTAATTGTAAATGTAGCCAGTCTCTGCGGATTTACACTGCAGTACAAGGATTTGGAGTATTTGTACAAAAAGTACAAGGAAAGAGGATTAGTTGTGCTTGGATTCCCCTGTAATCAATTTGGGAATCAGGAACCATTCACAGGGCAGCAGATTTTGCAGCTATGCGAGAACAAGTTTGGAGTGACGTTTCCGATCATGGACAAGATTGAAGTCAATGGGGATAGAGAGGAACCGCTTTATGGGTATTTAAAGAATGAACGAAAGACTTCACTTGGGTTTAAAGGGATTAAATGGAATTTCGAGAAATTTTTGATAAGCAGGAGTGGAAAGGTAGTTGAACGTTTCGATCCTCTGGTAGTTCCACTAAACTTTGAGAAGATGATTGTAGAGTTACTAGAAGAAGGTCACAAAGCGATGTAGATCACTATATAATGTATATAACATGTAAATATATGAATAATGATTATGAATCATTTTTTGGCTTTCTTCTTCTTGGAATCCTTTGTATCGGGGGTGTCTTCCTTCTTTCTCTTGTTATGCACAGCATCAGGATGGATTTCTTTTAATACACACGCCAAAAGAGTGGTACATCTTCTTGAGAGTTCTGCTGCATTTCTCGACTGGAAAAAGAAATCGAATTGGAATAGTGGTGAATCCCTAATAGTATCTCTGATTCTTTCATATATATCAGGTCTGTCGAGGCCAAACCTATATAATTGTACCAACAAAAATCTATCTTCTTCCTCCGAAAACGTTCTCTTGTTCGTGGAAGCTGGAGGAAATTTCAATACTAGCTCTTGAAGCGGATATTTGTATTGAGCTAATTTTCTACGCAAAGACTCTTTTTGCAACCTGTTTTTGATGATTTTTTCTTCACCCATTTCAATCTGGTTGATGTATCTTTCATATCCTTCAATTTCTTCATACGAAGTCCAAAACTTCTTGGCATATTCCCTCACATCTTCTTCTGTCTTATCTTCAAATTCTGCGGTGATTAACAGGATTGAGTTACGGCCATATTTCGAACACACTTGAATAAAATGAGTGAACTCTCTTCTATTCCAGTTACCAAATCCTTGAGTCAATAATTGTTCCTTTAATTCCTTTTCCTCGTCTGTCAAAGGTCTTGAATTATCAATTTCTTCTTGCTCTAACTTCTGCTCCAACTGTCTTTCTTTTAAAGTCTTTGGATTACCAGCCTTTAAGGGAACTTGATATCTTATTTGTTTTTTATAATAATTTTTCTCTAATTCATTTAATTCAAACAATTTAGTAGGATAGAATTGATGATCGAAAATGTTGAGCTGTTTCGGTGGTTTAGGACCCGACTTTACATGAGACCTGCCCCCAGTATTCAAAACATCCTTATAATACATATCAATGGAATAATTTTCCTTACGTTCTCTTTTACCGGGGTTAATCCATCCATGGCCTATATCTCCGATTGTAGAAGTTTCTTTCTTTTTAAAGTTTTCTCCATTCCATTCGTATACTGATTCATCGTTCGAAAAATTTTGTAACGCACTTAAATCCAATTTTTCATACTTTTTGTTTAATTCTTGTGTCTTGCTTTCAGAAGAAGCCAAAATTGAGTCAATGTCAACGTCATCTGCATTTTCACCATTGGAAGCTGAATCTTTACTGAACATTTCTGCTGCACCATGTTGAATCATGGTCAATAATTCATCTTTTGATGTAGCCTTATTACTCTGCTGTCCAATATTTCCTGCATTTCTACCTTGTTGAATAACTAACTGATCAAGCCTTAACTTTTGAGTAGCTCTTTCTAATACCTTCTCTTCAATTGCATTCTCGGTTATAAATCTGAATACTCGAACTTGCTTTGTCTGACCAATTCTATGAGCTCTATCCATAGCTTGTAAATCAGCTTGTGGATTCCAATCCGAGTCGAACAATATAACAATATCTGCAGTAGTTAAGTTGATACCCAAACCACCAGCCCTTGTGGTCAACAAGAATACGAATTTGGAAGAGCCTGGTTCATTATATTCATCGATAGCATTGACTCTATCAGCATGATCAGTTTGACCATCGATACGGCAGTACTCGTGGTCTCTGAACATACAATAATCTTCCATTATGTCTAACATTCTGCTCATTTGTGAAAAAATCAAAACTCTTGATCCTTCTTGTTTAAACTTTTTCAATAATTTATCTAATATTATCATTTTCTGAGAGTTGTAAACTAAATGCTCGTCTGTAGTATATGGAGGGCCTGGTTCTGCACCTTCAAATAAATAAGGATGGTTGCAACATTTTCTTAATTGCATTACAATATTCAATAACCTTGTCTTTGATTCCTTTTTATTGGCACCATTAACAGCATCAATATCCTTCTCTAAGATCTTTTGATACCATTTTCTTTGCATATCAGACATCGAAACATAAAGGTTTAGTTCTTTCTTAGGTAATAATGACTTTTCGACATCAGATTTGATACGACGCAACAAAAATGGTTGTAAGACTTTATGCAACTGCAAGATCACGTCTTCTTCTTTACCATTTCCATGTTCATCTTTATTATCGTTTTGGAACCATTGGTCAAACGTTCCCGAATCCCCAAAAACGTCAGGAAGAATGAAGTTCAACAATGCCCATAATTCATGTAAGTTATTTTGTAACGGAGTACCAGTTATTAATAATCTATTCTTAGAATGAAACATTCTTATAATTTGGGATAACAAAGATTCTTCATTTTTAATTCTGTGGGCCTCATCAATTATAATATACTCCCAAGCGAATTTCCTGAATGACGCCTTTTCTCTTATAACGATTTCGTATGATGAAATGACAACGTCAAAATCACAAGTAAGTAATCTTTTCTGGATTAATTCATTCCTGGTATCTTTATCACCTTGCAAGACCAAAACCCTAACATCAGGTGTCCATCTTGCAAATTCCCTTGCCCAATTATCCAATGTAGACTTCGGAACTATGACAATATGTGGACCATTGATATTCCGCATATATCTTAAGTATCCCAAAAATGAAATGGTTTGTAAAGTCTTACCCAAACCCATCTCATCCGCTAAAATACCAGATAAATTGTTTTCATATAACGAAATTAACCAGTTCAATCCCTGAATTTGATATGGTCTCAATTTTCCATGAACATATCCAGGACTTTCAGTAAATTCGGTAATCGCTGGGGTCTCAACCTCATCATTTAATAATTCTGCATCTTCTTCTTTCTCGGTCTTACGTCTCCTATTATTAGCCTCAGTGTGCTTATGTGCCACTTCATTATTATCAATACTCGCTAATACTTTTTGAAAGTTTGGATCTTTATCAGCCTTAGCATTGATGAAGTGCTGGAATAAATCTGTTAATCCAAGCAAGTATTTGAATCTCTTAGCAGTTTCATCAACGTCAAAATTCTCTTTTTCTGATTGAATCAAATACTTAGCCTTATTAGAAGATATATTAGTGGTGGTCCCATCTAAATCTTTTGGTTTAAGGATTTCATTTAAGTCCAATGATGGAGTCTAAAATTGTTAGTTCTGATCATAAATGAATAATTTTTCATTTCAAAAATTAACTTTGTACATACGGTCACAGTATCTGGAGTTGGTGATTCGTCCATTTCAATACCTTGACTTAAATTCCCTGTTGTATCACTCATATTTTCCTGGATTGTTTGAGCGTAGTAAAGAATTTTTGTTGGTTTCCTTTGTCTTGATGTTGATTTAAAGGACAATGTTTATTCAAAAGGTCGAATTGGCACAATTCCGAGACCTTTATACCGGTTATAAATTTCAACCTATTTTACTTTTATTTGAAAGAGTGAAATTTACTACTGATTACTAATTATACGATGCTACACGTCTTTCACGATTGGGTAAGAACGACAAAAATTCAATTGATGTATTTAAGTGATCATATCGTAAGTGCTATTCTGTTGTACTGATTGTGGTGTAACTTGAGACGCGTACGAAATTATGAGGGTACTCGGTTTCCTTATATCAATACGCCCTTCGTCTAATTCGGAATTTTAAGACCACTCTGGTGTATAACATGTAAATTATCTCTTATCATATATCATTAGGTATGATTTAGGTCAAAATACCCTTAACTCGTCATTGAGTTGCATAGTTGCAAATTACTCTGTATTGATAATTATGCATGTTGCAATTTCTTTTTACATCCTCCGAAAATCAGAACTATATGATTGGAATTATTTCACATATCTCTCAAGGGTATTATTTATCAAAGATTTCATTTTTATATCCTAATGTAGCATTATATATGTTCAGCTTATGGAGCCAGAAAGAAGAGGCAGAGGGTTTTGTATTGCATGTGCGGCTCATTTTGAGGCCTTTTTGCAATTCAACAACTGAAACTAATGACATTACGAATACATCACCTTTGGTAGGCTGTTGGAATCAGTAAACGTAAGTCTATATTGGATAATTCGTTCATTTCGTGGTGAATAAAGAACTGTATGACACATTACAGAAATGATGATATTATTATCTTATCTATATCATTAATTTGCGATTTTTACAAATTGCCGGAATCTTCTATTAAATGAAATTATGTGTTTTACATTAATATCTATTCTTATTATTAGTCAACGTAAACTGCATCTCTGGAAAGTATAGTTACTTTTTTGAAGAAGTGTCGCCACTCCAAAGGATCACCTTTTGATTTTATGAATTCTACCTTCCTCAATGGCAACCGAATATCACACTTCAGAATCTTGATGTAGCCCTTTAAGGGCATTTTAGATTTTTCAGCTATTATATTAACATTAATATAAATATTCTTCTGCTCAATCAATTCTTCCATTGAAAAATTATCAATACTTGTTGTGGAAACTCCTATTCTATGTAGCGAATCTCGTATTATGGGAAGTAATGATTCAATCGGCAAAATCGAAAAAAACCTCGTCATTCTTTCAGCTGTCTTGAATGGCATATTTTTAAATGCAAGTATGTTCTTTTGTGTATTAGATAATTGTGACATTCTGTACTGAGGAGTGTTCTTAAATTGCAAAATGGAAGGATCTTTTGAAACAATCGCAAGCATTTCTTCATGTGCATCAGTAATATCGTTGATAAATGGTCTGTGATTATGAGTAACAGGATCCTGTGTCGCTGGTATAGCGGGGATATCGAATTCATCATCTATCATGACTGCAATATCGTTTGTGGGCTGTGAATTAGAAATAAATTTCCTATTATTTATAAGATTTCTTTCTTGGTCTTGGGATGCCTCCGACAAAGTCGTTCTAATATCTTCGTCAGACAATCCGACCTGTAAATTAGAAAGCAACCTCTCTGCCAAACCTTCTGAATTCTTGCATAGTTTGTTCGAGTCCATAAATGAATTTCCTTGATTAACCCATGGGTGCAACCTTATTTGGTCCATCGAAAACCTCTTGCTAACATCAGGTTTAATTATCGACCTCATCAACGGTCTAACAGTTTGACTAAATTGGTTCCACGGATTATCGAGTATTTTGCCATCAAAATCAACATATTTGGTATATTCTTCGTCGCAATTGTAGCTTGGTTCCTGCCATGGTATTTGGCCCGACAATAAGACAAAAAGTACAATACCACAAGCCCAGATATCACTCATCGTTGCATCATAACCGTTATCACCAATTATCTCAGGTGCCATATATGGGGGAGAACCACATTTCTCATATGAGAGCCTTTTTTGACTTCCCTTACGTTTGAAGATCGTAGCCATCCCAAAATCGCCCAATTTCAAATTACCGTCCTTATCTAGAAGAATGTTTTCCGGCTTGATATCTCGGTGTGCAACTCCTTTTTGGTGCATATAATCCACAGCATTGATTAGCTGTGTGAAATAAAAGTTAGCCAACTCCTCATCTATACCAATGTCTGGCTCAATCTTATCGAATAAGTCTCCGCTTTCAGCTAGTTCCATAACTATGTAAATCCACGTATTATCAGTGCCAAACATATGTAGCTTTATCATATTTGGGTGTCCCGAACATTCTTTGTGAATACTTAGTTCAAGTCCTATTCTATTATCATCAATCCCCTTGCTATGGGAAATCGCCCTATGAATGTATTTTATAGCCACTAACTTCAGTGGGTTGTTCCTGACACTGGCGACCTTTACGACAGCAAATGTGCCTTGACCTATGGTTTGTCCAATTGAAACATGCTTTAGTTTAGGAAGAGAGTCTAACTGTGATAAGCGTTGACTGTAGTCCATTGAATTACGACTATCTCTATGCTTATCTTCTAATCATCAATCTCTCTGTCATTAGAATCAGATCAGTGTTTATATTTTGGTAATTATCGCACTACTTGGTGGCTATCATTAATGCAGCATTAGAATTCCAGACAAGTTTTAAATATAATGGCTATATTTAAGGACAATAAAAAGGTTATCCATTCTAAAGTTCGACAAGTAATATAGAAGCTATCATTGAATATTAATGTCTGATTTAACGAGGAAGAATCCGCCGCTGATAGAAATCAATGATTCTATTGCCGAACTCGATAGTACAATAGACTCATATATTGAAAAGTCACCCTTGACTAATAAGTTCCGAGAAGAAAATCCTAATTTGCATCCTGTTGGTGATAATATAGAAGACCCGGCAGTGGAGGATATTTCAATTGGCCTGTCCATCCTAGAAGACACCCCAGAAAAACATCCGGGGCCCTCACCGCCTGCATTACCTCCAAGATCCAACATGAACGAGGGAACACTACCAAGCTTGCCACCTAGGTCGCGAACATTTAGGGACAGCATCAGTAAGCTTTCTAGAAGGAGAAGTGAAGGGGGAAATGAGAGCCGTGGCTTTACGCTTAAGTCATTTAATAGACTTTCGTTAAATACCTCAAGGCCACTCTCACCAGAGTCACATTCGTACAGATCGAATGATCAGAGTTCGTTAGCATCAAGTCCACATTCCCGTTCAAGTACATCGTCAATAACTAGTGATGACGATATATATGCTAAACCTAATACACCATTTTGGAAATATCATATATTAAAGTTCGGGAAGGATCTATACCTAACTACAAACCCCGGGTTGAAACATATTTACTGTCGTAATGGACCTGGATATTACGTCGAAGTAGTATATCCTAATAAATACAAGTACCATTCATCACGAGAAGGATTCAAGTTGATATTCAAAGATATTGCATCTAAGAACGGTGATAATAACCCAGAAATCATGGTAATTATCAAAGAGTCTCTTGACGAAGGCGGAAAATATAAGATTTTGCTTCCTCGTTCGAGTTACTTGTATGATGGTTTACTTTCTGATGATGAAAGCGATGAAATCGAATCTCCTTTATTTAGTGGAGTAACAATTCCAACACCGATTGACGACAAGTTTATTCCTTACAGTCAGATATCGAATGCTCATGAAACTTTTAGATTCAAGAATTATGAATTCACCGACTTTTTGAATACAAAGTGGAATATTGGATCGATACCAAGAATTAAGTCAACAAGAATGAGTAAGATTAAAAGTAAGTTCAATGAATATAAGGATGACCCACTATATAAATTTATCGGAAAAAGATATATATACTTTCATCAAAATTATATTGAAGATTCTCCTACCAGCTATAAGACCGAGTCTAATAACCCAAGAGATATTTATTTGCATGATCAGGGAAGCACCCATAAGTTCCCTCCAGTATTGGGGCTTTTTAGACCCAATGAAACAAGAACAAGGAAAAAGATTATTAAAAAGTTTAATCAACAAGCTGATAGATTGGAGAGACTGAAAAACTCTCAAGAGGCTATAAATCAAGAAAAAGTTAATTACAAACTAATAGACAATGATATTGCTGCTGGATCTGATATTCGCAATTATTTCATAGGCGGTGACGGGCTCTACTATCTGAACAACCCGAATGATGATACTCCTGATAGTAATAAGTTAGGCTGGATCACTATTTATGAAGATAAGAATGTGTTTTCTAGATCAAAAAATAAAGGTATGTTTGATATTGTACTAGGACTAACATTGGCTGTTGGATTTGAAAGTAGTTTAGATTCATAAAAATGTCCCAGTATAATCGGCATACAGAGGTTTTTGCAGTCCTAAAAATATATACTATAATTTCTTAATTATTTATGCTTAAGCCTATTAAATCAAAACTATATGTAAGGTGTATTTTTGGCTAATCCTACAAAATAATTGCCTAAGCAAAAAAATCGTGTGAAGGTATTTCAGTAGAAATTTCAAACAATAAGGTTGGATAATGATAACGAATTTTTTTCGAATCGCAATTATTTTTCATACACGGGTTTCCTTCTTGATTGATATTATTCATTCTTTCTAGTGGATAGGCATATACAATGACCGAATCAGATATTGAGGAATCAGCAGCCTTGTATGAATTACATTATTCAAACGCTTTCTCCCCAAATTCGAGACAAACCTTTAGAATATGTTTAAATTTGAAAACTTTAATTGATAAGGTGATCCCAATTGTGTTTGATGAGAAGGATATAACAGCTCAGAATTCTACAATTTTAAATTCCAACGTTATTGAGTTGGTTTATACCTCAGCTGGGGGAAGGGGAGATGGTAAATATGGCACGTCTGCCTACAAATATCGTGCAGCTTTAGTGTTTTGCTTGTTGAAAGTATGCGATTGGTATTGGCAACAGGCCGAAAACGAATTATGGGACAATGAATTATATTTCTTAAGAGCGGTTACAGCGCAAAGATTAGCAGCTATTATTATTGAGAATACATCGGACGATGAGTATTTATTTTTGGGGATGTTGTGCCATAGATATACTATTAATTTGCATGGTGTGGACTCTCAACCGATCAGCGTATTAGAATTAGCAGTAGATATGCATTCAACCATGGTAATTGGATCATCAGGCTATCAAAGGTGTATGAAATGGATATGGAGAGGTTGGATTATTCAATCTCCAACTGACCCTAATCTGTATGTTTTATACAGGGGGGCTCCATCGTTATCGATAAAAACACATTTTGACCCGGCAAGAATCAGAACACCATTGTACCAAAATATTTTGGAAATCGCCTTTAGTATGATCTACTTGATATTATTTACTATTATTATTAACACTAACGACGTGAAAACCGTGCCTTTAGATGGATTTGAGATTGTATTTTACTTGTTTACGGTAGGATCTATTTTGGACGAGGTGGTTAAGTTTTACCATGTTGGATTAAATTACATTGGATTCTGGAATGTGTTCAATGACACAATGTACTGTATCATTCTTATCTCAGTTGGATTTAGATTTGCTAGTTTGAATACGCATGGTTCATTAAAAAATACGTATGATGAGGCTTCGTTTAGAATATTGTCGTGTGCTTCGCCTTTCATGTGGTCCAGATTATTGCTTTACTTAGATGCACAGAGATTTGTTGGTGCGATGATTGTCGTTGTTAAGACCATGATGAAGGAAAGTTTAATTTTCTTCTTCTTATTGGCTGTCGTGATTTTAGGATTCTTGCAAGGTTTCCTCGGTTTAGATGCTTCTGACGGAAGAAATGAAGCTACTAAGCGGATTTTAATTTCATTAGTGAATGGAATTATTGGCGAAGCAAGTTTTGATGATCTTTCATCGTTGGACCCACCATACGCATCGATATTGTATTACATTTACTCGTTTGTTCTCAGTGTTATTCTTATGAATATTTTGATTGCTTTGTATTCTACTGCCTATGCTAACATTGTTGAGAATGCAACCGATGAGTATTTTGCGTTGGTTGCCCAAAAGACATTGAGGTACGTTAGAGCTCCAGACCAGGATCTTTATGTTCCTCCTTTGAACCTCATTGAATTAGTTCTTACTCCTTTATCCTTTTTTGTCAGCAAGTCAACGTTTAGACTAATTAATCACTTCATAATGTTGGTTATCTATTCCCCATTGTTAACCTACATTACCATTGATGAATTGCAAAATGCTAGAAGAATTCAATACAACAGATTCAAAGGTATACCAGATGATTCCAATGAGTTAGACACCGAATGGGACTTAACAGATGGATACGATGCTGATACCGACTCTGGAATTCAAGAAAGAGATACAGAAGTCAATACTGCAGTTCGTGAACAGATTATAGGCGAAAACCAAGATTCCGAATTCCCTATCGATTTACGAAAGTTTAATACAGATATCGATAGGGTAGTCCAGCCGGTCAATCAGGCTAGCAAAGCCGGTATCAAATGGGAATTCTACGAAATTTATAGCAAGATTGATAAGCTTACTGTTCTAGTGGAAGCAGTGGTCAAAGAAAACCAAGAATTGCGGAAGAAGCTTGAAGAAAAAAAGTAATTTTATGCACCAATTTGAATCATTCTCTTCAGTTTTATTTCTTCATGTTTTTAACAGCTTTTATCCTGCAATTCAGCTGGATCTTCGTTAAATACTGGCTGCTAAATAGCGTCTTTTTGGTAGTTCTGTTACCCGCAACACTATCAAGTATCAACTGATAATGTTAAACTATTGTAACTTGAAAAAACAAATATTATCTTCATAATAATGTTGGCAATTACAAATTACTTTAATAAATAACAGATTTCATTTACACAGCTAGTTTCAAGTACATGTAGTTCGCTAGTATTATCATCTCTTATTAATGTAGTAGTTCTTTATTTTTGTGAACAATTTTTTTTAGTGCGAAATATCTTGGTAAATGAATTGAAGGTTATGTAATAAAAGTTATCAGTATCTTAACTTCGTTTAAAATAGTAATAGATCGTTAGTTCTGGAAGAGTAAAGAGAAAACTAAGATGTCGGGAACTCAGGCTGATCCGATAGATGTTTCGAAGTTTAAGAATGGAGACGATGTTCATTTTGATTATAATAGCACCTCCAACAACCAAACTATAAATTCAACGAACGTACAGAAGAAGAAAAAGAAGAAGAAGAGTAAGAACAAACATAAAGGGCCATCCAATGTGGAGGTTACTTTGAATGACCCGGATGTAGACTATCCAACGTCTAGAGTGATAAAACAGGCTCCTAATGGAGATGTTATAATTGAAAGTTTGGATGAGCCTCCCACAGATGTACATGAGAAATCTGTAACGGCAAATATATGGGATAATGCTACATTAGAAGAACAGGAGAACTTAAAGGAATTCTGGGAGTCGTTGGATGAAGCTCAAAAAATTGAGTTGGTGAAAATCGACAAGAAATCTGTAATGGATCTATTTAAGAACGAGAGTAAGACACTTAACGCACTGACTAACCATCAAAGTAATAGCAATATACAAGGAAGTGTAACCGGAACGAGTGGTGGAGCTCTCAATGGATCCAGCACCAATGCAAATATAACTGGTCCATCTAATTCATCGAATGGCGCATGCACTTGCTCTTATTGTGGCCGTAAAAATAATTTTATTGAAGACGAATTGGAGAACATATACGATAATCATTTTGATGATATTATAGATTTCATTCACGAAATTCGAGATATAAATGATCTCAATGCATTACCTGGCCTTTTGTTTGGAGGATTCCATATGTTGGAAGAAGAACATAAACTTCAAAAACGACAACAAAAACATAAATACAAACAAGAAAGAGAGCTTAGCCATGATCACCATCATCATGAGCCTGGTCATATATGTAACGATTCACATTTAAATGGTGAATTTGATGAAGCAACCAAACAGGACCAAGACCAACAACTTGAGTATGAACATGAGATCACCGAACATGAAGACGAAGGCGAACACGAAAATGCACACAGTCATAATCATAGTCACAGTCATAACCATAATGGTAATCATAGTCATAGTCATAATCATAATACAAACCATAATCATAGTCATAGTCATTTTCATTATAATCAAATAGAAGAATTAAACAATGAATCTGAACTTCCTCAGGAAGCTATTTTACAGGAATCTCTTGATTATGAATTAAACAAAGAACTAGAAGATGAATCAGAAAATAATCAACTGTCTGTATCAACAAGAGAGCAGAGAGTATTTCACAAGCTTCTCGATCCTAAACTATTTGAAGCTTTAGAGAACCTTGACTTTGAAAAAATGAAAGACACTCCCGCAAATAATCAGCTGGCACATATACTCGAAAAGGCTGGGTCTCTCAGAGATATCATTAGAGATTTGCATAAAGCTGATAAGGTTGAGTTGGAGAAAGGAATGGCCTTTTTGCAAAATATGGGAAAAATATTTTCAAGCGACATGAGCAATACTATGAATCACGATACACTAAATGAGCAATTATCTCACGGACTTTCAAGTTTTGCCGAGGACTTATTAAAGAATGATGGAAATTCATTTATTGACATGATGGAGTCTCTCTCTGAATCACGAACGGCGAGAGAAGATTTGTTGAAAGAAAAGTTCGAAAAGGAGCCTAATGCTGCATGGGTGGATGAGGACGATCATACTAAGTCAGACACAGGTATATCGATTCCTAAACCCGAACTTCACCAGGTTCAAGAGTTGGCGGATGAACTAAATGATGAATACGACGAAGAGAATGAAGGAGATGAAGAAGAAGAGGAAGAAGAAGAGGAAGAGGATGAAGAAGATGAGGAAGAATTAGAGGATGAGGAATTTGAAGAAGATGAAGAAGAAGATGCAAGTGATACTGAGTCTGAGATTTCTGAGGAGGAAAAAATGCAAGAAATACGTCGGTTATTTTTAATACAAGTCATCAAGTTGTTTCAAGAAAGACTCAAGAATGCGTATAAGGAAAAACTTTCACAAGATAGAACGAGAAAGTTGATCGAAGAATTAGAAGCGGAGGAAAACGCAAAGAAGGAGCGAGAAATGAAAAAATTAAGACAAAAGGAAAAGGCTAAAGAAAAGAAGAGGCTTCAGCAGTTAGCAAAAGAAGAAGAGAGACGAAAGAAAGAAGAAGAACAAAAGGCAAAGGAGGAAGAATTGAGGCAAAAACAGGAGGCTTTGAAAACAGAACAGAAGCGTAAAAAGGAGGAAGCAAAACAAAAACGAGAAGAAGAAAAGAGAAAGAGGATTGAGGATTTGAAACGAAAAGAATTAGAACAACAAAAGAGATTAGAAGCTCAGCGTAAAAAGGAGGAAGAAACTAAAAGACTTAAAGATGAGAAAAAGAAAAAAGCAGAAGAAGAACGCAAGCAAAGGGAAGAGGAAAAGAAACAAAAAGAATTACAGAAGAAGTTAGCTGAAGAAGAAAGGTTGAAATCGTTGAAGAAACAAGAACATAAAGAGATAGAAAGTTCAGATGATATGGGCCTTTTGTCTAGAAACCTTGAGAATGCAAGATTAGATAAAAGCTTGGATACTCCATCAGCAGTTGTTCCGGAGACATTATTGGCACAAACCCAAGAGCAAAGGGTCAAATCTCCTACAAAGAATCATATATTGGATCAATTGTATCTAGCAAAGCCAAGATCGTTATCAAATTCCACAAACTCTACGCCTCAGATTAATAATGCCACGCCAGGATATAATATTCCTGAGCTTTCTTCAAATAATATTTTGCCTTCTGTTTTATCACCTTCTGGCCATAAAAGTTTGCCAATTAATGGTAATGGTAATGTGAACCAAGCAGTTCCTTCGCCTTGGTCATCGCAAGCTTTCAATGCAAATACTCAAACTCCCCCAGTGTATCAACCCCAATTTTCTTCCAATGCTTTTAGTCCATTCAATAGCTCATTTAACCAAAGTTCGCTTTCTACTAATTCCAAGGAAAATATTAATACAAATCCATTGAATGCAGCTGGATTTAATGAACCATTTGCTACGGCTGCTCAACCTTCAAGTGTTTGGAATCCTGGCACTACTTCACGAAACAATTCTATCTGGAGTAACTCTCCAAATGTTTCTTCAAATTCAACCTTGTGGAATAACGCTATCCCACCTCCTCCAGTTGGTGCAGCAGCGGTTGGAGCTCATCCAAACAATCAAGATTCTGATATAATCCAAGCGGCCGCATATCAAGCATTTCAGTTCATGCAAACTTCAAATCAATTGGAATTTGGCGTGGCTCCAAGCTTAAAATTGTTTCAGACAGCCAAGGCGATTCTTTCAAATCAAGGTCTCACACTCAACCAATTCTTAACCTCGTGTAGAAATACTGATTCATTGTCTGGCTACAGGTTTGACTTTATATATGATGATTTTGGAACAGTAACTCATATCAAAGCATCATCGACAAATTTGAATCAACAAGCTCAACATAATAATATCAATAACCAACCCATTAACAATATGGGACTAGGAAACGCTGCAGTCAATGGCAATGAATCTTTATTGAATACATTGAGTGACATCAATAATAATCCTAATTCATTTTCAAATGGAGTACGTGGGTTATGGAATTGAATCAATAATAATGTACAATATCTATGAGGTATATAGCTTTCCATCATAATATATGATCCAATGGTAACTTTCATTGTAGTATCAGTATAAAGTAAGAGATCATAAGTTCTTTGCTTACATAAGAGAACTTGAGAATTGGGGACATAAGATTCTTTAATAGTGATATTGTCAAAAGAGTTTCATTTTCCAGTTTTTCCTTATACGAGGAATAGCATGGTCCACTGAGGTTCTTAATCTCGTTTATAGTATTCATTGAAGAAAGAGAAAGATAATTAGTATATTTACAAAACAGAACACTAATTACACATTTTAACATTGGCCTATTTATGTGCATTTGAAAAGTTATATGATACAGGTATCAATAGGGAATATAAATGCCAGATAATCCATTGAAAAGAAAAATAGTCATTGTAGGTGATGGTGCATGTGGGAAAACTTCGTTGTTGTTTGTATTCACATTAGGAGAATTTCCGACTGAATACCACCCCACAGTATTTGAAAATTATGTTACCGATTGCAGAGTCGACGGAAAGGCAGTTCAGTTGGCTTTATGGGATACTGCTGGACAAGAAGAGTACGAAAGATTGAGGCCATTAAGCTATGCCAATTCGCATGTAATTTTGATCGGCTTCGCCATAGATGTACCTGATTCATTGGATAATGCTAGAACAAAATGGGTAGAAGAAGTCACCAAATACTGTCCTAATACTCCTTATCTATTAATCGGATTAAAGAAGGATCTTAGGGTGGAGTCTTCGAATAAATTAAAGTTTGTTCAATTTCATCAAGGCGAGATAGCAGCCAAAGAGATGCATGCTAAAAAATACTTAGAGAGTTCGGCGTTATATGGCGAAGGTGTGGATGACATATTCGAATTTGCGACGAGGACGAGCTTGTTGGTTCAAAAGTCAAATCAAGCATGCTGTACTATTTTATAAAAACTAGCGTTTTTTGTACTATTATCTATTTCATAATCTAAAACTGCGAAATATCAATATACATAATGATAGACTTAGAATATATATACGCATTATTGATTACGACTAATAAACTTAGAAAATGAATTTAAATATGCTGATGTAGTTATGAGACTACCAGGGTAACATATTTAGTTTAAAAATATAAAAAAAAGAAACGACCTCGGTGAGGGTCGAACTCACGATCTTGAGATTAACAGTCTCACGCCTTAGCCAACTTGGCCACGAAGTCGTATTCTTAAAATGGAAATGGTAACCAGTGTGTAATATATTGTGTAAGCTTAATATATAACATCGGGCCGGTGATGATGACAGAAAAATTAATTACTCCGTGCATGCATGGGGTATTAGATTAAAGGATATTACTTCACCTCTTTTGAGTGAGAAGTAATTTGAGTAAGAAGCAATTTATACCTATCTACTCATTATAGGAATTTAAGCTCTAGAATAAATATTAGGCTGATAAATTAATTTAAATGAATAAAGGTACTGAGCAACAGCAGCAGTCGAATATACTATCGGATCTGAGAGATCAAGATAATGATGAAAATTTGAATCCACCGGGTTCGCAAGATAATGAATCTTATATTAGTAACAATTCATTTGATGATTTATTATCAGATATTCCCGATGTTAGCCATATGGGAAGATATGAACGAACACGGAGATTTTTACAAGAGTCTGTATATGATGCGTACATCTTGCCGAATGTAGGGATCTCACTTTTGATAATGTCCCAACTATTTAATTCTATAATGATCACTACATGCAAGTTGTTGATTACGGATAAAGGATTTGAAACACCCATACATCCGTTGCAGATATTGTTTGCAAGGATGAGTATTACTTATATTTGTTGTGTGGCGTATATGTATATAACAAAATGTGTTCCGGATGCACCATTTGGACCCAAGAAATTGCGGAATTTGTTATTTATGAGAGGTGCTTTTGGATTTTTCGGGGTGTTTGGTCTTTATTTCTCATTACAATATCTTAGTTTATCAGATGCGGTGGCAATAACGTTTATTGTACCTATGGTTACTGCATTTTTAGCATGGGTTATCCTACACGAGCGATATTCATTAATAGAAGCTATTTGTGGGATCGTTTCTTTAGGTGGTGTTATTTTGATTGCAAAGCCAAACTTCATATTTGGCGATTCAGAACTCTCTGGAGATGACTCTATAGAGTCGTCATCTACAGAAAAACGATTACTTGCTTCGGGTGTTGGATTAGTAGGGGTTTTAGGTGCATCTTCGGTTTATATAATTTTAAGAAAAATAGGGCACAATGCCCATCCGTTGCTTTCAGTAAGTTACTTTGCATTGACGTGTGTTATCATTTCCTTTGTCTCTTTGATCTCATTACCGTCATTATCTTTTGCAGTACCCCAGAACGGCTATCAATGGTTTCTCTTCTTTTTGATTGGAATATTCGGTTTTTTGATGCAATTTTCCTTAACTGCCGGTGTTCAAAGAGTTAAGGCTGGTAGGGCTGCATTGATGAGTTATACTAACATGGTTTTTGCAATTATCTGGGACTTGATATTCTGGGGACATCTCCCAGGTTTATTAAGTATTCTAGGCATCATCATTATTATTGGAAATGCATTTATCGTAGTAAAATACAAACCTAACGATAATACAAGTCCCGATATTGAGCAAAATGCTGGAAATAATGATAAATATTCGATTGGCAGTAGGGATGATATTTCTTTACAGGATTTTATTATTTCAGACGATGATGCTGATAAAGACTCGTCTCCTCGTGGAACTCAAGGATCGTCCCTGTGAGGTTTTTAATTCTATTTTCATTTCATTCTTATCTTTTTTGGTTTTTATTCCTATTTTATGGCTTTCGTTCAGGCTATTGCGATATAGATCTTATACACATGTTAATAAACATCTTATAATTCATTTAACCATTGCAATTCATGTTTGATATTGTTTAGCCTTTCTAGACTTTCGTTGACCTCATGGTTATGCTTAACAGTTTGATCTGTAGTTTCTGTTAAATCGCTTATGTTACCAATCAATTTTCTGGAATTGTTTAAATTAACGTCAATATACTCTGTCTTTAAGTTGTCATTATTATTTGGCTTAGTTGGTAGAGCTCTTATCAATTTGACCCATTTCAATGATTCAGACCTGGATTTCGATTGAGTCTTTGATCCGTCACTAGAAATGGGATTTTTCTTCGAGGATGCAATTCTAGCGGTGTTAGGGTCATTAGATATCATTGGGTATCAGTATCCCTATTAAAAAAGGATTGTAATTACTATGTTATTTTAAAGTCGGATTCTGTTGATATTTGATCTGCTCGCATTTCTACACACGCTCGATTAAGGTCAATTTATTTAACAGAGTACAACTAAATGATGTATTTTACATAACTATTCTATCATATCTCCAGAACTTTGAAGAGTCAAAAGGTAAGTCGTTTTCATCAACATTTGCCTTATTAAAAGACCAATTGTCATCCAATTCTTTGAATAATCTAGAAATAGGCTCAGCGTACCATCTGTTTCCTTTATAGTCAAACCAACCGAGATGGCCTCCAGTGGTAGTCGTCACAAGAGCTGTGAATGGATTTAATCTAACCTCGTTGAATGGGAGCGTTCTATATCCAATAATTGGGTCGTCAATCGAATTGACTATGATGAGAGGAACTCTAACTTTTAATAATCTCTGAATAGGGGATGCATATCTGTAATATTCGTCTGCACAATTGAAGCCAAAAAGCTTTGAAGTAAAATTATCATCGAAATCCTTCAACTTACCTAATTTGAAATTTTTTGGATTTTTCTTGTATGCTTCGACTAGCGGGTTGCTTCGTAAGTGGCCCTCGTAGTGTTCGTTCAACAAATCTAGCAAATTATTGCACATCTTTGGTGAATAGATATGACTTCCAAGTAAACTAGACTGCAATTGAATACATGAATCGGGAAAATCCCATGGAGAACCCATGATAGCACCACCCTTGATGTTGTGATATACATCATCAGCCTCTTGCCCAAGATAATTAGCACAAATTGCTCCTCCCAATGAGAATCCTATAAGATAAATTCGTTTATTAGGCCAGTTAGGTCTAATGTGCTCGTTTATCAAGTACCGTAAATCGTTTGTCCACAACCCACAGAACAATTGGGGGGACGTAATTGTGTGGTTGGCACATCCTCGTGAATTCAACACCAATGCATCAAAATCGTACGGCTTATCGGTAACCTTACTCAAAAATGCCCTGATATACGATTCGTAAGAACCACCAGATAATCCGTGTAATGCAATCACTAATGGCCTGGAGTCGTCGTTCAAGAGCTCCTGCTCGTGTTCTGGATTCAAATACTCGGTTCTGGGTGGAAGATCCTTGGTTTGACTGGCTGGTCTATATTTCTCGTGATCCGGATCCTGCTTTCCCTCTGGAACCACATAATCAACCGCTATCGTACTTCTGCCTTCCCAATCGTCGTACTTCAACTTTTCACCTTCAACCTCGTATAGCTTTCTCTCCAGGTCAATAGTCAAAATGCGTCTCTTGTACCAAACCTTATCAACATTATCGAACGTTCTGACCCCCGTGTATGCTGTCTGGAAGTCTCCTGACGGTAATAGAGGATTATACCAGAACGAAGCACCTTTATACAACTCTGGAACTTTACGTGATAGGATATCCTCAAATGTGGCCTCTCCGGAATCCTTTCCCTGGAATTTTAAGGGTGTAGTAGGATAAGCATTATCCACATGCGACTTCAAGAATCTAAAAACCATACTTTCTCTTGTCAACTAGTCTCTATAAGTGCTATCAATAAATTTTTACAGCTATTCTATCTCATCGGATATAGGTGGTTCCTCGGCCCAAGTCTAACCTGCAAAATGTTTATCGTCCTGCTATAATCTATCTAACCTGCAAAAGAGGCTAGTCATCCCAAAAGGAGTAAGACCAAGAGGATACAATATTGCCACTAAAAGAGGACTATACTTAAGTAGCCTAATTCATTGCTTATATTAAAGAAAAGATTACTTTAGAAGAACAGGAAAGATGCAATTCTCTTTATCTGTTTTTACCACCATCGCTACTGCATTATTGAGCTTGCCATGCGCAGATGCAGCTAAACACTCCGCTAAAATTAGCAAAATTCCTGTTGAAGAGTCATTGAACGTCAACACTTTCAAAGAATACACCGACGGATTGGCTAATAAGTATTTAAACATTTTTAATGCAGCCAACGGAAACCCGGTTGCTTTTGGAAGCCAGAACCCGGGTTCGGAAGCCCAGGTACCATTTATCAATCCTACAGAGGGCAAGCATGAAGCACCATTGACGAATTACTTGAATGCGCAATATTTCACTGAAATTCAATTAGGTACTCCAGGACAACCTTTCAAGGTTATTTTAGATACCGGTTCTTCGAACTTGTGGGTTCCATCCGAAGATTGCTCGTCGTTGGCTTGTTTCTTGCATTCCAAGTACTCGCATGACTCTTCGTCCACCTACAAGGCTAATGGGTCGTCGTTTTCTATTCAATACGGTAGTGGTGCCATGGAGGGTTACGTTTCCCAAGATACGTTAGCTATTGGTGATTTGATTATCCCAAAGCAAGATTTTGCTGAAGCCACTAGTGAACCAGGGTTAGCTTTTGCCTTTGGTAAGTTTGATGGTATCTTAGGTTTGGCCTACAATACTATTTCTGTGAACAAGATTGTTCCTCCAATTTACAATGCCATCGAGCAGGGCTTGTTAGAAGAACCTAGATTTGCTTTCTACTTGGGCGACACTTCCAAGAGTGAGGAAGACGGTGGTGTTGCTACTTTTGGTGGTATTGATGAAGATTTATTCACCGGAAAAGTTGTAGAGTTACCAGTCAGAAGAAAGGCATACTGGGAAGTTGAATTCGAGGGTATTGGTTTAGGTGACGAATACGCCGAATTGAGCAAAACTGGTGCTGCCATCGATACTGGTACTTCTTTGATCACTTTACCATCTTCTTTGGCTGAGATCATCAACTCCAAGATTGGTGCTGAAAAGTCTTGGTCCGGTCAATACCAAATTGATTGTGAAAAGAGAGATTCTTTACCAGAGTTAACTTTGACATTCGCTGGCAACAACTTTACTTTATCTCCATATGACTACACTTTAGAAGTTAGTGGTTCGTGTATTTCTGTTTTTACTCCAATGGATTTCCCTGAACCAATCGGTGATTTAGCTATCATTGGTGATGCCTTTTTAAGAAAATACTATTCTATCTACGATTTAAAGAAAAACACCGTTGGTTTGGCCAAGGCTAAATAATTAAATTTCTTAAAATTAAGTCTTAGTTAGTTATGCTTTATTTTTTATTTGCCCTTTTAGTTTCAAGTATTCAAAATGCTGTTGCACTCCTCATTAGTAACCCTAGAGTTTGCAATGCATAGTTTAATTATATCTTACGAATATATATTGCCTTTATTAGTTTCTATGTATATTGTTCCATTCCTGTATATAAAATGGCTGGGTGCAAATTTAGCCAGCCATCTGTTATCGAAAGTGGAACCAAAACTTGGATCAAATGAATGAAACAGTATTTCCTTCTTTATATACCATCTGATCTAGAATTTATCCATTTTGCTGTGTTATAATAATAGACTTCTTGATTTAAGTGTATATCTTAGAGTACTAACATGAGTGCAGGGCCTTATACTCAAGGTGTTCAAGCAATCCAACGAGATATCCCACTAAATTTTTCATTTGCTACAAATGGATCAACTGAACTTTTAACATCCAATAAATCCAATGATAGGCTTAAAAATGAAAAGCATGCTGTTGCTGAGACGGGATCTACTAAGTCGGGTTCTTTCTCAATACCATACAATCCAACAGATAATACAAATTCCTTGGACACCGCTAGTTTACTAAATCAGTTCGAAAACAGAGATCCCTTATACTCCAACACATCACATATTAATATGGTCCATACTCCTGTTAAACAGCAGTATTCTAACAGTCCTAATACACCTGTACGTGGACAAATCGATGAGAATCTTTTTAATCAAGTTCCTAAAAGATTCTCTCAGTTTATTATTAACCAACAGGTTCCCAACGATGTTCATAAATTGGATAATTTAACCCTTGATTCCATATCAATTCATAGTGTGGATGGACTAGAACTGAAGAAGACAGAGGCTCTAAGATTATCGAGTGGTAATCACTTTTCTGGCGAGAATAACAATGCACAGATAAAGCGTTCACCTTCTGCTGCTGTTTCCCAGTCCACTATCTTTTCTACCAGACAAGAAAGACGTCGTTTATTCAAGTTGGCAAAATCAAAATCTAACAGTACAAATCTCTCCAGATCCAAAGCAATTAGATTCAAGCAAGGTAGTTGGTATTATAGATTGAAGGTTAGAATGAGAAAGTTTACTAAGAAACTAAAGGCCCTAAGATTCAACAATTTTACAGTAGCATCTAAGAGAACTGGTAGTATGAAGAGGTCAAAAACCAGGGGTAAGACTTTGAAGCGTAAATATCGTAAGAATCCACAAAATGCTGCCGTTAAAAGATTAACTAGTAAAGAAATTTCCGTACCTTATTCTAATCCTCAATTGGGTAAGGGAGAAACAGAAAGAGTCGAAACATTAGATGCTATGTTGAAGCAACAAGCTGGTGCAACAAGAGAACATAACCTTCCAAATCATATAAAGCAAAATCAAATATCTGGATACATTGATGAACAGCAAGATTCATACATTAAGTCGATGTATACAAAGACAAAGTCTAGTTCTATAAACTATGGCAACAACACTTTAAACAGAAAGAGCATTAAACATAATAATTCAACCAGTGATATTGAAGAAATACCACCAACGCCCCCTCCTCACCTCGAACATAACAATTTCAGCGTGGTTGAAGGTGAAAAAGCGAATGATGTTATTGGTGCTTGGAAAAGATACTTGAGCCATGTTATAAGTCAAAGAATTCAATTGAGACAAGAGATTGTTTTCTTTCAAGCATTAGCTGCAAGCAACGATGCCAAATTTATGGTCGATGACGGTATGTCGAAGGAAGCAGAAACTAATGATGATAATTCTGAATTTGAATTTGTGTCGGAATCAGAGGGTTTACTGGCTAAATCTATAAGCGAAACAGAAACTATTTCCAGTTCTGAAATCAAAAGTAATTCTGAAATTATGGATTTGCCTACTCAAGAATTCAATAAAGCCTATAATAGAAGGTCGATGTTGGGCGAAATGTTGGATTATGATTCCTCTGATAATGAACTGGTTTCCTCATCAGTTTACTCCGATTCTTCTCATGCTTCCACTATCCGCTACGAAAATTTTATAAGAAGTGCCAGTAGCACTGCAAGTTCCGATCTTGGAATTGGAAAAAGATATGGTACGATATTGCGAAGAAACACAACTATATCGAGAAAACGGCCAGATCAGAAATCCGCATCTGGTCTGGTTTATTCTATGAAAAGATCTCAAGGGTTCCAAGTGGGACTTAGCGAATTTAAATAGCATCTATAGATTACAAAGGTTACAATTCGATAATATACTAAAGTTCATTAATATTATTTTGACAATATATACAGGTAAAAACAGTTACGCCCTGACTAAAACAGTACAAAAGTAGCATTTAGACAATCATAAATACAAATGAGACAGAGCTGGAATCAAAACAAAGAACGCTTACTTACATTTAGTTCTTTGGTTCTTCGGAAGAAGATTCATTGTTGTTTTCATTGTTTTTGTATAACTTTTCGAAAACCTTTAATGATTCATTTTGTAATTCTTCGGTCTTGGTCTTTAATTCAGCAGCATCAACTTCTTCACCGGCTTGAGCCTTGACGACGATTTCTCTTAATGCATTAAGTTGTTCCTTAACCTTTTCGGCATCGGCGGCATCAATCTTTTCCTTGAATTCGTTTAAGGAGTTTTCGGTATCGTTACATAATTGATCGGCTCTGTTAGCAGATTCAATGGCTTCTCTTCTGGCCTTATCAGATTCAGCGAATTTTTCGGCATCGTTAACCATCTTTTCGATTTCAGAGTCAGATAAACCGGAAGAACCAGCAACAGTGATAGAAGCGTCCTTGTTAGAAGCCTTATCACGAGCAGAGACCTTAATGATACCATCAGTATCAATGTCGAAGGTGACTTCAATTTGTGGGACACCCTTTGGAGCTGGTGGAATACCAGATAAAGTAAAGTTACCGATTAACTTGTTGTCTCTGGTTAATTCTCTTTCACCTTGGAAAACTCTAATTTCGACGGAAGTTTGACCAGCAGAAGCAGTGGAGAAAATTTGAGATTTCTTGGCTGGAATAGTGGTGTTTCTAGAGATTAATCTAGCGAAGACACCACCCATGGTTTCAATACCTAAGGATAATGGGGTGACATCTAATAAGACAACGTCAGTAACATCACCAGCTAAGATACCACCTTGAATAGCAGCACCCATAGCAACAGCTTCATCAGGGTTGACAGCCTTAGATGGTTCCTTACCGAAAATAGACTTGACGGTGTCGATAACCTTTGGCATTCTGGACATACCACCGACTAAGATGACTTCAGAAACGTCGGAAGTGGATAAACCAGCATCCTTCAAAGCCTTCTTACATGGTTCAACAGTTCTCTTGATGTATGGTTCAACCAAAGTTTCGAATTGAGATCTAGAGATCTTTTGGTTGATGTGCTTTGGACCGGAAGCATCAGCTGTGATAAATGGTAAGTTGATTTCGGTGTTGACAGTAGATGACAATTCAATCTTGGCCTTTTCAGCGGCTTCTCTGATACGTTGGATAGCCATTCTGTCCTTGGATAAGTCAATACCAGATTCCTTCTTGAAGGTTTCAACAATGTTTCTGACAACGGCAATATCGAAATCTTCACCACCTAAGTGAGTGTCACCGTTAGTGGACTTAACTTCGAAAACACCAGCACCAATATCTAAGATAGAGATATCGAAAGTACCACCACCTAAATCGAAAACAGCAACGACTTCACCATCGTTCTTTTCTAAACCGTAGGCCAAAGCAGCGGCGGTTGGTTCATTGACGACTCTCATAACATTTAAACCAACAATCTTACCGGCATCCTTGGTGGCTTGTCTTTGAGCATCGTTGAAATAAGCTGGACAGGTAACAACGGCGTTCTTAACTGGCTTACCCAAGTTAGCTTCGGCGGTTTCCTTCATCTTGTTCAAGATGAAACCACCAATTTGTTGTGGCGAGTACTTTTCGCCTCTGGCTTCAATCCATGCATCACCGTTGGCGTGCTTGACGATCTTGTATGGAACTTCGCTCAAATCTCTTTGGACTTCACCATCTTCAAAACGACGACCGATCAAACGCTTGGTAGCGAACAAGGTGTTTTCTGGGTTGACAACAGCTTGTCTCTTGGCTGGGATACCAACTAATCTTTCACCATCCTTGGTAAATGCAACAACAGAAGGAGTAGTTCTTCCACCTTCAGAGTTTTCAATGATCTTTGGAATCTTACCTTCCATAATTGCAACCGCCGAGTTAGTGGTACCTAAATCGATACCGATAACTGGGCCACTTGGAGCCGCAGTGGAGTTGGCACGGCTAGAGCCTGGTAAACGACGAACAACGTTCTTGAGTGAGTTTCTAGCTGCTAACATTTCTATTATAAATACTAGATATTCTTGTTAATAAATCAACTTAGATAGATATAATATATAAAATCCTCATAGCGGTTGTCGGAATGATTATATAGAGTGAAAATTTTAACCGCCCACTAAATTTACCCGGACGTTTATCCGGCGGAATCTCATGGAAGCTTCTCGAAGGAGTGGGTCATAAAAATGGGAATCTCGGAAAATGAGAGTGGCACGGAAATGTGAGTTGCGCTTGTCAAAGATGGTGACGAATATTTACATAAGAATGCGACGTCAAATTATAGTACATAGAAGGACAGTAAAAATAGAACAGTAACATACAAGATACTAAAGATGTAGAACCATTATATGTGTAGATCAGACGGAAGATTGCCATTCATGACCCATGTGAGCGACTTGTCGCCACGGAATTCTTCTATGTAGCGAATGATTTCGTCAGCAGACTTGTCGTATTTTTGCATACCTCTGGCAATGGAGTCACAGAGCTTCTTTCTTCTCTGGTAGCGCTTGGATTCCTTCGAGCGCGAGTCGCCCCTCCATTCGTGCTTGCCGAAGCGGGAATCCATCTCGCAAAGCGGTGGTTGGCCACGGAAACCCTTGGTGAACTCATCGTAGATCTCCTTTACAGTCATAGGGTTGTGGAGGAAATCAATGGAGATTTTGGGTCTCTTAGAGTCATGGAGAGACTCGGGATCCTGGGGCGAGGGCGCTGAAGGATCCTCGGACGTTGTTTTGCGCTTGAGGTAGATCTTCTTGCGGTATTTGTCCATGTTTACATTGGGTTGGTGAACTTGTGCTGCCTGTTCTTCAGCCTGCTGCACGGCTGCTGCTGCCACTTGGTGCAATTGTGGGTCCATATTGCTGTCAAGATGCACCGACGCATTAGCAAGCGATTCTTGATACGATGGCATTCCCGATGACCCATCACCCACCTGGTCATGGTCATGTTCGCCTTCTGAGGCCTGTCCTTGCACTTGTTGGCCCATCTGGTCATCGTCAGAACCCTGTTTTTGGTTGTCTCCATCTTGTATCGCCTGTAACGAGCTAATGATTGCATTCTGGTTTTTGTTCTCCAAAAAATCAGCCATTAACCCTGTCAACTTCTCAATCTTGGTGTTTTGATAATCCAACACATGTCTCAAGTACGACAATTCTTGTGTAATCCCCGCTAACTTGTCTCCTTCAATTTTACTAATAGCGTCGTTAATCTTCTCAAAACTCTCTTGTATGTAGTGATTCGAGAACTCTGTCTCATCTATGCTCTCCATCCCATTATCAACATTACGGTTTGAACTAGGGGACCTATTAGGAGCCTCCACGTTACCTTCGCCTGGCAAAAGTCTCGATGCATTTAAATCTTCTTTCATGTTATTATTTATACCTTCCATTGCAATTAGCTGATTTGTCTCAAATGGTATAATTGCAAAATGTCGGTCAAGTTTGTTTGTTTTTTCCTTGTAAACATCATGAAGGGAGACTTTTTTCTCATTTTATGGATTTTGTCTCTTCTGTCGTTTTGATGCGCGCACGATGATATATTTCAATAGGTTAGGTGTTGGTGATAGATATATACGACGGTATTGGCATAGCACCAGTATAAATTGTGGAAATAGCACGATTGTATGGTTCAATGGTACGATTAGTAGGCTGTGTATTCTTCCTCGGGGAGAAACGAATGACAATCGGCTGATTCGGCAGAAACTGTAGGACCAAAGAGCGCAAGTAGACCTTTGCAATAGCCGTTAATATTCAAAAAGATAATACGACATTTGCCCGAGTCTCCGTATAATTCAGTGGTTAAGCGTCTGAGTTGGTCGAGGTTGGTGCTTCTGGGAAGAAAAAGCCCATAGTTCTGGGTATATTGCATCACCTGATGGCATAATTGGTTGATGGGGAATGGCTGCATGTTGTACACGTCGAATCCATCGGCATCTTTGTAGGATGGACCACCCCATGGAGGAGAACAGAATATGAAGTCAAATATGGCCGACGGGGTTGTAGTATTGCGTAGATGCTGGGGGATCCACTTCTGATTTGGTGATCCATCAGGTAAAACCAGGCTGAATTGGTTCCAGTCGCCCACTTTGGGCCATATTCGGTTTTCCACTCCATATACAGCTGCATTGTGCATTGTACACTTCATATTGGTCGGGTTGATATCGATAGATCCTACACTTGGAAAATAGTTAGCAAATTGTATGGTGTTTCCTCCACCACCGCAGCATATATCCAATATATTACGAGCTTCGGGCATGAGCTCCAGTACTAGCTGGGCAGTATATATGGCAATATCTTCGGGGGTGACTGAGAACCAAAGTTCTGCTGTCATGAAGATACCTTCGTCAAATTTACTGAACAAACTGTATCTCTTGTTCCAATACTTCTTACAGTTCTTAGGAAGCGTGTTATGGTTGTGCATTAGCAATTCATTCTCATCTTCAATAGCATAGTCATCTTGATCTATCGACTCTGTATCACTACTCATCTTACAGCATCAGCTCATCGGAAAATTGATTCCATTGATAATTTCTATTTAAGGTCGCGCATCATTCTGCTACAACTGTCTGCATAAGAAAATATGTTTAAGATTCTGAGCTTTAGCAAGATAAACGTCAACCTAAAATAATGGTACATAACTTTAATATAAAGTTTCTACTAATAATAAATTCTAGAAGTCATTGCAGTATTTCTGCATAGGACTTTCATTTCGTATAATTTTTGTCCTTTTGCAGAACTGGCGATTTCTGAATGAATCTTGCATATTTACTGTATTTAGAAATACTATTCCATTAAATAATACATATTATGGTCTAAAGATATAATAATCATTAGACGCCGGGAAATACAAATACAAACGAATAAATTACAAGAGAAGAAAACGTACCCAAAAAGAAATAAATATAACCTTCTTAACACTAAATTTTCCAAACTTTACCTTCTCCAACCATAATCTTGTTCTCGGCCTCCATTCTGTCAAAGGCAGCACTAATTTCATCTTCAGCAAAGATATCTTCTTGTTCCAAATCCTGGTTAATGTACTCAATAACTTGCTCGGTTGGTGCTGCTCCGGATTCGTTTTCGAAAATTGAAGATTGCATAGATCTGGCCATTAATCTTACGAAAGTCGAGTATCTTTCACCACTTATTCCTGAAGCTGACTTGTTCGACTCGTTAGTCTCAGCCAATGGTTTCATATCCTGAGTATGCTGAGTGCCTTGAGCTTCTTGTTCTGGTTGTGTTATGTGTAAGTTATCAAGATGTTCCTCCATCTCTGCTTCATTAGGAGAAGATGCTGGGTCAGCTGGCGGGGAATCGTGTGCAGTTTGTGCTTGTCCTCTGAATCTGGACCTAGTTCTTGTATTTCTTGGAGGCAATTCCTCGTTATCTGATTCGTCTTCTTCTTCTTCTTCTTCTTCCTCTTCACTTTCGGCGTCAGATTCATGGTGGGTCTTTTGTTTCTTAGATTTGGATTTTCTTGTGACTTCTTTGAATAATGCGAATCTTAATAACTCCTCTGCAACCTTGGCATCCTTCACTTCGACAGTCTTGGATAATCTGACTTTGGCGTGCGCAGAAGCTAAACGAATCAACGTTTCTAATGTTCTGGCAGTAATTGGAGCTGTGTGTCTTTGGTTGTTATCAATTAAATCATTTCTTAATGCAGAGTAAGTATTCACAATATATTCTGAAGCCTTGCTACTCAAAACAGGCTTTATTCTTTGTTTGGCATACTGTACATATTTTTTCATAAATGGAATGGACAAAATTGTTGGTGCTTTGTTGGATTTCGTAGAACGTACACCCGAATGTAATAACGAATTGAATTTTTCAAATATTGGTTGTTCCAACTCTTCTTGCTCGTTGGTGGAATCATCACCAACTGCTAACGATAAGTTACTTCTTTCCCTTATAGGTTCTCCTTCTAACAAACCTGGAGGAATAAATCTATGCATTCTCAAAACATGCTCTGAAATAACTCTATCTTTCGTAGCTTGAACATCATCTGTAACAACAAATAGTAAATCAAAACGTGATAATAAAGAGTCTGGTAAAGCAATATTTTTATGAGGATCTTTATGCACGTCGTATTGACCAAATACTGGATTTGCTGCTGCAATAACCGAACAACGGGCATTCAATGAAGTATGTATACCTGCTTTGGCAATAGTGACTGTTTGTTGTTCCATAACTTCATGGATAGCAACACGATCAACATCAGACATTTTGTCAAATTCATCAATACACACGATACCTCTATCAGCTAAAACCATTGCACCTGCCTCTAATCTTCTTTCTCCTGTTTCTTTATCAGTAGTAACAGCCGCTGTCAAACCCACACCAGAAGAACCTCTACCAGTAGTAGCAATGGCTAATGAAGCAGTGTTCAAAACAAATCTTAAAATTTGGGATTTAGCAGTAGAAGGGTCACCAACCATTAAAATATTGATATCACCTCTTAAATGGGTACCGTTATCTAAATTCTTTTCTACCCCACCAAGAAGCATCAATAAAACGGCTTTCTTGATGTAATCAAACCCATAGATAGAAGGTGCTAAAGAATTAGATAAAGTTTCAAATATCTTCTTGTCTTTTGACAATTTGTTAATATTTCTAATGTCTTGATCGGTCAATTTTTCTTGAGAAGCAACACCCGTCGATCTCGCATGTAATGGGTAAACAGAATTGGCCAAGATTACAGTTCTGAATGATGCACTGGTATTACCAGCACCCCCCAACGCACGGTATACACCCACAATTTGGATACGGTCACCAGGCTTGGTCAAGTCAACCAAATCGTCGTCCAATATAACGTCAACAGATCTCGGTAATTGACCTGCTGGTGCTGTTTCTGGCATTTCTTGAACCGATATTTTCTGATGGTCTCTGTAAGTGGAGTATCCATATTCTGTTGTCAATTTATTACCGTCAAGATCTTCTGTTGGATAGATTGCAGCAGTGGAAATTGGATCAAATGATGTGGTCTGGTCCCTATATTCTCTAGCATAAAATCTGCTAGTCTTTTCGGCGTAATGGACCGACCTTATAATCTTAGGACGCACTAATGAAGCTCTAGTCACAATACCCTCAATCGAAACCATTTGCGAGAGATGATGCGAGTTAATAGATCTAGGCGATACTTGGTGGTCCCCGAATGATCCCTTGAACGATAAGTAAAATTGTTGGTTTTCATCCATCGCTTCGTACCTCGAATCTGTAGGATCGTATATCGTCAATACCGTATCTCTCAATGCCCTTTCACACGCTGGCAAATAATCCGCTGGAGTATTTAACAATCCTCTCCAGAATTCTTTGTCAAATTCACGAATTTCGTCTAATGAAACGCATAATCTATATCTACCCTTCATCAACATATCCTTGATTTCTGTTCTATATTGAGTACCTTCCACATCAATCTTATCTAAGAATTCTTGAAACCTTCTGACTCTATCACCGAAAACAGCATCGATAGGCTGTTCATTTATTTGTGTTGTATCATCCATTTCCTATCAATTAAGCAAAAAATGTAACTAATGAATGAATAACTAAAGAACAAAATTATGTATCGCTTCAACTGTATGGGAATGAGTGTACTGAAAAAAAATCCGACGCGTTCAATTAATTTTCTCTTTTGGGAAAATTGAATTTTAGTACACAAAAGCCTTTCATTAGGAAGAGAACATATATACTTATATTGGTCTATTATACAGTTTTATATATGTATCTGTGTATAACGAGTATGATCACAAGCACCAGCCTTTAGCATAAACTGTAGTACTGTCGGATCTGTCTTTATCATCGAATAATTTATCCCACTCCTCGAATTCTAAAGCAACATGGGTCTTGTATCTTCTGTTCTTTTCACTATCTAACAAAGATATATAACTCCAGTCCAAGAAATCTTCCAAGTTGTAGTTAAGCTTTTTGAACGGCTCACCGAATATTTTAGCCAAAGTAGCAATATTAGGATGGTAGTGAGACATTAAAGCCTCCAACTCCCATAAGGATGAACCCATAGCACCAGTTTTCAAAGGATCCGTCTCGTTGTTGTCGAAGGTATCTTCATATTGAGCAGCAGAAACATCAGGATTATGCAACATAATCATACATGAAGGATGCCTTTTTAACAAGTTATAGATGAAAGGAATAACTATGACAACACCTGAAGCACTCGACGTTATAGATAATCTAGCCAATTTCTTAATGAAAGAAGCAATCAAGCTGGCAGATAAGTGTGTAGAGGAAAGAAATAAGTCACATAATCTAAAGAATCTGGATCTGTAACGAGTATACAACAAGTTGGGTGTCAACAACGAGTATAACTTCGAGTAAAAATCAGGATATTCCAAGTTGTATCTTTTCATAAGTTCGTACAAAGAATTCAACGCAAGAATAGGAATGACACCATCCTCGCCAACATTGTATGAGTCAGTTAAGAAATCCATTAAACTTTGTGGTTGAGCCATATATGGAATAACCCTCTTGTGCAAAATAAGTAAAATTGATTTGTATTGGGAAATTAATAATGGGTATGATAACACAGAAATGATACACTTTTGGTATTGCATTTTAAATTGTGATATTTTGTATGCTATTGAAGGAAGCTGTTGTTTAATCCACGTTTTTTCTTGTTCAAGAACTTCCACTTCAGGTGTAAATAATAATTGGTTCTTGAATATGCAGTAAAAGTTAGCAAATATCATTCTTAGTTGTGTAGTAGTCTTTTCTGTTTTCCATGTATTTAATGTTTCATGCAAGTTGTTGACAAAGTAGAACTGCAAGTCCCAATTCTTCTTAAACTTCTCGATGAATTCCAAGATGATGAAGTTTTCTGTCGATCCGTTGGAATCAATTTCACCATTTTCACTCAATAACAATGCTTCCACCAATCCTTTATATGTCAATGTAGGGAAATATAAATCATTCTCACCTGATTTCATGCATGTACTTTCCAACTTTACCAAGTTTAAGCCTATCTCTAATAAGTCAACTTGTAAGGACGTTTCATATGCCAATTTTTGCACAATGAACTCGTTTATAATCGTCTTGAATGCGTCATATTTATCTGAAAGCCATTTTACCACCATCCTTTTCTTGTCATCATGAGATTTCTTATTTTTCATCACGTCATTCTTGAGCAAGTTTTGGAAACATTTGTATAGCGTAATAGAAAGTTGACGGCCTACTGTTTCAACTTCTTCTGATTCTCTTTCTGATAGCTCTTTTTTGATGTGCTTATATTGTTCCAACAATTGTACGAAATTGTTATAATGCTTCGATGAGGTCAATATTTGATCCCCAAGGTTTTGTATTTCTTCTACAGATAATATGGCACTTTTTTTCCCATTTGAAGCTTTCTTTTGTTTACTTGAACTCAAAGAGCTATTTGCCTTTCTCTTTGGCGCCATTATGATTTTTGCCTATTACTATTACTTCGATTATAACCGTAAATGCTAGTTTGTAAGGCCCTATAAAAAAATTGCAACTGATGAGTATGCTTGTATGTAGGCCCTCAGTGAGTATTTTTTTATGATGTTACCCGGCACTTCTCATCTAGTATATAAAGAGTTTTAGCCCATCAGTTTCTTCGAAACTAGGAAGATTTATTCTCTCATATGACCTTCCAAGTTTTATACTCATGATGAAATCTCGCGTTATTCAAGACAATTCCCTTTAGAGTTGTAGTCTTTCTTTCGGGAGAGATTCCTCTGAAATTGCTTTCTCATACGAGAGAGTAGGGTTTTATTGGTTAAGGTGTTTGGCGCAAACTATTCTTGTTACAAAAATATCACAGACGCTTAAGAGAACTTCTGACCCTCCCACTCAAAACATTGGAATATGTCATTAAAAGTAGAAATCAATATACAACTACGACGCAAAATGTGAAGACCGTGTAGAATGTAAGCGAAACCGCATGATAATGTGATTTCATTTAGTCACATTATGAAGGGTAGCGGAATAGTGATAGTAGAAGATATGACGACTGCGTGTAATAGTGGACTAATGTGTTTCTATCAATAGTCTTGTGACCGGAATAATCTTGAATTCCATGTCTATGATTTATGAGTACGATTACATATCTTACATTCCGTATTTGACATGGAGGTTATTTGCATTGCCCAAAAGGTAAACTAATTATACAAATTATAAAAAAAGAGAACAGACCCGAACCTAACCGAACCTAACTATCAGAATCAAACATTAACGTAAATATAGGGTGTATACTGGGGAAACATGTACGTGATAACACGCAAGTAAAATAAGTATATAGTAACTTCGTTGATGTTGTTTAAATGAAAGTTTCGTAAGCAACTGGAGCTAAGGTTTGAGGAACGTTTTCCTTAGTAGTGACGATTCTGGCGTCTCTTGGCTTAGCTGGTTGTCTCTTTAAGTGAACGTGTTCACCCTTGGCCTTGGCTTCTCTCTTTAAAGCAGCGTTAGATTTAACTCTGTTGATGAATTCTTGACGACAAGCAGAGTGCTTGATGTGTTCGACTCTCAAGTTAATTCTCTTTTCGAGGTATCTGTTACCAACAACTTTGTAGACAATAACACCAACAGCAGACTTGGTGACGTTGTAAACGATACCAGTCTTACCTTGGTAGTACTTGTGTGGCATACCCTTTTGGATAGAACCATTGGCCTTGATATCAACGATATCACCAACTCTGTAGGTCTTTAAGTAAGTAGATAATGGAATAGCACCATGTTTCTTAAAGTCACGTTGGAAAAGGTAACGAGTACCGGATCTATAACCACGACTAAATTAGGTTAGTATTACATTCACCTTGTCTTTACAGATACTTGTTCAGGTTATATCTCTTCTAGAATTAACAGCCCATTATATCCTATCAATTTTATCCTCTCATTAATCAATTTTCTCTTCAATATGGCCATTCTGTCCCTTTTCAACTTCGTTCTTACAAAAATTTCATGCCATATATATCTCTTAAGAGCTAGCCTTTTTGAATCTTATTGACAACATTTACTTTAGAGCGAGGTATCCTGAACTATATCTATCAAACTAGTATCTCACATACGATTTACCCATTTTCTTTAGTTATTGTATAAAGTAGCTAAGTCTATAAGCCAGTTCAAGTTCTTTTCATTATTTAGTACCTGAAAATTTTCCAGTGAGTAGCATCAGTCGGGGCTGCATAACCAAAAATATAATTGTGACTGCTTCTTTTATTTGCACGAAAAATGGCAGTCTCACTAAAATGCGCATAGGGCTTAAACCTATATATGACTTCAATTGCTGCAACACCAATATATTAGTGGAAGCAGTTTACCAAAACTATAGTATTTTTTGTATTGATATGTACTAAATATATTCTATTGATTGTTTTGAAAAAAAGTATATATATTAATGTATTTATTCAAGAATTGAAGAGGCATTTTCATTTAAAATCAATTAAAACAAATGTCAGAGAATTTGTCATAAGCTCTATAGATAAACCCTGTTTTCTTAGGTTGTGATGCAATCCATTCATTTTCTTCTTCTTCCTCAAGGTCTATGGCTTCTTTTCCAGTGGTGATATCCGCTTCGGAATCTTTTCTGATATGAGTTTTCTTGATGAATTTCCAAGCAAAGTACAAAACAATGAAGAAAGCAGGAGCAAAGTAGGAAGTGAACAAATTAGAAACAGAAAACTGACCAGGGAAGAAAATCCAGAATCCATTGAAAAATAAAACTAAAATGGTCAAGAAAAATCCGAAATAAGACATGTAAGGCTGGCAAAAGAAAGGTGGTTGATAATATGTGTCTTTTTTGTAGTCAAAACCTTGTGCATCCAAGGCACGACGAAACTTGAAGTAGCAAAGCCATATTACAAAGTAGGTGCACAATAAACCTGTAGTCGCTAAATTAATAAACCATTCGAATACTTGCGCAGTAGAGCTTGAGATACTCAAGAACGATAAGCATGCAACCAATAAAGAACCAATGACACAATAAATAGGAGCCCCATTTTTCAAACATTTTGAAAAGAAGCGAGGCAAGTACCCAGCCAAGGAAGCACTGTAGGCACATCTGGTAGCAGCATAACAGAAACCGTTACCGCAAGACCAGGCAGCAGACATGATTACTGCATTAACAAGAGAGTCCAATCCGGTAACACCAACATTTTTAACTCCAATAACCCATGGAGAGGCTGCTGCACCCACCTTTCCTGTTGCTGATGCTGCTACTAAAGCTGGGTCATTTGATGCACATAAAGAGTTCATGAAGAAAATACCACCGAAGTAGAATAAATATATTCTGATGTAAGCTCTTCTTCCAGCCATTGGAATGACTTTACGTGGTTGTGAGACTTCACCTGCAATCATTCCTAAGATATCTGGACCCCCACAGGCAAATGCAGCGTAGATTAAGACATTCCACCAGCCAAGAAATTTGCCGGTACTACCAGATACAAGATAAGACTTGAATAATCCACCTTCAGACCAATGTTGAAACCCATATGAATCCTTCTTAGGGTTACCACCACACATGGAAATCAAACCAAATAACATCAACCCCACAATAAGTAAAACTTTTAACATCGATGACACGAACTCGATCTCACCATACCAATTAACACCAAATACGTTGAAAAATAAAATCGACAATATTCCCACTGCAATAAATATTCCTGGGTTGGCATCGGTCCAAAACCCTATAACAGATGCAAATGCCACAACCTCCACACATACGAACATCAACGTTGTATACAAATATATCATAGTACATGCAAATCCCATAGCAGGATCAATCCATCTAGCGGAATAATGCAAAAAACTTCCCTTTATAGGAAGAAACGAGCACATTTCAGCAACACACTGCATCAACGGCCAAACCACAAGGCATGCCCAGAATAAAAACCCTATAAATAAAGATAAACTTCCTGAAGTCATTAACGGACTTGAAAGACCAATAAACAAACCTGTTCCAATACTCTGACCAATAATCATTAACGCAACATGCCTCAGACTTAACTTTCTTTTCGTCTCACCATATTTCTCTTTATCTATTTTATCATTAAAATCATCGAAATTGGTGGTGTTATTTAGCATATCCACAGATCCTACTTTTTCCACATCAACAGTGGTACCAAAATCTTTTGATAGTTTGTTCATCTTTCTTGTTTTATTATTCCCAAATTTTCACGGCTTCCAATATCTTTTTCTCGTCATATTTACTGAAATTTTCTTTCTATATATATACTGGTTTACTGATACCATAATCTTGCAAGGCATTCTCTTATCATGCTGCAATCAAAGATACTTGATTGAGAATTTACGCCCATACACTATTGTTACTATATGCCTAATTAAGTAATGCGCCAACTAATATACTGAACATGCTCCTACAAATATCGCTCATATATGTCCAAGAACTTTTTACACGAGATTGTTGAAGCCCGTACTTTGTAACATAAAGATAACATCTGAATACGTGACTTCTATGAGGGAATTATCTAGCAATATTTTGTACAACAATAGTTGATTGATTTTATTTTTGATACTTGCCTTAGCGGAATTACGAATGCGGCATTGTGAAAATTTGGGTTGTATTATTAACTACCCCATGTTTTACTTGTGTTATACCTATCCATTATTCGCTAAATAACCAGTATTTGGTGTATTGGTATGGAAGTGGGGCCGTTGTAATGCTCAAACTTAAATAGTAGGAGGAGTTGAAGAAAGAGGGTTTGGGGGGGGTTAAAACGGGGAGGAGACATATTTATACAATTTACTCAAAAATGGATAATTTGTGAAAAATTGCTACCATATCTGGTTTGAACGCATCCGAAGATAAACGCTATTTTGAACAAGAATTACTATAGTAAAAAAAAAAATTCATTAGTTTTCTACGTTAATATTTTCTGATTGGCTCAAGTATTCTGATAAGGTTGTATTGTGAAGAGATTAGAAGCGTATCTTTGTACCTGAAAGAACTGAGATGAATATTCCTGTATATAATAAATAAGGTAAAGATGAGAAGAGCATCGAGGTAGATGGTTAGTAAAAGTAAGTCAATAACTAAACCAAATGTCGAATAAACACAAGTTTTTGGTACTAAATCCTTCACCCGAAGGGTTAGATAAGGTAATAGAGAAAGCTAATTTGCAAAATCAAAAGATTGGACCGTTTGAAGCGATATTGTTGTTAGGAGATGTCTTACCGGAAGGCTCAAGTATACCGAGCAACGAATTTCAACAGAGTGCATTTTTTACACAAGGAACTAATGGTATTAGTGAAAATATCCCAGAGGGGAACTCAGAGAGTAGGTTAGTAGATGTGAAGAAGAATTTGACGTATATGAAGACGCCATTTACGAAATTCAAACTTGCATCGGGATTAACCATCGCCTATTTAGCAGGAACAGAAATAACCGAAGAAATACAGCAAAATGTAGAGAAAGAGATGGGTGTGGGTAAGATAGATATTTTGGTTACATATAGCTGGCCTTATGCGATTGCAAGACAGCGCAAATTGTTGCTAGTTGCCAATAACAAGATTGATTCCCTTGTCAAAAAATTCAAACCTAGATATCACTTTGCAGTGGGAAATGAGAGAGGAAGATATCTTGAGAATGAACCATTCAAATGGGAGGATGATTCGATCACCAGGTTTATCAGCTTGGGTCAAGAAGGAAGCGGTGAAAAATGGTTCTATGCGTTTGAAATTGCTAACGAATTGACACAAACATCGCCAGCACAATTGGTAGAAAATCCGTTCACTATTCAAGTTGTAGATACACCTGAGCCAGCAAAGAGGCCAATTGAAGATGTGGAGGAAAAGAATGTTGCTCCAGTTAAGAAGGCCAAGGTGGTTACTCCTGATCAATGTTTTTTTTGTTTATCAAATCCAAAGGTTGAGACGCATATGATTGTATCTATTGGTTCATACACCTACATGACCGTTGCTAAAGGTCCTTTGACAAGACCATCTAAGAACTTGGCATTCTCGGGACATGCAATCATTATCCCAATAGAGCATATGGCGACTTTAAGAAATACGACTGATAATATTATCGAGTCCCCGATATATCAAGAAATAGTCAAGTATCAAGATTCCTTAGTGAAGGCATTTGCTGTTTCAAAACCCTTCTTGAGGCTTGTATTTTTTGAAATTAACCGCAAGACTAATGTACACCAACATGTACAATTCTTACCAATAGGTGAAAATTTAATAGAAGCTTTTCCAAAAGCACTAGAAGAAAAAAGTAAACTAAATAATGAGAATTTTGAAAGAAACCAAAAGTTAAATTTTGATGAATTTACGGATGCTGAAAACCCCGAATTATTAAAAATACTAAATAATTCAGATTATATTCTATTTACCGTATGCCATAATGCATCTGATAAAACATTCTATGTTGCTGAATTAAAAGACGAATCTAAAGCTGTTGATTTACAATTTCCTAGGAGAGTTCTAGCATATACTTTGAAATGCCCTAAAAGAACTTATTGGGATAAATGTCAGCAATCGAAATATAAGGAAACACAAGAATGTGAAGAATTTAAAAATTTTTACAAAGAGTTCGATTTTACTAAATAAGTCTATTTATTATGCTATCTATTTACATTTAATATCCATTCCAAGCTCGCTAATACACTTTGTACATGAGCAGTCAAAAAACCATTCTCTTAACTGTTCTTGTCTTATTTGAACATTTTCATTTGAATAATTACCATAACTTATGAACAATTCTGTATTTGGGTCAACGTCTCTTAATGTTCTGAAATATAAGGTATCACCTTCACGAGTTTTTATTAAATTTGGATAACATGAATGGTTGAAAAAGGATGCAGATGGAAAAATGGCGAAACCAAAATAGTCTTTCTCTTCTGCATCATCCACAGGTTGGGACCAAATCCCAAATGCATTGGTGAGATTCGTACCAAGTATCGTTCTGATTAATTCACTTGTTACTAATGGCTGAAGCTCAGTGTGGACTGTAAGCCTCACAAACTTATAAATATTAGTATATGATTGTAATAATTGCGGGTATCTCTTTAACTTATCGAGTTCATTGGATTGTAGACTTTCGAAGAATTTCAATTCATGATGCTTACCTTTATACATTTGAAATAGTATTCCAACAATATATTTGGCTTCTATGTATTCCGATTCACCGATCTTTGGAATATTATTCAATCTTTTCGATGGTTTCATTTTATCTATCTTCTCTTCCCATTCACTTATCTTTTTCCATTCTTCTATAATTTGCTCTTCAAACTTGTCTTCATTTATAGTTAATTCGAGTTCATCTGGTTTCCTTAAACCATTATTGTAAAAACTTTCAACATTTAGAAGAGAATTAAGATAAATCTGATCAATATCGTCTGCAGTGAATGCAGACAAGCATTGCTCTGAACAAAAATATAAAGGGTGTTGACCACCTAACCTGAATTTGATAGTCTTTCCTCCGCTAAATTTGAAGCAAGATGAGCAAACTTCTTTTTTAAAGGGACGTGAAATGGCTGAACTCAAAGCTTTACTTATATGTATTACTGTATCTTTTGGAATCTCACATTTCGAGATACAACCCCTTCCGGTCGCTGTGTGACATACTTCATACCATGGTGAATTAATATCCCTATTTATTTCGTCAATAGTTGGCTTCATTTTCCATAAGTTATGCTAGTTCTAAAGTACATATCTTCGAATCATATTCCAAATTTGTTCGCACGTCAAAAATCTTTATGCGATGCCAGACAAACATTCCGTACATATAGTATACGAATTCCAAAAGTTTATTACGAACAAAATAATACACATATATTTGTTATATTTTGAGTAATAATATTTATTAATTGAACTTTATGGTCTATAATTATAATCTATATATTCTAACGTAGTGAATGATGATTATTTGTTTCAGAATAGCCAACCAAAAAAGTTTCGTAGAACCATATCGCATCGATGGGATTGCCTCGTGTACTCCACAGAGCCCTTTTCTCTTACGATTCTACTATATACTTTTCCTCTTTTTCCTCAGTATCATTCATGTCGAACTTCGAACTATTTTATAGATACAAAGTATTTTTTTATTTCTACATGTCTTCATTCGATTCTTTTAAAATTATTTCACACGATGAAAATTCTTTGGAATCGTATGATTAAGGAATAATTGCACCACCTTTTGTGGCAATTGAATATTGTTTTTGTTGTCTATAGGTTCGATTAGCGATGAGGCTGAATTTATCAATCAAATTTTGTCCGGCTGGCTTATTGAAAGAAAATGTTGCATCTACAATCTTCGTCTAAAATTTATCATAATATATCGCCTAAGGAAAATATACACTTTAACTAGAACAACCAGCCAATAAAGGTATCATAGTACCATGCTTTATCCTTAGGATTACCTTGAGCTTGTCTTAATGCTTCCTTTTCAGCAGCAACATCGGCAAATTGTTGTTCTTCTGAGTCAATAACGTCCCTGTAAGTCTCTAAATCAACATCTTCAGGTTTGATCATCTTGGTACGGTAGTATAATTTGAAACCAATATACATAATAACAAATACTGGTAATGCAATATAACCAGTTATGAAATCCTTGTATGTGAAAGTATCACCTAAAAACGCAGTAAAGTTTTTGATGAAAATAACGAGCACGCAAACAAATAATGCAATGTATGAACCAAATGGTTGTAATGGTGATCTATATGCCAATTCATTCTTTCTATCCATACCTTGAGCTTTACATGCCTTCATGAAGCGGATATGAATAACTAAAATACACGCCCAAGTGATTAAACCAGTAATACTGACCACGTTGACGAAATAACCGAAGACTTCTGAAGAATTAGAAGAGACGGCCATAAATGCAAGTAAGCAGAATGAGAAACTCAATGCAACACCGAAGTAAGGAACTCCCATTCTGTTTGTCTTCGAGAAGAATTTAGGTGCATAACCTGCTACTGATAAACCGTAAATGGTACGGGAGCAAATATACATATCAGAATTAGCGGCGGATAAAACGAATAATAAGATACACGCGTTAATAACGTGGTCTAAACCTCTGATTCTGGCATTCTTTATAGCAATAACGAATGGAGATGCACTAGCACTCGAACTACCAGCAGACAACAATAATGGATCGTTGGCTGGAACACACATTCCCAAGAATAAAATTGACAAAACATAGAAAAGAACAATACGGTAAAGAGTCATTTTGATAGCTTTTGGAATAGCCTTTCTAGGTCTGGCACACTCAGCAAAGGTAATACCACATAATTCGGTACCAGTGTATGCAAACACAGCTGAAACAAGCACAGAAACAAAAGCAACAAATCTACCCTTATCTCCTGTAATTTCCAAATTTTTGTCTTTATTCACGTAGTGTATAAAAGCACCGGGGTCTTTCCAGTATCTAAAACCTAATCTATCATGAGTTGGACCTCCTCCCAATGCAATTACCCACAAAAGTATAATTAAACCAAGACATGTCACAACCTTGATACAAGATAACCAGAACTCGATTTCACCAAAAAATCTAACTCCCAAAACATTAACAGCCACGATAATAACCAATAAAATCGTAATCCATACACCAGGATTCACTTTATCCTTTGGAATCCAATATTGAACCGTTAACGCACCAGCTACCAATTGATTAGCTGGTAAAATCAAATATTTAATTAAATAGACATACCCACAAGCAAATCCCAATGCTGGGTCAACATATCTATTACAATACCCAGTAAACCCATCTGCTAATGGAATAAAAGTTGCGACTTCACCCAATGCGCACATGACCATATACACAACCATCCCAATTGCACTATAGGCAATAAGAATTGATGCTGGCCCCGCAGTTCTCAAAGCTGAACCAGTACCAATTAACAAACCAGTACCCAAAGCACCACCGATAGCAATCATGGTAACGTGTCTGGCATCAAGCCCTTTTTTTAATTGGTGTCCATGATCAGTGACTTGAGAAGTTGGATTGGAACGAGCAACCTGTAACTTATATTCATCTGTATGTCTTGATAACACTGATGTTACATCACTGCCTGTATTTTTCTCTGCATCTAACATAATTTGTCTACAAATACTAAAATTCTACAGAAAATTAAAATTAAGATTTATTTTATTATTTATACATATTTTCATTTGACACCGTTATCTATCCTCCATAATTTTTTTTTTGGTACAAAGATAATGAAAGCCAAGAATATTTCTTCACGTAAAAAATGCCTTAGCGGTGCATGACTAGATAGGAATATGAGACTACCTTAGTTAGGGCAGAGTCCGAACAATCGACTAGAGTGCAGGAACCTTTCCCCAAGTAAGAGAAATTATGCACGGCAATCGCACAGCTGGCTTCCAATTTGCCTAACAAAAATAAAAAATACAATTAAATGTCAAACGGACACAATAAGCCAATGAAAGATTCGGCAGATTCATAGAACAGATTTCATTGATACGCACTTGAAGGCGATTGTCGATACGAATGTGGGGCCTGGGTCAGTTGAATGCAATTTTTTCTTTGTAGGTGATGAGGTTGAGAGATTTTTTTTTTCTATTATGCCGGATTGATTAGGGGCTTTGCTCCTGGACCTATTTCATAGAGTTATAGTTGAGAGAGACGGCTTCAAATCTAACGGTAATTCTGGGGAAATTGCCGTATTGGCTTCAGAAATTCACACCATTTATTAAGAAAATAAAAGAGACCCCGGACTCACAATCACTCATAACAATCTCAATCTAGGAAAAAACGTAGCAATCAATTTGGGGATGAAAGTGGAGCAAACTATAAATGGGAGTACTACAGATCGCCGTATATTATACAGAAAATTTTCAACAGAACTAGTATCATGTATTTAATAAATATAATAGATTATAAATAGACATTCATGAACGCATAAACCTAGATGACAGCGTCATGAGACGTCTGTCACGTTAGAGTAAATAAACTCAAACACAGATGAGTGACCAGCATTTATCTGGCTTGTAAATCAGGCAAATGGATAGCCTTAACAGTGATATAACTGTTCTGACTATTAGCAATACCAGCGTAGGCATTATACCAAGCAGCAAACGCAGTAAGAAGACCAAATACACCACCGGCTTTTTTGATTGCAATACCATCTGTCTTAAATTCCGCGATCGCCAATAGCAAAAACGTAATAGAAAGGAAGAAAAAGACCGAGAAAAAGGCCACAGTAGATTTCAAAGTCATTAACATCATAAAGAACGTAAAAATAAACCACCCCACAAGGAATATACCCACAGCATTAGCAAATTCTCTTTCGTCTTCATAAGCAGCTGCAATACCAAAACTATCAACATAAAGGGCAGCCCATCCACCCCAGAAACCGGCATAAGAACTCAAAGCAACACCACCAAATGTGTTTCCCAGAGCAATCTCAAACATACCGGCAACTAATTGTGCGGCACCCCCGTAGAAGAATGCCAATCCAACAACAATGTTTGGAATAGTGACACCTCTGGCCTGAACATTAATCAAAGAAAGCAAGAAAGTAGTAAGCGCGAAACCTGACAATCCTAATGGTGCAGGGTTGGCTAAATTGTGCTTTGGTGGTGGAGCTAAACCAGGATTCAAGGTACCACCAAATGCTTCAACCAATTCATCACGACGATACTTTTCATTACCAAATTGGATGTATTCTCCGTCTGCAACAACTTCAGTAATATTATTGTCTTTGTAATGAGCACTTCCTGCACCTTGGGATTCTTGACCATTTTTCACGACGAAGTGATGGTCTTGCTCTTGTTGATATTGTTGTTCTAAGTCACTCATTGTAGAATTTGAAGTATGTTATAAAAAAGTAAGTCCCCTAGTATCAGTGTAAGTAATATTTGTTCAAAAAGAAGTGTAATTCAAAATTATCTCCTAGATTCCAATTTTATTCAAGATAGTACTAAGTAAGTAACCTTGTGTATCAAGTAGCAATAAAAAATTAGTGTTTTCGGTTCTTGAAAACTAGCTAATCGATTTAATAAAAATTGATGATGTTATTACCAAATTAATTTTTTTAAGAATATTCTTTTCATTTATATAGTTAGCCCCACAATTCAATAACGCTCACTCAACAACTTTTTTTTAATGCCGATATATTCTTCTACAAACCTCATTTCAGCGGGGATCTTGAGAAATACACGATTTTAAACTTGTAAGTCCCACTTACAATAAGGGTTCTTGGAAAAGTGAGCAGAAAATCTACACTACCACATCAGGAGACCATGAACTACCCGAACAAAATAAGTGATTGATGCGGGAGAATAACCACGAAAAAACCAAAAAAAATGAGATTTGTGGGGCACATTGACCATTCTGAGGCATCTAACCGTTTCCAAAATAGTTCAACCAAAAGTCCGACAGCCGATTGTACTTTTTTCGCAGTATCGAATTTTACCTAAACACCGAATGAACTACGCTTAAAAAAAAGAATTGCGAGATTCATTAAGTGTAGCTCATGAAGGTTATAGGTAGTGAATGAAGGCAGAAGAGAGAACCTTGAGTGATGGGCCTTACTATAGACATGTACGGAAACATAGGAAACCGAAACACCGATGCTGGCCCGTCATGATTAGATGCAGGTCAGGCGAGATGAAAAGACTAGGGCCGGACAAAGAAATGAAGAACAATGCAAGAAGAGATTATTTTTGAGAGCCGCACGATCACAACCAATTAAAAACGACTGTCATTTATCACGAGAACTGGCTCATAGCCGGTTCACTAGTCATTAAGTGCTTGAACTGTAGTATGAGGTAGCCCAACAGACGCATCACGACCTGTTTTGTTAGAGTACATGATGTGTGACTGTTTGGAGCAATAGGAATTCTTGGAAATAATACTAAAGCGGTGCTAATTCGTAAACTTACCATGTGAGTGGCAAGACTACCGCAAACGTTTTGCTAGTGCATCTACTAGTTCCCACCTGCTTTCACTGGATAGTGGCCGGTGTATCCTCGATATGAACTTACTAACCCAACTTTTGCTACAATAGGCTTCGGATATAGTGAATTGAGAGTCCGGAGAAAGGTGCGAATTAAGACTCCAAGTGGTTCGCATTGTGAAGAATGATTGCTTCTTGCAACAATTAACAATTACTGGAGGAACAGGAGTTTAAAGGTATGGGGTCAACAACTCTTCTTTGACCATATTCGGACTTACTCCGTTGTGTAAAAAAGGGGTGCTAATTGACCACCTCATGTTGGTATTCATTAAAGTAAGCACTACATGTCGGTTGGAAGGATATCCATCTCTCACAGCTCGCTCATGCATATTAGACCCCCACAACCTCGTAATATTGTTAAAGTGGTTTGTTATAGAAGGTAAAGTCCGAACTGACCCGGCAGGCATTTCTAACTCAATGCCGCGTTCAGGCCACAAACGCATGTAAAATGAGTAAATCAAATTAACTGTAAGTTCGGGTCCCACATATTGCTGGAATTCGCAACAACCGATTATCTCTACACGTAGCCATAGGAATCAAATACATTTACTACAGTGAGTGTTGTTGAGCTAGAATATTAAGGCCAAAATCGTGTGTTTGGATGTTATTGGAGCAATGGGTCACAAATATAATGGTTTTCGCACGTTCAATTCCCGAAGCAGTCAGTTTGTAAACATTCCACAATCATTAGGTTTGTTCTACACATCAAGTCAAGTTTATTGAAAAACACATTTAACGGTTGTTTCTTTTCAGTGGATGGTGAAGAGCAGGTAAAATGGCATTTTTTAGATCATCCAAGCAAGATATGCAAGATATTTCGGACATTTCTCATTCGATGGAGAATGTTTCGATGAGTGACATGGATATTGACTCGAAATCGCAATATAATAACTTAAACAAGGAGAATATCACGCCTGGTAACTCACCGACCAAATCAATTTTACATAATTCGCCTCAACAACAGTTAGCACGGTCTAGGTTTCCCCAGGGAGTAAATTCTAATATGGATTACGGCGACTTGAAGCTTCCAAAGTTGAATCACAACGCACACACTCATGAAATTAAGACCCATAATGCAAAGACCAAGAGGTTAGCATCTGTTGCACAGCTCTACTTTTTAGATTACTATTGCGAAATGTTTGATTATGTGATTAGTAGGCGCGACAGGACTAAGCTTGTGGAACAGAAATTGATGAACGATCCTAATTTTAATGGAAATGCTCAGAGACAACAGTTGGAATGGAAGAACTATATTGGTAGAGAAAGGGCATTATTGAGAAAGAGGAGATTGAAGCCTAAACACAAAGATTTCCAAATGATCACTCAGGTGGGCCAGGGTGGTTATGGGCAAGTATTTCTTGCCAGAAAGAAGGATACAAGAGAGATTTGTGCATTAAAGGTATTGAACAAGAAATTATTGTTGAAGTTAGATGAAACGAAACATGTATTAACTGAGAGAGATATCTTGACTAACACAAGAAGTGAATGGTTGGTAAAGCTTTTATACGCGTTCCAAGACCCGGAAAAGGTATTTTTGGCTATGGAATTTGTTCCAGGTGGTGATTTCAGAACTTTGTTGAATAACACAGGATACTTAATACCTCCACATGCAAGATTTTATATAAGTGAAATGTTTATGGCGGTAAACTCATTACATGAGTTAGGTTTCACTCATAGAGATTTGAAGCCAGAGAACTTTTTGATTGATTCTAAAGGTCACATTAAGCTAACGGACTTTGGATTAGCCGCGGGCAATGTTTCTAATGAGAGAATCGAAAGTATGAGATTGAAATTGCAAAACTTACAGGATTTGGATGATTACAAAGTACCATCCAAGTTGATGATTGAAAGACAAAAGATTTTCAAGAGATCACAAGGGCACCATAATTTGGCTAACTCAATTGTTGGTTCGCCCGACTATATGGCATTGGAAGTACTTGAAGGGAAAAATTATGACTATACTATTGATTACTGGTCACTTGGATGTATGTTATTTGAGAGCTTATGTGGCTATCCACCTTTTTCAGGCTCTAAACAAGACGAAACATATTATAATTTAAAGAATTGGAAAACTGCCTTAAGGAGACCTCAAACAAAAGATGGCCGCTATGTCTTTAGTGATAGAACCTGGCAGTTAATTGTTAAATTAATTGCCTCGCCTTCATCTAGATTAAAGAATTTTAAGCAAATTCAAGCTATGTCCTACTTCAACGATATAAGTGATTGGAATAAATTAAGAGAAAAGACACCTCCATTCACTCCACAGTTAGATAACGAAGAAGATGCTGGTTATTTCGATGACTTTGAAGATGAAGAAAGTATGCAAAAATACAAAGATGTTTTTGCAAGACAAGAGCATAATGAACAATTATTAGAGAATTCAAATAATAAAAAGGCGAATAATAATTTTATCGGTTTTACATTCAAGCATAAATTGAATCCGAACAATAAATTCCAGCATGGGGAAATTAATCTATTGGGTAATAATCATAATAGATTAGATCCTTTAGCTACCTTGTATTGATTATATCTATATACCTAGTGCATATACATGTATACAATCTTATTTAATAATGTATTTATGATAGCCTTTTACAAATTTATGACTTCCAAATAAAATCATTCTCTACTTTATTTGCAATGTATTTTCTTTGGTAAGTATTATGGATCGTCTCACATTCACTACCAGCTTTGCTAATAACAAGTAGTAGCTGATCTTCTGTAAACTTACCATGCGATTCTAGCAACAACAAATTTGCTGCATTACCATCCTTAAGCGAAAAGCATATAACATGATGTGACTCGGAATCTATCAATTTGTCCATATTAGGGTTAATGTGATATTCCTCCTTCTTCGCATCCGATGGTATGGATATCGATGTTGACGAAAATGAATTGTATAACGCTATATTAGCATCTATCAAGGCAAAATAACAACAATTTATGGCGGCATTAAGCTCAGTCAGGGTGAAATCTTTATTATGTTGATTGGAGCCGTTATCATTAATATTATTCTCTGTTATCAAAAATTGTACTACTATTTGAATTAGTTGTCTTGGATATTTATACCTTATAATGATCGACTGTAAAATTGATCTCAATTTGTCTTCTAATGCTTTTTCTCTTGTTGTTGAGACACCAACCGATGGCCTAACTATAATTTCTAAACTAGCCAAATTTGGTAATTCTTGTCTTATTTTTGGTTCTATAGGCCCTGTCACGGATGTTATTACTTTAGTTGTACCTGTAAACAACTCGGCTGACCCATCTACTCGGCTAAGCACTGATGTCTTTACGTCAAAGGTCATATCTTTCTATTTCAATTGTGATATATGGAACAAATCAATAGAAGTTCATCTCATCTTGATGGTACATTTTTTCTGTAGATTTAAGTACGAAAAAACATCATCGCATTAATTACACAAAGAATTTCATTAACCATTGAACTTTACCATTATCAACATTGGTCAAACATGGAAGATTACGAGAAGGAGCTATTAGCTGATTTAGGTAGCGATTCAAGTGATGAAGAACAATCGGACATTTTGAATCATAATAATGTTGACCATAATACATTGCAACCAGTTGAACACATTTCATCCCAAGATACTGAATTAGAGTTCGAGCAGAAATTAAAAAAGTTATTGAATGACGAATACAATTATAGCTTGCAGGATAGACTAGAGCAGTTTGATATCACCAATGTTAAAGACATTACCCAAATTTCTAAAATTTACCCAATAATTCCAGACTTGCAATCGCATATTGAAATTTACTCTAGTGATGATAATTGTGACTATTTGGACTTGCTCTCATCTGTAAATAACGAAAAGCAAAATGAAGAATATTCATTCATATTGATGGTAAATGAACTTTCACAGGTCATTCATCAAGAAATCTCACTAGTGCATTCATTTATCAAATTGCAATATAAAGTAGTGTTTGCAGAACTAGAGACACTTGTCTTAAATCCAATCGATTATGCCAATATTGTACTCTTAATCAAACAGGATATAACCAATATCAAAAAATATGAATCAGAACTTATGAATATTGTATCTAATGAAAAGGTACTTATAATAATTATGTCTGCTATGCAGCATATTAAAGATCAATTCGTATTAAATAACCAAGACTTTGAAATGATAATCAAAGCTTGCCGTCTTGTCATCGACCTTAATAACGTACTGAGCCAATTATCCGAGTTCATTTCATCAAAGTTGTCCAAATTTGCTCCTAATGTGTCGGCAATAGTAGGACCTATAACTACTTCTCAACTTTTAATTGCCAGTGGTTCTCTTAGACAACTATCTTTGACAGCGTCTTGTAATCTACCATCCTTGGGTGTTAGGGATTTGTCTTCTCAAAAAACCAACAAAAGCGTACGCCAAACAGGGTATTTATATCATTGTGAACTCATAAAATATTTACCTCCTAGTGTTGTTAGATCGGCCATGAGAATTTTAAGTGGAAAAGTGATACTAGCAGCAAGAATAGATCTCTCTCAGTCTTGTCCATCAGGATCTCTTGGTGAAAAATATTTGGAGGAGGTTACAAATAAAATTGAAAAATTATTAACCCCTCCAGAAGCACAAGGGGATAAAGCCTTACCGGCACCTGTTGAACATAAATCCAAAAAGCGTGGTGGTAGAAGATTCAGAAAGATGAAGGAACGTTTCCAAATGTCTGAATTGCGTAAGGCTCAAAACAAAATGGAATTTGGTAAACAAGAAGAGTCTGTGATAGACAGTTTCGGAGAAGAAGTTGGTTTAGGAATGAGTCGAGGAGGTGCTGGCAGATTAAATATTCAGCTTAACACTAATACTAATGCAAAAATGTCTAAATCGTTGACCAATAGACTTCAACTGCAAAAAGTGTCGAACAATGTCTTCAATGACGATTTCGACAGCATTCTATTAACCAACAACACAAATAATTCTTCAAATATGGTCGATAACAATGAACGAAACGATTCGAATAAGAGTAAATGGTTTACAGGAATGGTGAAAAGGAAAAGAGAGGAAGATACTGCAGAACCGTCCGAGACTAAGAAGTTAAAATTTTAGGCCATAAACCATAGACCCTGCCAGTATTTTTCAGTCAGCCTTTCATATCACAAGAGATATAATACGATTACAACTGGGTTATAACTTATTATATATTTCTTAGTTACTAGCATAATAGATATTTACACAAAACCAAAATTTTTGAGTCAAAAAAAAAAATTTCGGTGAGCTTTTACATTATAATTTGATTCATCAACTGTATGCTATCTAGTAAATTGCTCATTAGAAGTATTGTTAGAAGTAGTTTTTGTCGATTTAAGCCTAATTATAGAAGACTATATTCAATTAAGATGAGTGATAACAATAGTACGAAACCAACCACTGAACCATCGGTTCAAGGTGAAGTTCCAGTCAAGAAGGAAAAGACTGCTAAAGAATTAGAAAAAGAACGTAAGAAGGCTGAAAAATTAGCCAAATTCAATGCAAAGAAAGCCAAGCAAGTTGAAGATTCCAAGAATAAGCCAGCAGAATCTAAAAAGCCAAAGAAGGAAAAGAAGGTTGCAGAAGAAGTTCCTGAATTTAAAGATGAAACCAAGCCAGGTGAAAAGAAAATCTTGGTCTCTTTAGATAACCCAGCCTTCAAAGCTTACAACCCAAAGAATGTTGAAAGCTCTTGGTACAGCTGGTGGGACAAGCAAGGGTTATTTCAACCAGAATTGACCGAATCTGGTGAAATAAAGCCGGCTGGTGCCTTTACCATTCCAGCACCACCACCAAATGTTACTGGTGCTTTGCACATTGGACATGCCTTGACCATCGCTATTCAAGATACTTTGATTAGATACTACAGAATGAAAGGTAAGACCACTTTGTTTTTGCCAGGTTTCGATCATGCGGGTATTGCAACTCAATCAGTTGTCGAAAAACAAATTTGGGCTAACGAAAAAAAGACCAGACATGATTACGGTCGTGAAAAGTTTATTGAAAAAGTCTGGGAATGGAAAGAGGAATACCACGGTAGAATTAAGAACCAAGTGAAAAAATTAGGTGCATCTTATGATTGGACTAGAGAAGCATTTACTTTAAACCCAGACTTATCTGAATCTGTTACGGAAGCCTTTGTAAGATTACATGAAGACGGTACCATTTACAGAGCTTCAAGATTAGTTAACTGGTCTGTGAAATTAAATACTGCTATTTCTAATTTAGAAGTTGACAACAAGAATATTACTGGTAAAACATTGTTGTCTGTCCCAGGTTACGATTCAAAGATTGAATTTGGTACCTTGACTTCGTTCTCTTATCCAGTTGAAAATTCCGATGAGAAGATTACAGTTGCCACTACCAGACCTGAAACTATGTTCGGTGATACTGGTGTAGCAGTTCATCCAAATGATCCACGTTATAAACATTTGCATGGTAAGTTCGTTATTCATCCATTTTTAGATCGTAGAATACCTATTGTCACTGATTCTGAAGCTGTTGATATGGAGTTTGGTACTGGTGCTGTTAAAATTACTCCAGCCCATGACCAAAACGATTATAGTACTGGTAAGAGAAACGACTTAGAATTTATTAATATTTACACTGACGATGGGTTTTTGAATGAAAACTGTGGTGACGAATGGAAGGGAATGAAGAGATTTGATGCCAGAGCTAAAGTTATTGAAGAATTAAAAGCCAAGAATTTATTTGTTGAACAAAAAGACAATGAAATGACCATTCCTATTTGTTCTAGATCTGGTGATATCATTGAGCCTTTGTTGAAACCACAATGGTGGGTCAACCAAAAAGATATGGCTGTTGAAGCTATTAAGGCTGTAAAGAGCGGTGAAATCACTATTACCCCTAAAACTTCCGAGGCCGAGTACTTCCACTGGTTAGAAAATATTCAAGATTGGTGTATCTCGCGTCAATTATGGTGGGGTCATAGATGTCCTGTTTATTTCGTTACCTTTGAAGGTGCAGAAAACGATAGGTTGAACAATGACTACTGGATTGCTGGTAGAAGTTATGAAGAAGCTCTTGAAAAGGCTCAAAAGAAATTCCCAAACAAGACCTTTACCTTAGAACAAGACGAGGATGTCTTAGATACATGGTTCTCGTCTGGATTGTGGCCATTCTCTACTCTTGGATGGCCAAATAAGACTAAAGACATGGAATTATATAACCCTATGTCAATGTTAGAAACTGGTTGGGATATCTTATTCTTCTGGGTTAGTCGTATGATCTTATTGGGTCTTAAATTAACCGGAAAGGTACCATTTAAGGAAGTTTTCTGTCATTCGTTAGTTCGTGATGCCCAAGGACGTAAGATGTCTAAATCTTTAGGTAATGTTATTGATCCGTTAGATGTTATCGCTGGTATTCCATTACAAGGATTACACGATAAATTAAAGACTGGTAACTTGGATCCAAGGGAATTGCAAAAGGCTACCGAAGGTCAAAAGGCTTCTTATCCAAATGGTATTCCAGAATGTGGTACCGATGCTTTAAGGTTTGCTTTATGTGCATACAGTACTGGTGGTAGAGATATTAACTTAGATATTTTGAGAGTTGAGGGTTATCGTAAATTCTGTAACAAGATTTACCAAGCCACTAAATTCGTTTTAGGTAAATTAGGTGAAGATTATAAACCACCTGCAACATCCGCCAAATCTGGAAATGAGTCATTGGTAGAAAAGTGGATTTTACACAAGTTAACTACAACCGCTAAGAGCTTATCCACTAACTTAGACAAGCGTGATTTCTTCGAAGCAACTAATGCTATCTATAACTTCTGGTATGATTTATGTGATGTTTACATTGAAAATTCTAAATCTTTGATCCAAGATGGTACTCCAGAGCAAAAGAAATCAGCTCAAGATACTTTATACACATGTATTGATAGTGCATTAAGAATGATTCATCCATTTATGCCATTTGTTACTGAAGAAATGTGGCAAAGATTACCACGTAGAGAAAGTGAAAAGACTATCTCCATTGTTACTGCACCTTTCCCGGAATACGATTCTGCTTTTGATGATGTCAAATCTTTAGAGGCTTACGAATTGGTCCTAGAAATCACTAAAGGTGCTAGATCTTTGTTGTCGCAATACAATATTTTGAAGAACGGTCAAGTGTTCGTTGAGACTTCCAATGAAAGCATCAATAAGATTGCTAACGAACAACAGGATTCTATCGTTTCCTTAATTAAGGGTGTTGAGAAGATTGGCATTGTTAAGAATTCAGAAGAAGTTCCTTCAGGTTGTGCTTTACAGGCCATTAACACCGAATGTACTGTACACGTCTTGGTAAAGGGTCAAATTAACTTAGATGCTGAAATAGCTAAGGTTAACAAAAAATTGAATACTGTTTTAGAATTCCAATCTAAGATAAATGATTCCATCAGCAAATTCACTGATAAAACCAAACAGGAAGCTAAGGATGCTGCTTTCAAGAGAGCTGAAAACTACAAAGCAGAAATAGAGGGTTACGAACAGACAATTGCAATCTTAGAGAAATTAAAGCTTTAGATGTAGATGCTAACTTATTACGTATGTTAATGGAATTTTATAATAGTTTCTATCATTTTTTGTAGTATTTCTGGGCTGGTTAGAGACTGTATGAGAGCCCAAGGTATACCTGTAAGAATCAAAATACCTGGCTTCGAATTAGACGAAGTAAATCGAAACATCGTGTAATGCAAGTTCGAAATCAAATATTTTGATGAATTTAAATTGTGCTTAATGAAAATCATCGTTTTAACTTCACACTTATAACATATTGCATATTAGGTTCAAATCAAATACAGTGTATACTATACGTTTACAATTGAGCCAACATTTATCTATTTAACGAGGCTGAATACTATATTGACTGTTGCAGATGCTATTCCCGCACAATATGACCATAATTACGCACGCTAGATATTACCCATTCCGTAAATTATTCATACTGCTGGTAGGCAAGGCTTTGTTCAAATTCATATTTTCTTGTGATCGTGGCAGCACTTCTTTCAGTCTTCTGGGTATTGGTGCAGCCTTTCAATTATCTTCGAAAATGTTCAACAACTGAATATTGAATGTGACGTGCAATTGTTCTGCGATTCTCATCGATACCCACATATGCATGAAGCGGTCGAAAGCCCGCGAGTAATTGGTTCGTCGAGATTCAAAGTCCGCTTAATAGTCCAGATTCTGAAGTATCTACTGCCAATTCTTCACAATTAATATATGTTCAATTCTAGTTTGAAGAGCCTCTAAATGCGTATACATGTCAATTGATTAAATTTCGTAATTCGGGAACCTATTGTAGCATGATGGCGATATACTCTTTATAAAGAAAAAATTAATTGATGCACCGAACAATAAAGCCAACTGAAACTGGTGACACATTATGTAACTCAATTCTAATTAGATTACATCATAAATACGCGGCCACTATTTCGGCCGTGTCCAAAACAATATAAATACTGGAAGAATCACCAATTTTAAAATTGGTAATTGTTTTTCAATTATATACAAATTAACAAATAACACAATGAACTTCAACGATTTAGTCAACAAAGGTAAAGAATTAGCTGGTTCTAAGGGTGCCCAAGAAGCTTACAAGGAATTCAGCAGCACTGAAGGTTCTTACACCGACAAAGCTAAGGCTGCTTACAGTGGTTACCAAAAGGGTGAAAAGTCTGGTTCTGAAGAAAAGTCTGATTCTAAGGAAGAAAAGACTGAATCAAAGACCGAAGCTAAGAAATAAATTCATCCTTAAAGACCTATTAATAATGTCAATTAACTTTTGGTATATAATCTTATAATTTAAAATTTATTAATATAAGCTTGAAGCTTTCAAGAAATATGTAGACCAATCCTTATCTTTAGATTTTCGGCGCGAAATTTGAAATGCATGTGAAGTTGCTGGATGCTCGCGGTGATTAATGTGAAGCTGTTATATATTCTTCAGCTTATGCTTTGAACTTGTATTGTAGATCCCATCGAGCTAAATAGAAATTCTGAGTCTATATATCAATTCAGTTTATTTATTTATTTATTAGTTATTCTAATATGCTAGGTCTATATTATTTGTTGAAATTGTACAGTTGTATGACATTGTTATATATACAATACAAACACTAGTTATTGAATATAATTTACTAATTTAAAAGAATATTCAACAACTGCTTAAACTTAAATGAATTAAAATTTTAGAAATATGCTAAAAGAAAGAATTGAAGCAAAACAAATCTTTTATCTCATTCTTAAACTCAGTCCAATGGTCAAAAGATAATTAGAGTAAACCTAAGATCAAATTAACTGTGTCATATAATCGTGAACTTCAATGAACCGATCATGTTGGCAAGATAAACAAGCCATCAATGGATTACTACGCTGCAAAATTCAAGTATTAGTTTCTTGTTTAATCGTGTTATGAAAGCGTCTTGATCACATGTAGTGACAAATTATCTATTTATTAACTTAACCTTCAATAAATAGTAGCAATATATACACGATTAATGTTGGACGTTGTAATATTTCATCTCGTTATTCTCCTTTATTAAATCCCTAATATACTTGGATGCCAATTCTATTGTTGTAGCCTTGGATGGTATGGAAACTTCATCATGATATGTCTGGGGAATCAAATTCGATAATTCTTGGACCGCCATGTTCATTCTATTACGTCTGCCCTGTTCTGCTAATTTGTGCGACGCCTTCTTCGCTGTGGGCTTTTCAGATCTTGATTTAGTTCTTGTAAGGACAGGAGACGACTCTCCACTTCCTTGCAGACCCATAACAGGGGATGTCTCGCTTGAAGAAGATGATTTGTTCGGTATTTTATGGTTATTCTTATATGACAATGAAGAATTTCTTGATTGACCATTCAATGGCGTTTCATGTGCCATATCCAGAGAGCTATTCCTATTCGACCCTTCTTGTTGTTGTTCTGCCAACACACTCATAGTGAATCCCATCATTGTAGCAGAATTTGGCGTTTCACTTGAAAGAGGATTATTAGGAATGTCAACCTTCTTACCCAGAGGTGGAAGCATAGGTGTAGATTCTGAACTATTGCGTTGCAGATCCACCCCAGCTTCAGGTAATTTCTCGAATGGTGAGCTTGTCAGTGACTTATGTGATGATCTAGGCTTGACTGAAGGTGAACGTTTTGAACGAGGTCCATTAGCGTGCAATATGGGAGTACCGTGCGGAGTCTTTCGTTTATGAGGTACGCTATCTTCTGTAGGCGCATATACCGACGAAGATCTTCTTTTATCTGCCTGTTGAGCAGCTAATGCTGGAGAAGTTAACGGCTCAAAAGAAGCCTGTACTGGGGGATTATATGGATAATTATTCGAATTCACTTGCTGATCCCGAGGGGTAGCAGCTGGTGATTCTAAAGGCGTGAATACCGCATCAGGTCTGACATGTTGATTCTGTGGTTGATGAGCATATGCTTGGCCATCGTCAGAATTCTTATTATACTTATGATATAAATGCTGGTTGTTGTACGACTTATCGTTTTGGCTAGGAAGGACTGGTGACATGAACATTGTAGGGTTTTCCATCGGTTTAGTGGACTTTTTCATGTTCGTAGCAACCATATGAGGTGTATTGTTGTTTAAACTAGACGCTGATGGTGGGTACGCTGTAGATTGCTGCTCGTACGAGATATCTTCTGGTAATACAAAATTCAAGTTATCAAGTCCAAACTCATATTTCCCAGAACTGCCATCAGGACGCGTATTCTGTGGTCCGTTCATATGATTACCATTTACACTACCTGGTGTCCCATTTGATGCTGCTTCATACAAGTTGTGTTCGATTTGGTTTAGCAAATACTGATCTTGCTCTGTAAAATTTGGCGTCGCCTGGTTAGCTGTTTGTTGCGGTCCACCATGTCCTCCAGCCGTATCGTGTTCTAAATCGTAGAAATAAGGGCTAGCTTCGCCCTTCACTCCAGGTGAATAAACTGCGTTCGACCAATCTGTCGTTTCCATTACGTTCTGCTTGTTATCAAATATGTACCTTTAACTGGTGCTGCCGATAACGAAATCACTAGAAAAAATAATTCGCTAATTTACGATTGGCGTAATAACTAGCAAATAACTCCAAATAAATTTCAATATTAAATGTATATTAAGACAAAAAATTTAATTCACTTTAGTCCAAACGATTATTACCGTTGCGTAGGCTATCTGGTCTACACAATATCACCACCACTCTCAATACCGATTAATCGAATACTCTGATATAAGGGTCCCACGTGGTGCTACTTACCCGGAGTCTTCGCTATCACGGTATAACGTCAAGCGACATGACTTTGACTTGGACGCAAGATATCATATACGTACATAAAAATAAATAAAAAAAAGGGTAAGCATATAGCAAGAATTATCTACTAGCCGTGCAACCAAATATTTAATATCAGAAGAATATACTAACCTATGATGTATTTATAAAGAATCCGCACGGAAATATTGAGGGAACATCGTTCTTAAATATTTGTTTATTGGATGTTGGGTCATATCTGCACGCGTGAATGCGATATGCGGTGTAAGGTCTTTAATAGATAATTAGGTTTGAGCGAGAACGTTGGATGCTGGCGAAATGGCCCGAGGGTTCTGAAATTCGATTATCCGGTATTACATGTCAGTAAATATACCCTCGGGCCTTTTAAAGTGTCGTCTGCTACCGGGGGCCACCCACTAGGCATCCACTAGGCATCCACTTTATATATCCGAGTAGTGGCTGGAAGTGGTGGGGTTGCGAGTAATAAGCGACATGGACAGATCAATGCGCCGCTTAAAAAAGACTTCGTTCATGATATTAGAATAGTACAGAAATACAGAAATAGAATCTCCCATTTACATACTATACAGATCAACAAACATGCTTACGGACGAAATGATTTATTAATATATATATTTACATAAGTTAAGACTTCTTTACGCTTCTACGGGCACAGAAGGTGGGTCGCTGAGAACATCTGGTCTAGGAGAAGAGGACGGCGATTTTATGACGGTATTGGATATGACTTTGGATTTATTTATAGGTTCACCGCGGACTATTTTTTCCATTTCATCACGAGTCAAAGTTTCATACTCCAAAAGACCCTCTGCAAGTCTCTTTAACTCAGTTTGCCTTTGACTCAAAAGCTTTCTGGTTCTGTTTTCACTGGTAATCAAATAGTCCCTGACTTCATTGTCAGCCATGTCTCTTATCTTAGGTGACCATGATTCCCAATTGTCACTGAGTCTGACAGGTCCAATATTGTCACTCATACCGTAGGATGTAACCATGGCACGAGCAACACTTGTAGCATTGGCCAAGTCTGATGAACAGCCACTGGTAACATTCTCTGGTCCGTGAATCATTTCCTCGGCAATCTTACCACCCATGCAGACATCTAAACGAGCAAAGCATTCCTTTTTGGTCATGTCTACCTTGTCCATTTCTGGCAATTGGAATGTTACCCCCAATGCTCTACCCCTAGGTAAAATAGTGGCTTTGTATAAAGGAGTTGCACCTTGCGAAAACATCGCCATTATAGCATGTCCCGCTTCATGATATGCAGTGTTCTTTCTAGCTTCTTCAGTGATAACCATTTTCTTCTTTGCAGCTCCCATTAAAATTTTATCTTTAGCCCATTCAAAATGGTTCATGTCAACTGCAGGTGCTGATAATTGAGATGCATGCACTGCAGCCTGGTTGACTAAGTTCATTAATTCGGCTCCGGATAAACCTGGTGTTCCTCTCGCAATAATCGAAGGGTCAACATCTTCGGCAGTTTCAACATTTTCCATATGGTTCTTCAAAATATCAATACGTCCTCTAACATCTGGTAATTCAACAATAACTTCCTTGTCAAATCTTCCAGGTCTAGTCAAGGCTTTGTCCAAGCTTTCTGGGAAATTTGTTGCACCGATGATGATAATTCCCAGAGATTGTGAAAATCCATCTAACTCAACTAACAATTGATTTAATGTTTGTTTAGCATATGCTTGATCCTTTGGGTTTCTCTTCCCCCCAATAGCGTCCAATTCATCAATGAAAATGATTGCTGGTGATTTCTCACGCGCTTGACCGAATAATTCTCTAATTCTTTTAGCACCAACACCAACATATAATTCATCGAATTCAGATCCAGACATGAAAAAAAATGGAACACCAGCTTCCCCTGCAGTAGCTCTCGCAAGCAAGGTCTTACCGGTACCTGGCGGACCAGTCAATAAGACACCCTTTGGTAATTTACCGCCTAATCCGGTGAATCTCGATGGGTCCTTCAAAAAGTCAACAATCTCTTCTAATTCAGCTCTAGCCTCATCACATCCACATACATCTTTGAATCTAACGGTAGATTGAGATACATCCACAGATTTATCAGCTACTTCACTGTTCTTGAAAATAGTTCCATTCTCAACTAAATAATTGAATGCATTAGTAGCTCCGTATGTCAACAATGCTATAGGTATTAACCATTTTAACCATTTGGAAATAATGGTTATTATCGATTCGGATACAATAACATGAACTGGTTCATATCTAGAACCAAACCCATGAGGTAAAGGTCCCCCATTCTGGACTCCAGCACCTGAATTCATGAGACTTTTAGAAACTTGTTCTGCTTTGCCCTTTTTACCAGTCTTATTCAAGGCATCAATGTAAATCGCTGTACATTCTGGAGAAGATGCTATACCAGGAGTTTCGTAACGTTGAACAACTAAATGTGGATAGTTGTTGCTCATCAATGATTTGTAAAATTCTCCTTGAGCTGCAGCATTATTCAAGTCACTGTTTGCTATTTGTTCTTGGTTTTGCAAAATGTTGGCGGTTGAGTTGGAAATCAATCTGACGGGTGTTGCCATCATAGGTCTAAAACCAATACTCGATGGCCTTGGCAATACACCGAAAGTATTCGTTCGGGATACTCTCGGTAATATCCTTGATATATTATACATTATTTGGTTCTTACAAATAATCTATTTCAATATTCGTTTGTATGAATATTTAACGCCATTCTATGAGTTTCCACGAAAGGATTCGAAATTTGGGTAGTGGATGATTACAAATTTTGAGATCCGTACTCATAGCCTAGTAATTTGCATTCACTATACACATTAAAGTAACAAATTGAAGACCTATATACCAGTAATTGCTAAGTCATCGTGAGCCTCGTTTGGTGCTATATCAAATCCATGCTCATTTGCTAAATGAAGTAAGCAAATAAAACAAAAACTTGTAGATAAATCTTTTTTCTCATCCGCTCCGTATAACTTGCCAACAGTAGTTACTACTTCACCAAATGTTTTCGCATCTGGGGAAGGAGACAGTGGTTCTTCCTTGGGTTTCATTGTTTGAGGTGGATTCTTTGGCTTCAAGCTATTCCATAAATTATCCTTCAAGAGTTTAACGTCTACTCGTTTTGCCATCCTTGAGAAATTAACGTACTCTGGTCGGACTTTTCTACCGCCAGTAATCAATTGTGTAGAGCCAGCCATTCCTCCAGTTTTGTCAGAATCGGCTCCATTCAAAAGTGTACCTCCTTCCAAAGCGTCGTTAAAATCTATGCCTCCGAAATCATCGTCGTTTCCAAAATCGTCAAGGTCTTCAAGTTCAGCTTGACGCATAGATGTTGACATTCTATCATTCTCTTGGTTTTGATTATACTGATTTGCAAAGAAGTTTTCGTCAGTAAGCGGTTTCGAATGATTTGGTGTAGACAGAATATCCTTCTTTGGGAAATATAAAATTGAAGTCTGAGGTTTCATAAATAAGTTCGTAAGTCTGACTGAATTATATTGGATATCTTCGGGAAGTCTGTTTGCATTTTCATTCGTTCTTCCTTCGGGCTTTCGGGTAGTTGATAATGAGTTTTTAGGAGTCTCAAATAATTTATCTTCAATATCGTCTTCATCATCATCAAAAAAGTTAATGACTGTAGATTGCTTCTTCTTCTGTGCTTGCGAAGGTTCTGAAACAGTGGGTTCCTTCTTGATAGACGAATCTTCTACTCGTTTTGATTTTTTAATGGCTGCGACACGCCAATGCTCTGGTCCTCTCCAATTGGTTTTCATTCTTTCGTCGAAATACGCCATAAGGTCAACGTCAAGAAGTTTTGCACTTGCGGCTGAAGTCATGGCGTTTCCCGTGTTCCCTGCCATCTGATCTGTTATGGATTCATTAAATTCGTTATCTTGTTGCTCAATATTTTCATCATCAAACTGGCCCTCATTTATGTCGCCAAAGTCATCATCATCATAATTAGGAAATTCTAAACCTACCACATCATCCACTCTATTTTTGTTAGAAAAATCATCATCATTTTGCTCATCAAGCAGAAACTTGTTATTTACATCACTTAGTATAGTCTTGGCCTTATTGACATCTGCAAGGACGACGTCTAATTGATCCAATGATGGGCAAATGGTTAAATCATCTAGCTCTTCGGGATTCTTGAATATAAAATCCTGCAATGTAGAGATATCTGGTTCTATTTCATTTTCTTGTGGCTTCTCCTGCGATTCCGGGCTTGGTTCAGATTCATCTTTAATAGGATTGGACGTAGCATCAAACACAACTCTGCCATAAGAATCGATATTTAACGTATTTAGTAATAAACTTTTAGCCCCACCTTCATCAAATTCTGCCAACGCCTTTTTGAATAATGGATCAATCGCTAATTCCTGGTCCAATTTTCTAATTCTTATTGTTTCGAACGGTACCAAAGTAGACTCAAGAACTCTATTTATTTTTCTCTTCCTTTTAGCATCTCCAATGCCCATTTGGGAATCGTTTGCTTCCTCTGACTCGCTGAGTTGATCTTCATCACCTTCTCGATTGTCATTCGCGTCTTGACCCTTCTTGGTGGCTAATCCACTCAACAACCGGCCTGTTTCGGTGGCTGCTGACTCCACTCTACTCAGGTAAATCTTCACACACCCATCCAATGTCGCAGATGCCCTCTGGAAATTAATATTTTCTCCGTCTTTGATAACATTCAAATCATGAAAGTAATCAATCAAGGCAAATTGCCATGAATTTTTCGATGTGATCTTATTGTCTGTCGATAGTTTTATCCACTCTTCAAAATTGGACAAAATTGTATTTTTATTTTCATCGAAATGAATAGCATTTTCTTCTGAAAAAGAGCCGTTTGCATCCTCACCTCTTCCCACAAAAAGATCTCCTCGACTGACATGTCTGCTGTTCGAAGGCACTCGTTTTGATTTCGATAGAGCTCTCCCAGAGATAACTCTACCTTTATGAGAAAGATCATGTAGAGAACTAACCCTACCAGAAGGAGTTCTACCATTTCCATTCGTTTGTATTCCCCTTTTCTTGGGCAATACTTGTGAACTCATCTTTATATACGTCTATAGGTTGGGTTGTTTAACTCTACTATTATAAATCGTTTGTTTACGTTTCTATAAGCGTACTTCATTAGTACTGTACATAAAATAATTGGCACGTCTAAAATTGACAGATGCTTGTAATAACTATTATACAATATATATAAATCTATAATCTCCAAAGACTATCTCTTCTTCTTGTTGAAACGACGGCCCTGGTTGTTAACTTTGTCGATTTCTTGTTGAGAAATAATTATACCATTTCTTGTAGACCTACCTACAGAATTAATTTTCAACCCTCTATCTCTGATTCTCTTTGGAGCCTTTTTACCAGTACCTAATCTATCACTGGCCAATGTCGAGCCCTTACCTTGCTTAATATCTCTCAATTCACCTTTCTTGACCTTTGACAAAATGATACCCGCATTCCTGGCCTCCTCTTCATATTTAGCGATTTGACGTTCACGGCTGGCAATCATACCTTTCCTCATGGACATAGGCATTTTTTCCAACGTCTTAGGTAAACCTTTGGTGGATGAATTTATAGAGGAGATGCTTCTGAGACGTGAATCAAGTGTTCTTTTTCTTGCGTTACCTGTAGGAGCTTCGAAATCGAGCGTTTGTAATGTAACATCAGCGCCTGAATACTCAACCTTGTTTGCTAATATATGAGATTCTTGCAATAATCTCTGCAACTTCAAATCGTTTTCCAAGTTGTCTTCATCTTCTTGAACTGCTTGCTTGGATTTTTTATTCTTTTTCTCAAGCTCTTGCTCTTTTCTTGCAATTTCAGCAAGAGTCGGGGCTCTACCCGACCTAAGCAACTTCTTATCGGCCTTACTTATTACAGGTCCATTAGTAGTGTGATTGTGATCGTTTATCTTTACTACTTTAGGAGCAGCTCTTGTTTCTTCCTCCTCCGAAACAGATTCTTCACTTGAATCCATGTCATTATCCAGGTCCGAGCCTGATTCATCGTTAGACACAAACCCCTTAAATTCATATTCGTCTTGAGCTTCATCTTGGTTCTCCTCATCGCTCAGGATATTCGCATTACCCTTGGATTTATCTTCAAATCCCATTGTTTCCAAGGATCCAAACTGGGCCTCGAAGTTCTTTCTTTGAACTTCTAATGCCCTCAAGTACTCATCATCCTCACTCATCTTGCGTTTGGTTGGCGATGCAAAAATACGGAACTTAAAGCAGAGACATATTTAAATTTTTTTAAGAGAGCCAGTGCGGCTTGAGACAATTACGATTTCGATACTACATAGTATAGCCAGATCAAATAAAAGCCTACAAAGTAACATAACAGAAAGAAATCATATAAATAATAATGACAAAGTTCAGGGGTTGTATTGATATACATTCTGGACAAGTAAAGCAAATTGTTGGTGGTACTTTAACACAGGATGATACAAAAGAATTGAAGGAGAAGTCGACCACCACTGAGAACTTCGTTTCAACCAAACCTTCATCATATTATGCTGAGTTATACAAAAATGCAGGTATAAATGGATGCCATGTAATTAAGTTAGGATCCAATCCAGAAAACGATGAAGCAGCTAAATTAGCTTGTAAGCTGTGGCCAAATAACTTGCAAGTAGGCGGCGGAATCAATGGTGATAATGCATTGGAATGGTTGGATGTACATAAAGCGTCACATGTTATTTTGACTAGCTGGTTATTTAGTGATGGTGTTAATGGTAAGGAATTTGATTGGGCGAAATTAAAACAAGTATCCGAATTGGTGGGCAAATCTCGGTTGATTGTAGATTTGAGTTGCAGAGAGTTAAGAGTTGATAACAAAGTTGAATGGGTCGTTGCTATGAACAAATGGCAAACTTTGACCAACAGTAAATTAAGTGCTGAATTTTTAGGTGAGGTATCTCAATATTGTGACGAGTTTTTGATACATGCTGCAGATGTGGAAGGATTGTGCAAGGGGATTGATGAAAACCTTGTGGCCAAATTAGGAGAGTGGTGTCCTAAGGGATTTGAGGGTAAGATAGTCTATGCCGGTGGTGCAAGGCTGGTGGAGGACTTAGATACTGTCAATGAATTAAGTGATGGTAAAGTGGATTTGACTTACGGAAGTGCATTGGATGTATTCGGCGGAAAGCTAGTCAAATTTGATGATCTCGTGTCCTGGAATAAATTACAATAACTTTATATTTAACATATAGATATAATTATACAAGAGAAACTAGATGTCATGGATCTAGAGAAATAAAAAGAAAACAGGTAGGGAATAATACCTCCTCAGGGAATTAACCCCACGTAGAATTACCAAAACCGCTGTCACCACCATAAGGAGAGTTGCCCATTCCTGGAGAATTTCCTCCAGGTGACCTACCATATGTAGTAAATCCTCCAGCTGCAGCATTACTTGCTTCTATGCTGTCTTTGTTTAATTCCATCGAAATACCTGCAAGTTTCAATTGTAAAGTCTCAATACCCTTTAAAATAACTTCGTTAGGAGGCAAATTACCAACGGTCTCAACATCCACATAAAAAGTGGATGGTTTTGCCCTATAGTCAAATGGAGCATCTGTATCTGGTGCTTCTTCCCAATCGCAGTTAGCTGATTTTGGCCATTCTTCTTCAACGTCATCTTCGTACCAATAGTCTGTGTGTTTCAACTTGTTCCATGGATCGTATTCGAACCCTATAGCAGCACAAGGGGACCATTTGGCATGTTCCTTTGCAATACCCTTTTTAGCAATACAAGTTATTCTTAATTCCTGATGCTTTCTTAATTTACAAATAAGTGGTCCTTTACGATGACTATCACGAATCACCGGGTCTCCTAATTTCGAACCATTATGAAACTTAGCCAAGTCAGATGAGTACACACTCATAGTAGAATCTGTATCACACTTAGCAGTTAATTCTAACTTGACCGAGCAGTTAGCACAGTACTGATCACAAGTACAATCTCTCGAATATGACAAGTTATCAATACCTTCACTATTCAAAGGTATTAACCCCAATCTATGCGAAATAAACTCATCTGCTAACACTGACGTATTCACCTCGATTTCAACGAGGTCTATAGCTAATGTAGGCACTTCTGCCAACATAGTTCTTCTCATAGAGTTAGCCATCGATAAATCAACATCCTTCAATATAAAATCAACATGGTCTTTATCCGTATGTCTTATAGTCACCCTTGGACCTGTGTCACTTCCTTTATCTATATCCATCGCCAGTTATTCTTGTATTTGCCAGTATATTCTATTTGTATTTGTCTATAATTTTCACTTTTGGTCGAGTTTTTGGCGTAACATGTAAACTCTTCTCGATCGCACTTTTTTGCAGGTTATCTCTCATCTCAGATATAAATCACTTTTACATGGGGTTTTGTTCTGGCGGCTATCAGTAATATCATCAAAAATGTCAGGGTTCACTCTTCCTGACTTGAGATTTGAAGAATCTTTCTTGAAGACATTATACTCATATGCGGGGTACCAAAATCCTGCTGTCGAGGATCCTATTTCCCCAGCGCTAACGGAAAAAGAATTAAATTTACTTAGCACCAATGTTGACAAACAAGAACAACAAATACTAGAAAGCCCAAGTGGACCAAGCGGCCTACGTCCAATAGGCCCAATTTCTCCTTCTATCATTGCATACGCTGTGTTTAAAGATCAAATCCTTATGCCGCTCATTCAAGGGTTCTTGTGGACTGGGTTTTTGATCAGCGTCCGCCCATTTTTGGGAATAATCGTGCAACAGGGGCAGAGATGTGGGTTATGGCTCGCGAATACTTTGGGATTGAATAGAATCAGACTGTCCCCAAATCCATATGTATATAAAACGACTATATAGTCTTGTCTAGTAGATGGGAAGTGGGACGAGTGTGTGTTCTTGCACGTGACTATTAACTACGCCAGCAATATATTTTTAGTGTCCTTGATCAAAACGTTAGTGAAATGAAACTGTAAGGAACATTGAAACAATTGAGTGAAATTAGCACCAGTAGTTGGATAAATTATACTAATCTATCTAATATAGGTGTAATTGAAGCAAGAAACCTGACCACAAAGTAAAAAGATGTTTTCCAGACGTCAGAATCGAAGTGTACATGGCACCTCGTACACTGGGGTTAATCCTGCGGCATCAGGGTCGAATCAACCCAACAACAATGCATTGGCAGCTGCATTGAGTATTGGAAAGTCACTCAAGCAACAGGGGGCTCCTGGGGTACATGCTACAAGTGGAACATCCAACCAATACTTGTCGAAGCCGCCACAGAAGCGCAACAGTCTTTTGAAAAGGGATTCTATTACAAGAAGTCCTAACAGTAACAGGTTCCGAAATTTTTCAGATGCCTCTTACAACTCTACAAACTCCCATTCAATGCAAACTCCACCTCAGTCTATGCAGAGAAGGTCGTCAATTCAAGGACATAACTTTGATGATAGTTTCGATGACTCGTATTATGATGATATCAACCAAAATGCCACGCAAAGCTACAACAATGCTAAAATGAGAGACTTAAGATTGTCACATCAGTTGTCTCCGCCCCCATCGCGCAATGGACAAGTCCATCAAGACAATAGTACTGTCAAAATGGTCAAGAAGTATATACCAACTCCAAACGGTATTAAAATCATTGAAGTCCCAGAAACTGTCTACCAAAAGGAGGTTGCCAGAAATAACTCAATGAGGTCTTTGCCTAGATCGGGCTCTATGACATCTTTGTCTCAAAAGAGAATCCCCAGATCACCCTCCTTAAGTTCGGTATCAGGTGCCACTAGAAAGACCTCGCATCAAAGACTATCGAGCTTCGGTAGAAGTCCTGTTTTGGGAACAATGGCTGAAAACGAAGAACTTCAATCGAGAAGAAGACATAACGAGGATTCGGAATTGCAAAGATTGCAAGAGCAAATAGATCATGAAAAGCAGGTTTCGAAAGATTTAGAATTAAAGCGGTTAGAATACGAAAAAGTTAAATTGGAAAGATTAGAAAACGAAAAGAAGATCTTGCTCTTAAAGAAAGAGGCTGCAAATAATAAGGACATTGATGTGTCAGAGGTTATTGATGAAGACGATGAAGAAGATGTGCCACTTCCAAATATTCTGGTCATTGTTGATGAGGTGGAAAACAAGCGCTTAGAACAAAATGGAGAGCTAGTCACCAATAAAAACGTAGCAATTGAAAAACCATCACTAGGTGAAATTAATGACATTTCAAAGGATGAAGACATAAATGCAGAAGATGATACCTCTATTTATGAAGAAGAAGCTATTCCTGAGGCTTCTATAGATGCATCAAGTGTTGTTGTGGATGAACTAGAAAAGAAAAACAAAGAAGGCGATGAAGCTTATGATATTGGAGCATCAGAGCATCTTCAGAATGGTTTCAGAAATGACCAAGGAGCAGCAGAGCTTAATGTCATCAGTCAGTATAGTGACTCTAGGGAGATATTGAATCGCGATAGTATCATAGATAATCCAATTCCTGTTAGCACTGATGAAGAAGACTTCGGAATTGAGGAAGTGCCATATGATAAATCTGAAGAAGGGAACCTTGCAAAGCATTTAAGACCAACGTTTGATTCACAACCGGAAGTTATCGATTCAAGAGATTCAGGACCAAAATTTGATCCAGAACCAGAGATTATTGGTACCAATGGAACTATACAACTTGGAGAGTCAAATCAGGATATGGTCGATGTTGATGACCCTAGAGTGGAGGAATTGGCTATAACAACATTGCAGATCCCATCATCATCACTTAACAATGATAGTTCTAGTTCTTCTGCAAAGTCAGCAGGAAGTCTTGACTCTAATATACAACAGAAATCAGAAAAGAGGCCTGTTAAGTCTGCAATGAAAAATTCTAGCTCGTTCTATAATAATTCTTCAAACAATTCGTCCACGGTGAAGAATGCTGCTCAAGATGCTTACCTCTCTTTAGCCACTGCAGAAAATACGAGATTGAATTCAAAATTGTCTTCGACGCAATTAAATGATGCTGGTCCTCAATTTAACAATGGCACCAACCAAAATCAATCTCAATTAAACAATCAATATCAAGAAAATCAGCCAAATCAAACTAAGCGAATTTCAACATTAAGGAAATCACCATCTACTCAGAGCCCAGGATTAGCATCAAGGACACTCAGGCCACAATCGACGCTTCCTGAAACCCTTCCTCACAGTAGTCAGCATCAACCTCCTGTGAACGGAATGGGTAATAGACAACTCAGAGATAGAGCATCAGCACATATCAATCCTACAAGAAATAGAGCATCTTATGTCAATCAGATAACCCCTCATCCTGCTTTGCAACCAAATTATCAGTCACCCTCAAAAACGAAAGCCGCCGAGCTATATGCAAAGGCTAATGCTAGACCAACCTCTTCTTTTGCTCCAACTGCGACAAAGAAAAATTCTGATATAGCAGCTAAGCAACAGGCACAAAAGGCTCGCAGAACAACTTTGCGTGATATGTCGTCAACAAATCAGGCCCAAAGAGTTGAAAGCCCTTTGAACAATACACCGCAAAATGCAAATGAAGATAGTTCTAATACTGTTGAAAACCGTAGAACTTTCAAATCAAGACTTGCTGATTCTGATGAGGAGGATGGTCATGAAGGTAAAAGTAAATTCTTTGGTGGAGGATTTTCTTCGAGGTTCAATGATTCTGATGAAGATCTTGGCGGGCATTCACGAAACCAGCATATCGCTAGTTCAACCACTGCTAGGCAATCTTCAAAGAATAATGAGCATCCTGCGTCTAAAACTCTGCCAATTCGTAATAACCCTCCTATGGAAGGAAAATCTGACCAGGTACTGAAGTCTAAATCGAAGGATAAAAAGAAGTTTGCTAAATTAAGAAAACTTTTTGGTAAAGACTAGTTTATTTAGCATTCTTTTTATTCATATATTAAATTTATATACTATTTTTATATTAGTACATTGTTTTTAGGTATATAGCAATACTATATTATATTCAAGTTACTATCGATCAAAAGAATCATGTTTAAGAATGTTATATGACACATAAAATAAGCTTTACACATTATATAAAATCTAGGTTTCGAATTCAATCAAATTTTTATCTTTGCCAGTAATATCTTTTCCTATGTTCTGCTTTTTTGACATGTCCTCCGCGTTACGGAATTTTGATAATTCTTCGCTAGCCGAAAGAGAATTCTTCATAGGGTCCACAGAAACCTGTCCTTCAGTTCCTAATAATAAATCTTTATCCTTCTCATCTATAGAAATAACACCAAAGTCATCATCTCTTTCTTCTTCTTCGTCTTTACTTTTTTCAGGACTGTGTGATTTTGACGTTGCATTCTCATTACTACTGTTGTTAGGGTTATTCAAAGTGCTAGTAGCAGCTGAGTCCATACGACGACGCACCTTGTTTGCAACCTTCCTACCATCTGCTAATAATCCATCAAACATGTCTCTCAAATTACGAATGGTATTAAATTTGGAATCAAGTGGTTTTGATACATGGATAGAGGTTCGTAAAGTCTTACTGAAAAATAACTCATACGTTTCATCCGCCAAAACAACCATTCTAAATGTTGGTAAATTAACAAAAACTGGCGCATTAGGGTTGAGAGCTGCGTTATGCGAAATTTTATTATCGATTGCCAAATCCTTGATAAGCAATTCTTCATCCTCTGGCTGTGCATATTCAAACGATCTTTGTATAAATGTACTTGCAGCTGATAAATATCTTTCCATTTGTTGGTTTTCTAATTTCTGTCTATCTATATTAGCTTCTGTTGGTAAAGAAATGTCATTTTCATCAAAATGGGCACCATTTTCTTTCTGCTGTTTATAAATTTCATCAGCGATTGCATTTTCAATAGCGCCTTCCGTTATATGATCCAAAAGCAAACCATCTTTCCACGGAGTTGTAAGGTATAGCAAATCTTCTGAAATTTGCAATATTCCTTCCCTGTCAATTTTTCCATTTTCGTTGCAATATAACTGGAAGAAATTTGTTATTGAAGTCATTAAATCAGGTTCATATAACTTATTCAAGCCTACGACCAAATCAGATAAAGTAATGGTATCCTCACCTTCTGAAGACCAGTGGGAAAATAATCTATGTAAGAAGTCTTCATTATTTTCATTCGGATCATTAATTTTCTCCGTGTCGTTTGGGGCTTGAACCCAATCGCAAATTTCGGACATAAATGTTCTGAACGCTTTGAAATCCATAGCACTAGAACCTGAACCCATTGTAATACTATAAGACTCTACAATAGAATAGAATCTATCGTAAATTATCCCCAAGGTATCTTGATTAAAATTGTTAGTTCTTGGTAAGTTTCTCAATTCAGTCCTTTTAACAAAAGTAGAAATATTTTGATATATTGTATCTCTGTGTTTACTACGATGCTTGTTTATCATGTCATCGTCTATAACAGAAAACTCTTTAAATGCTGTTACAAGCAATTCCTGAAACTTAGTAATCGATCTATATTTTTGATTTGGAGAATCAGGGTGTGCTGATTGATCCAAGGTTTGAAAATAATTCTTCAAAATTGAGATAAACGTTCCATCATCTTCTGTCTTTAACAATTTTTCACCATTTAATTTCAATACAGCAATTGCAACTTGAAATAATGTTTTAGGGCCTTGTAAGAAAAAAACATCAAGAATCCTGAACGCAAATATCAAGGGCATAGAGCTTAAATATAATGAAAGAAACCAAGGCAAAGATACAACCGATAATTGAATATCATTTTTTGTAATATGCTCCCATAACATGGGTATTGTTTCCTGAACTAGAGATTCAAATACTCTTTGGTCTAAAAGTGTGCCATACATTGTTCGCGAGTAATACCCTGGAACAATCCTATCACACAAAACATTTAAACACCAAAATGCCTGTTGTTCTGACATAAATATAAGTAGAGCAGCAACCACAATATTCATGGCTTGACAATATCCTACTTCCGCATTTTTCCAGGAATAGGCGGTTAATACATTACGTAACCTTGTAATTCCTTCTGGACTTTGATAAGCTGCATATTCAGGTAGCGACCTGTTCAAGTCTTTTTCTATTTCTTCTATGGCCAATGATTGCTTTTCCTTGTTGTTGTTCAATAATTCATGATATTCCTCTTGATTTGCTAATCTCAAGTACATTGACCCGCAACATAATTCCCATATTTCACCTCTCAACCTATTAGGCAATCCAACTCTCACCAACCTATAGAACATAGGCGTTTTGATAAGCGATAAATTCCTACCATCTGCTCTGAAAAGATCAAACCATAATTTCATTTTAGATTTATCTCTAGATTCCTTTGAATTACCAGGAAACTTGAACTTCAACCCAAGACCACCTGCTGGGATTACTTCAATCTTTTCATCTGAAATTTTGTTCTTAGATAACAAGTATTCAGAATAACATGTTTGAATAAATGGTTGTAATTTCTGAATGTTTGATAAATTCTTCTTTAATGCCAATTTCATATTTTGAGCAAACTTTTCACTGTCCGATCGAAGCCCAATAAGAGACAATGTAATTTTTATTTTGCTGTGAGTAGTTATTGCCAAAGCAAATCCGTAAGATGCTGTGGGTAATCTTTCAACTTTCTTAATCGTAGATAAGTGTAATGAAAAGGAGCAATTTCTTCTATCAAATGCATCACGAAATACTAAAAAGTGTTGTGTCAAGTATATTCTACCTTGGGGAATTGCCATATCTTTATAATGATCTTTACTTTCGTCAGCTTTAATTCCAACTTCAACCGCTGATTCATCTATAATTGATTCATCTCCTGGTAAGCGGTTTTCATGACAAAACAATTGATCTTTTGTGAGACCTGAAACATTCTTCTTATCTAATACTTGGTTAATTGTATTCACGGCCTTATCACGTAAAGTTTCAAAGAACGCCATATCCTATTGAACAAATGCAAGAATGCAGTGGTGCTAACTTTCATCATATATTGCCGGATATACCCTCAATATCTTTTGGCCAAAGGAATAGATTACACAAAACCCCTTATACAATACGAATAAGTTAAATATATATATTTGATATAAATGGGGTTATAAATAAATAGTAAATAGTCCCTATGCATAGCTGAATACTGTTGAATTTCAATTGATTATCCTCAGATGATATTAAAAGGAGCTCTCTGACTTATCATGATCAACTATAGTATCTAACTGGGTTTTACCCCAGGAGTCCTTACCATTAGTTTTATTCAGTTTATGACTCGAAATATCCAGTGTGACTTCCTCTTCCAGCTCCTCTTCATCCTTCAGCTGTAAATCTTGCAAAGTTATAAATGAGGCATAATTTGATATTTGCTTTAAAGGTGCTAGTTTGGGCTTCTTCTTCGTAGGCTTGAACTTGTTACCTAAGATCTTTCCTGTGTGATTCAATATGATTTTAATAATGTCTTTTCTCAATCTGAGTACAAATTCCTCTGCTGACCACATCTTGTTCCTATATCTTAATGTTGGTATAGTTAAAGCTAAATCGCGAACGTTGAGAATACTCAAGTGTTTCGGTGCATTGAAACTAATCGACAGCCTCACCCTAGAAATTTCAAGGTTAACAATAGACACATACTTCGATGATCTATTCATAATAATAGAAATGTCATCCACTGTATCATTATCCATATCAGTGGAAGTTCTCTCCCTTATCGATTTGGCAGTGTCATGTGTTGTGTCAGTTCCAAATACAATATCGTCGGATGACGAAACAGCAGTAGACGCTGTATCAGAATTACTTGAGCCAATAGTATCCGAGTCTTTGAGGATACTTTCAACCAGTACGTTTCGTTCTTTATTGATGAGCTTCTTAAATGGGTTCGTTGTCCGCTTCTTAGTATCTCCATAATTCTTTATCTCTTCGTTAAATTCAAGCATCTCGGTTTCCTCATCTTCAGCACTAACCTCAGTCTTAGGAAATAGGTAATCAAACAACTTTTTGGTTGAATGGTAATCCAATTGTACTTTCAAAGGCTGGACCTCAACTTTTGCATCTTGCATAATGGGTATACCTCCAATATGGTTCAACATTTTCCATGTAGTACTCAAAACTGGACTATCTTTATTGCAATCTGGTATTGTATGATCATTTAAGTCTAAGTGGGGCGTCAAAAGTTCCGGATACATAGCATCCTTCTGCAAATTGAACCCTTGCGCCATGGATACCTCTGCCTTATTAATATTCGCACCGTCAACTGAATCTACTCTAATGAACCTGCATTTAGCTAAAGCGAAATCAATAAAAGGCTTCTTATCTTCATTCAAAAGGTGCCAAATTATCTGGTCGGCCTCAACCGTTAACAATCTTGCAGTCTGTTTGTTGTTGACTTGATTCTTTGAGCTCTTAACGCCCAAGCCATTCATCAAAACAAATAATTCAATATTCATCCTCTCCAATTCTACTTCCATTGCTCTTGATTGTTCTTTCTGCTCGTTATCCAAAAGAATATCTCTCTGATTCAATTTCAAAAGAATATCTAAATATGTTCTTATATTATCCTGTAACTCCTTGATTCTAATGTCTAATCCATCAAACTCTTTAATATCTGATAAAGAAACAATTTTATCCAATCTGTTAAGTAAAGTATCTCTTTGTGTGTTCACATGCAGTAAAAGATCTGTAATTACATAGTAAAGTGTAGAATATTGTTCAGAATTTGCAGTAATGACAAGTTTCGATACATGCAACGACACCTCGTTATTCTGTATTGTTGCTTTGCAATCACTTGCTACCAAATGGTTGGGTTTCATAAATAATAATGACATTGAAGTTCTCTCTACTACTAGCTGATCCTTTAGCCATGAGCTCTCGTAACAAGTTTCAGGTTCCAACCATGGAGGCCAATTAACATCAGAAAATTTAGAGCCGTAGGGTACGTCAGAGCCGATGACAGAAGCTTCTGTTTTTTTAAACGCAAATACATGCGAATCTTTAAAAGATACACCGTACCTGGATTCAACTAATTTACCAACACCATTATTCTCACTTAACACGTCGTTCATGCCCTTGACATTAATTGAAACTACTCTTAGTTCCACATCTGTTGACGTTACTAAAATACATGCATTGATATCTTTCTCGCTTACTAATTGAATCTGAGGGTGGATAAGTTTGATCAAATACTTGTCTTCTACTTCCTGATCGTTATTGTGAATCTCATTTAGCTGCTGGTTAAAATTTTTAAGGATTTCTTCCCCGGTTTTGTATTCTCTGCTAAATATGCTCTCTGCAGAATTATTCGTATTGGATCCTTTCTCTTCTTCTTCGACTTCGTCTTCTTCTCTTCTTGCATTGATGAAAGTCTCCGCCAAATCAACAGCTTTTTTACTCATGAAATATACTTGTGATTTTCTATCACCAACTCTCTTTATGTATTCCATAAATAAGTCTCTCAAATCATTGTGCCATTTTAGTTGTGGATTGTGAATAACAAATCTATTGTGAAATTCGCTTACCGATGCATTCGAATTATTCATTTCCTTCATGTTATTATAATTCGTACTTGAAGACTTGGTTGATTCTTCAGATTCAGCAGACAAGTTTTCTTCCAAATTTAAATTTGTATTAGAGTTTCCGGTCATATCTGGAAGGTTTTGTTTGATTGATTCTATTATATTTAATTTCTCCTTACATATTTCGATGTCTTCCTTAATTCTCTCTATGTCATCATTAAGTGTTTCGGATGAATCTGAAGGCTCCAATCCAGGGAGTTGTTCCTCGTGCACTTGTATCTCCCTTTCAACATTCTTTTTTCTTTCGGTGAGTAATATCGCTTGAGTTCTTTCCGGTTTCTCTAACCCTATTATACATTTATGAAATATTTCCTTACCGAATGGGAATGGTCCATTCTCGTGGAGAGAAAATTCTCTGAAATAGGTGAATTTTGGACTGAAAAAAAAAGGCATTATTCTGATACTTGGGTGAGACGAAGGTTGAACACTTTGATGTAATTCAACGTAATCAGCAGGGTCAATCCATGAATTGTCATTATCAAATATGTCCACATTCTCAATCCAATCGCTGAAATTATTAACATCTTCATCCAGTGATTTCTGTGACAGCGAGGATGCCGAGTCTGAACTGTTTGAACCTTTCATGAATGTAGCTAGATAACCCCTCACAGATTTCTCGTTAAATATTGCATTTACAAATCTGATATCAGCTTCATTTATATCCACTCCACCTTCATTCATCTTTAGATGTAAAACCTTATTATTGATATTCAATTTCTCATTAACATATCGAATTTGCTCTTTTCTCTGATGTAAGTCAATAGCACAAGTCGAGAATTTACCTTTGAGACCTGTAAAAGCCGTCTTACTTTGCTGATCTAACTCGCCACTTGAAGAGTGAATATAAAGATGAGATATCGAAAGTGGTTCAAATACCAATTGATATTTAACAGTAAATATGTGGGATCCCATCTTTACGTGTGATATATCAACTGGTTCTTGCGAAAAAAGTCTACCACTCTTGACAGGCAAAGATGTGTGTTTTGTCAACGTATCCCACCAATGAAAAAAATAATGAAATATTAATGGAGTCAAATATGCAGCATTATAGCTATTCCCCGATGAAGATTTCGATACAACAGATAAAGCAATATGTATATAATCAGAACGATATTCTTCATACGAGTCCATGTCAGAAGATGTTACACGCACATCATAATGGGGTTTAAATATCGATGTCCTTGGTTGTTGATCAGATAGATCATTGGTTTTATTCTTATTTCTCTCAAATGCAGCGCCTAATACCCATCTAACTCGACCTGAGGATGTTAATTGCATCACTTTCTTCTTAAACCTTTTCGAATACGTATCACTTTCTTCAGAGTAAATGCTCTGGTGCTCATAAAACAAATTCCATGACCTTCTCTCTGCTAATGAATAATTTGGTATTGCAAGAACAAAATCATCGCTATCTAACATTAAAAGGTCTTCACTTTTGCCATTATTATTTAATCTCAAACTAACATTATTCTTCCAACAAAAGACAAACCCGGCTGCTCTTCCTATAAGTTCATAAGGACTTGTAGATGCCTTCATATGAAGGCATAATTCATTATTTATGTTGAATACAGCCTTTCCATGGACTAATAATGCAACTTTATCCCACCAACCAATCGGGCTGTAATCAATTTTTGGCTTAGTAAATTTATCGAATGCTGCCAGTGCCGCCAGTAATCCAGCTGAATATGATTTGCACCAGGTTATCATACATGGTCTATTCGTATCTAAATCACATTGCATATTAAGGATCACCTTAACAGGAGTGAGGGTTCTGGGGACAAAAACTGAGTAAAAGTTATCAGACTCGTCACTCGAAGTCATTGCAGCAGGAGAGAATGGAACATAAATAAATCTCATTTCATCTCTAGCTTGAACTAATCTTTCATTAATCACAAAATTTCCCGAAAAATTAATTGTTGGTTTATTTGGATTATCATTCGACGGAAACGAAAGTAGCGGCAAAGGATAATCTCTCAACATCACGTACATAGATGAGCTTTTAAGTGATATAAATAACGGTATTAGAATTGAGTATTCAAGTCTGGGTTGTTTCTTCCCATACTTATAAATGAAATCGTCCACATTATCTATTTTAGCTTGATCAATAGTGAGATCAATATCCTTAAAGTAACCACACATCATATGTGGACCTGATGCATAACTTAGAATATTAAATTTTTCAGCAATCCTAGGGTGAATGCGTTCTTCACCCCAAGCACTAATAGCCCTTTTACTCCAAGTGTGAATTTTAAAATTACGAAATTTTTTATATTTCTTAATCCATGAGGTTGCAAACTGCTTATTAAGAGTTTCTTGAGCATCTTTTATTTTTAAATATGCATCTTGGTCAGTTGTATACTGGTATGCTTGATCATCTTCTTCAAAATTGGAGACATTTTCCTTCTTCTGCCTATGAAATTTATCCCTGAGGGTGTGCAAATGCAGGTGTGAACGCAGGTGAAATCCAGATTCACTGAAAACCTTCCTAAGAGGGCTATTTGCTTTTGGATTAGGCGAAAACCCTCCAGTGGATGAAACAAATTTACGTGGAGCGGGGTCTTGATTAGTCAATTTAACTTTCTCATCCATGGTTGGTTTCGTGTTGGCTATTATATCTTCCACTCTTGCTTCAAATAGCTTTAATTTTTTTAGTCTTTGCTTTTGCTCAATTAATCCTAATTCATAAATATATGAAAGCTCATTTTCAAATAAATCGTTCTCCAATGTAATACCAAAAATTTTTGACTTTACAACTACCTTTGGGATGTTATTCGTACGCTTTTCATGGGGCATAATACGTTTAAAATCATCAATTTTGTAATATAAATGATCGAAATTATACCCGATTTGTTTAACTGCTTTAACGAATGTAATTATGTTATCAATCACTGTATAGAAAAGGAACTGGTGTGGGATATTTAATCTAATACTTTCGGCAATACTTTCAAATTCTCCTTGATCATCAATAATAACACTGTTGTACCTAAATATAGATTCTTTTACTATCAATAGCCTTGTCCATAATTTTGTACTTGGATGAACAACATAAAGTCTAGCAAAATTAAAGTTTGCAGCTTTTGCAATAAATATGTTTTTCATTTTCACAGTATCAAACTCCAAAAGAATATCGACATTGTTTGGTAACCTTGTACGAATAGCGGTGGAATCGATTAAAATGTCAAGCTTTAACTTTCTTGATGGTCCTTCAATTTCAGATATTTCCTCTTTCGTGTAATCTTTTTGAACTGTTGGAGCAAAATATCTAACCAAGCTCAGGGCATAGAAAGAACACCATACTAAGAATATATCTAAGTTACCATCAATAGTTGAAATGTGAAGATGTAGATTATTGGTATCTCTCTCTTTCTCATTTTCTTTGTCGGCACAAAAGTTCCTGATTAAAATGTCACTAATATTTAAAACTCTTTTTACTCTTTTAATTTCTTCTGTGTCTATATTCATAGAATCCTCTGATCTCAAACTTGACAAGTCACTGAAATCAGCATCACTGGAATTGTAATCATCAACATCAGAGTCCACGTCTAACTCGTTAGCATATTCGCTTACCGTAAAACATTGAACAGAACGTACAGAAGATGAGATTTCTTCCTTTAAACGCTTGTATGAAAACTCTATGTCATTTAATTTAATAGAAATACCTCTTCTGAAATCGCCCAAATTTATTTCCTTCTGAAGGAATTCTTCAAACACGATGTGATTTGGTAATCCATCTTTACAAGCAATATCAGCTTGAATATTTGCACTGGTAAATTTAAACGATGAAATAAATGACGGTAAAATTTTAAATAATTCCAAATAGTTTACTTTATTCACTTTTTCAGATTCAATTTTATGTGACAGCTTTCTTCTTTCAATACTCTGGTTCAAAGATGCAAATGTTCTATTTTGATTCTCAATGATCTGGTTTCGGTACTTTCGAACTAAATGAAATATGATATCATTGATAGATTTTAACTTAACATCCTTGTTAATAAGCTTGATAGCTATTTGTCTTTCTAAAAGACTATAAGAAATCAATAAATTAGCTTTTGACAATTGAATAAGATTATCAACCACGTTGAACTTCAAGGCTTTTAGTTTGAAATATCCATCAATATTGAATTTATGTGGCCCTTTTAATTCTTTAGAAATACGATTTTTTAAACTTTTCGTAAAAAATTTATGATAAAATGATAACAAAGTACATGATACAATAATATTCAGAATTGAACCTCTGTGAAATTCATCGCTGCCAAGCTTCGGTAAATGAAAATTAACAGTTGTGTCAACAATAAGAATCTTATTCGATACTTTTCGAATATTACCCAAGATACTATGTAGATCGAGCGTATTTTTAGATTTGACGCCATCCTCTTTATGTAGAATATGAGATTTGAATAATAAGTCCATTTGATCATAGTAAACGTCAATACTAGGCTTTGTAATAGTTAATGATGATTCAATATTCAATTTTTTATTTGCTTGAAGCGAATCAATTGTTCCCTCACTAATCTCCAAAAGTATTTCAAGAAGCTCCATTGGCTCAAAAGTACATTCCAAAGCAGCTGAAGGAATTTCAATTGATTTGTCACCTTTATGAAATAATTTATATGATGTTAAAAAAAACAGTAAATCCATAAGAGTTTTGTCATCGAAGCGTAAAATATGCTTATTGGTTATTAATGTTTGAAAATTTGCAACTTGAAACTTAATGTCTCGATATGTCATATTAAAATCCTCTAATTTAATATCTAAACTTGAGAAAATCTCGAAGAAACATTCACTGAATTGAAGTATCTCGCTATTTTTCAGTATGTTTGATTGTCGCTTATCATTTCCAAATTCCTTTTTGAATAGCATTAATGTATCTATGGGCAATGACATCTTTCCTAATGATAATGAAAGATCAAAATTTCCAACTTTTAGAGACAATTTGTTGGGCACATCATTCATGCAACTCAAGATCGTATCGCAAGTAATACAAAACTCCACATTCCTAATAAATTTGTAATGGTTCAATTCACCCGACAGCTCCTTCTTTTGAACATAACCATTGATAATCGTTATCACGAATCGACTCTTCTCTTCCAAACCAAAGATACTTTCAAGTCTGGCATAATCAAAGAATGCTTTTATCAGATCATCCATCCCTTGGACGTATATCGCTGTTCTATAAAGATGTAAATTAAAACGATTGAGTATTCTTCGTTTGAAGAGTATTTCGTATAATCTGTTCGGTATGCAAAATGTCAAAATTTTTGAAATATCTGACTCAGACATACTATTTCCACTAGTTCTTTCATCCTTCTCATGTACTTCCGGAGCTAATTCAATTGCCCTTATTTCCATGTCATAGAGCTCAAGGTTAAATAATTTCAACGGAGAATCTCTGCTTCTGAATGCATTAATTGTAAACTTAACTTTCCGTATATAAATTTCACCCCCATTTGTTCCTATAGTAACATGTTTAATAGCCAACCATCCCAATGCCTTGACGGTTATATTAGGAATCTTATTTATAATAAATAAGATTCCCAAGTACAACCCTATCAAGACGATTAACGGATAATAAAAAACTGATATTTCACCGATAAGCATTTTATAAATGGATTAGTAGGGTATATACTAATCAAATATTGCGATCCGAAATGTTGATTAATTCATATACTTTATTGAAGTGTAAACCATTCGAAATATATCTGCAATTCATGGCATTAATATCCTCATATAAGATTTCTGTCAATTCGCACAGTTATCCCGCAAATTCAAATTTCTTAGGTGAAGAGCATTAAAACTATGCATGTTCCATAGGAAGCATTCAACATTATTTTGTAGATCCGAAGATAGCGAGTTCTTCCATACTTAAGCGTCAGACATTCTTTATTGTTTAATATCCTCCGCCACGATTAATATATAGCACTGCAAAATACCCTTTTGAAAATACCGAATATCTATCCAATTGTCCTGTATATTTTTCCAGCTTCTATTGTAGAAGTTTTAGATACGACAAAAATTACGACTTTCAGCTTGTTCTGCATTAAGTAGTAGAAAGCTGTTCTATATATATATATATATATTCGTCATGCGATTTTAGCGCCATCTAACTCATTAGAAAGGCTGATATTCCAAAGATGCATGCGGCCGCATTGTCGCATCTCGTTTCTTACACTTTAGATATCTTTTTATGTAGATGAAGATAACCTACTGGGCCCCAGAAGATAGAGGTGTGCTTCTAATCACCAATATGCTTCTGTCTGTCACTTGGTCTGGCTCGTAAAACAAAACTAGATAAAGAGAAATATACAAAGATGCTTTGAGAAGAGGCAAGGCTGCACTTGTAGAAAAGAAAGATCCAAATACTACAAGAATTGGAATCTGCAACTACAACCTGGGACTTGCATGTTTGATAGTGGAATTTTGCTTTATGAAAACTTTCACTAAATCATCAGTCTTTTGTACCTAACTCAAGTGAATAAGCTAAATTATAAATGATCTACATACATATTTTCATCATTTATTTCACAGAACTATAGTGCATAACCATTCATTTCGCATTCAACCGGTTTCAAAAATATATCAAATTCGTCATGTTATTTTTCATACATATATAATCTATTGATTCTCCTCATATAGTTGCAATCTAATTTTCAATAGCAAAAGTGTATCTACTGCAATTGAAAGGACTGCAAGGCTTGATATCAAAATTCCAAAGGATCGTATGAGTTTGGAATCGGAAAGCATACATTCCGTGACCCCGGATGAATTGACTTTCATAGCGAATTCGCTAATATTTAAATATATAGAGGTCAACGTGAACGTAATGAAATCTTATAGCTTACCAAAAGCTAAATAATTTGCAATTCTATGTTCCATATTTTTTTGACAAAACCATAAGATTTTGAACTTGATTGTGGATATGGGAACAGTCAGTACTTAGTTAGCGATTCTTTTAGTTTTATGCTTCAAGTCTTATATGTGGTGCCTTGAATTTTTACATATACACTCATCCCTTATTCTCCCAGAATACTCCAACCGCAAAATTCCAATCGGACAATGTTCCAGATGCTGCACAAGCCAATGATCGCATAAAAAAATCTCCAAGGTGTCAGCAATAAATTCATACGTAAATATGAGGCTGTATAGTTTTCTACAAACATGTCATGCATATCTCGGAACTATAGAACTTAACCATTTACTTCGAAATTGAGCGAGATATGCAGGTGTTTTTTACGTTCTATATATAAGTACATCATATCCAGTGAGCCTTTACAAATTGAGAGTTGTAGTTACAACTAACTCTTCATAATGTCACTTCCTCTGGCACATAACAGGAAATTATTTTACGATGTTAAGAATGAGGGCAGGGATGCCTTCATAGAAAAAAAGGATCAAAAGATCAAATGTATTCCAATCTGCAATTGCAATTGCAACCTGGGAAAAGACTTAATAATATTTACATCTGGCGAAACGATTGATGCATATACAAAAGCGACCCAAATATCTAAACGTTCAGAAAATTTTGATCATTTTTTGGAAATTCAACGTCGGGGTTTGGCTATGCCCTTACTTGAAATGAAATTTCGCACTAGAAGTAAATTTGGTAGCAAAAAACTCTTCACTGTAAACAAGTTCACACCACCACCTACCGATAAACGAAGATTGTTTAACAGAAATAAAGATAAGTTCAATTTCTGTACAATTTTTAAAGATTCGAAAAAGGATTATGACAGGTATACTTTCAAATTTGAACCTAATTCTCAGGATCTGTCAGAGAATTTCGAAACATACCTTTTCATGCATCACAATATAGCTATATCTGATGTACCAAAGACTGGAAAACTTAATGAGAGATTTAGGTGGACTCGAACTTATAAAAACAGGAATCTGCCTTATACATATACTTTATGTATGTTGGCTGCTGAGCAGCCATCCATGGTAGATAACATGGATTCTACGAATATAGAATTGGACCCTCAAAACGTATTTTTCACATTACCACCAGACCAACACATGAATCTTGGTTCACCTCATGTAATTGCAAACCTAATACATTTAAGCTACAGTCGTGCGCCATATGCTATTCAAAGGACTGCAAGGCTTGATATCAAGATACCAAAGGATCGTAGAAATTTGGAATCGGAGAGCATAAATTCTGTTACAATGGATGAGCTAATTCTCATAACAAATTCGGTCATATTCAAGTATTTCGAAGAAACCAATAGAACTTTCAAACAAGCCCTAGAAAACCTTGCTAATTGTAATTTTATGTCTTTTGGGACGTATGCTTAATACATAAATCTTAAGTGAAGATGATATTTCTCTACCCCAAATGTACCCCAATTTAATATACAGTCCATAAATTAAAGATCAACGATTCCGTCATGCTTCTAAGCCTACATCCTAAAAACTCCTGCATTAGGGTATGCAAGTTGAAAGGATCCATGACTATCTGAAATGATAACAAATAGAGAATAAGACAATTTTAACCACTTGTTCTTGGTATACAGTGTATAAATGTTCAGAAAATAGGCCCAATAAACGTACATTCAAATTCGAACCAGATACGTCAGTACACATCTATATATTGATAAACTAGACTACTTGTACTCTGCATGCAGCATAATAAACAGTATATTATGTATTCTCAACTCATTTTTGAAATACTATTAAAGAGTACATCCAGTGGTCATATGTCCAAATATATCATTTTTATTGCCCTGACTTGTCTTAATGCATATCATGGGTGCATTTCTCTACAACCGATGTTTCTTTCGAGGATGAAGTTTTTCTACACTTTAACTTAGCTTCGTCATATACACTCCAATACTCCTATCATTTGCATGAAGCATGACATATGTCCGTACATTCGCTCCATCATGGAATTGGTAGTATAATTCTCCTGATGCTAACAACATTCAATAGTTTTCTATGGAAACATTATTACTCAATCATAATTGTTACATTATAAAATGGAGAAGGTTGACTACATACATCTAAACACAGATGAGATAAATAGCTCTTGTTATAAAACTATTATGATCTGTAGCTTTAACTTGGGTAAGGATTTAATCATCTTTTCATCTGACAATTCCATGAAGGACTACTGTGAAGCTGAAAAATTTCAAAAGGGAAGGGAAGAATATAATCTGATTTTGCAGAAGCAATATAACGGACAAGCTATGCCTTTGATTGGGGTGAAATTTAGTACAAAAAAAGGGGTTGGTTTTAAAAAGCTCGTCACTATTTATAAATCCATACCTATACCCTGGGAATCAATTAGACTATTCGATCAAAAGAAAGATAGGCACACTTTCTGCACTGTTTACAAAAGTTCTTGTAAAAAGCATAAAAAATATACGTTTAAATTTGAACCAGACCCTCAAGACCTGTCTAAAAACTTCGAAACTTGCTTGTTTTATCCCAAAAAGGCTCATATTGGAGATATACCAAGAATCAGAAAATAGGAGGGTAATTTTAGGTGGATACTAACTAACAAATACCCAAAACAAAGATTTACTTACTCATTCTTCAAGTTAGATGATTGACAGCTTTCAATGACTGATAACATGGACATTTCGAAAATGGAATTAGATCCCAAAAATGACTTGATAAAGAACAGACCATGGATGGGTAAAAATCTTCACTCATCTAATGAAATAGCTATATTGGTGCATTTGTTTGATAATCAAGGGACATTTAATATTCACCGTGCTGCTTTCTTGAGGATGTACAAGTCCTGTTATCGGAATGGTTTAGAATCCGACAGCATTAAATCGCTTTCTATGAAAGAATTAATTTTCAAATGTACATCCTTTGTTCCAAAATATTCATCGGAAAAGAATACTAAGATGAACGACACAATTCAAATTTTGAATAAAACACACTATACTTTAACCCTAGTCGTTTAAAAATAATATGCTTATTTATATAATATAGTTTCATGAAATGTTGTAAAGTCCTGCTGAATAACATAAGTTTTAAATGCTATTCTTAAGTCTCAATCAGAGTAAGCTTTATATGTTGGCTACAACCAACAATCTTCTGTTCATCATTTTCAAAGTTTTCGAGTATTCTGTATAATAATAGTCCTTTCATATGGTAAACGTGGAAAATAGATCCTATAGATCACTCATTTCCATATCACTTATAATTCAGAACTTAAGCTCAAAGCTTCACTCAGATAGACTACAGCTTCAAAAATTATAATTGTGCTTCCTAAACCTGATTACTAGTATTTGAAGTTGAAAATCAGCAGAGACACTATATACGCAAAATATTCTCCCTTCAATTAAAAGCCCTGTCAGTAAAAAAAATCCCCTTCTATTTATTGACTTTCACATTCACTAATTAAAAATCTCAAAATAGAAATAATCATTCTGCTACAAAACCAAGATTCTACAACATGCACAATGTTCCTTACAACTTATATGCCATTCTTACTTCTCTACAAATAGATCTAGATTATGGATATTCACTCTACATTCATTTGTAACTTTCTCCTTGCATATTTTATAACTAAATTTCATACTTAGCTACTTCCTACTCATATGTATATTACTACTAAGTGGATTTTTCATTCAGGTTTGCTACTATTAAATTCATGAATTAACAATTCAGTATATTTTCTTATACATATATTTCTAAATCCTTTGTGCTTTTGTTCCTAGCCTAATTTTGAATACGTTTAACGACTGCAACCTATTGTAGATGCGATAAAACCGACCAAGACAAATAAGCCCTCAAAATACTACGTTAAGCCACATTGTCATATAGAACAAGTGGAGACTAATGTTTGAACAGAGAAATAAACCCTGAACTAATGAAATTAACAAGTACAATATTTGACGAAAATAAGCATTCCCTATTCAAGTAATTATAGAGCTGCTGCAAATTCGGGGAAGAGAGTTTTAGCTGGTCGTGTCCGTATCATTTCAATATTACTGAAGAAAATTTCCTAATTAGTTAAATGGTCAACTTTATTTGTTTACCGAATCAGGAAATTTTTGCACCTCATAGATTTTGTCTATAATAGAAATATACGATATTTCGAAACAATGCCTAAAATAGGCAATAAATAGATATACTTTTTTGGTAAACACTTATTATAGTAATAGAATGTGAAATTAGAAGAAAGTTTGTAAAATTCTTTCAATTGTAACTTGATATAAATAGGTACCAAAAGTATTCGATGTTGGTAAATTGAAAAAGCCTCATTCAAAGACCTTTAATTTTCAAGGAAGAAAATAAACTTTAGGGATAACTGAACACTACTCGCTTTACAATGAAATTATCAACTACTTCTGCTGCATTGATCTTAGCATTCACTGCATCCATTAACGCAGCTCCAGCTGGTACTCCAACCACAACCACTCTTAGCAAGAGAGATGCTGAAAACATCGGAAAGGCTATTGCTTTGTTGAATGACTACAATGCTAAGAGAGAAACAAGTCCATCTTACCAATTAGATGAAAGAGATTACCCTATTGTCACCACTGTTTTAGGTTACATTAAGGACACAGATCTTTCCTCCAAGATTCTTTTATACTTCGTTACTAACGATTACTTTGCTCCAATTGTCAAGGATACAATTATTAAACTTATTAAGAACGGTACCATTAACTTGACTACCTTATTCACTTCATTGAACAATTCAGGTTTAGCTGCTCAGGTCATTGAAGATCTTATCAACGATTGTAACTTCTACGGTGAAATTTACAAATTAGCTGGCTCTTACATCAGTGACTTATTCGACAAGATCAAGAGCAAGATTTCTAGCATTGGTAGCAAGAGAGAAACCATCGAAGAAAGAGCATTGACTACTGCTTCCCAAATTCCAGACAGTGAGACTGACGACTCAGTTCTTACTGAATTAATGGAATCATTAAAGAAATCTGGTTTAGGTACTCAAGTTGTTTCTGAATTAATTGTGAACAAAGACTTTTTATCATTCGGTGCTGAATTGATTAAGGGCTTAATCGACCAAAAGGCTATCACTTTAGGTGAATTAGTTGATGCTATCAAGGATTCTGGATTAGTTCCATCATTATTCAAGCAATTCTTTACTCTCGACACATTGAAGACTGTTACAGTTAACGCTTTAGCTGCTGCTTTCAATAAGTGTGGTGGTAGTAGTGCCACTGCTACTGCTACTTCCGATTCCGGTTCTGAAACTTCCGCTTCTGCAACCACGGGTACTTCTACTTCTACTTCTACTGGTGGAAGCACTAATCCAACCTGTAAGAAGAGAAAGAGATCTTATTACTAGATTTTGAATTGCTACATTGTACATTCCAATATGGTTATCCATCCAAAAAATTAAATTTTATTACTACCCAAACGTTAAATTACTGTGTCTCATCATGCTATCTGGATTTATATTTATTTTACATATTAATACTCTTCATTATTTTAAAGAGTGGAACTGATTTTTTTTTGTTAGGATGAGCTTTTTAATGTTGCCGGTCAGCTTATTAAGCAATAACTAACATTCTGGATTTGATCTGCTTGTTTTCTTCTTTGCTGCGTTAGCTTCTTTTTTAAACAATTTTCGTTATCCCTTTAGTTATGATTCAGTAAATCTAATAATATGTTTTTTCAAATTATCGCACTTTTCTGAATAATTCGCAATTTTGCAAATCTATCAAAGCATGCTTAATTATGGATCAAGTTCACAGGCTTTGCAGTATGAAATTTTTATATCTCTAGTTTATAAAATTGAAGCAGCAACAAGTACTGTTAATTTACTATGTATATACAGTTCTTAAATATTTAGAAAATTCTCTCATATCAGTGATCTTTATCACTGTAGACATAGAATCTCCAATTATCTTTGGTTAATTTCGAATTTGTTTAACCTCTTCTTTAGACCCAATCGATTAATTAAGCAATTTTATTTTTCTTTCCAATGTCCATAATTATTTGTTAATGACTGCTTTGAAATTTTGAAAGTTGGACCAATACAAATAAAATATTATGTATATGTTCATTTACGATAAGGTATAAATTGTAAGGAAACCGGGGACCGATATAGTAATTAATTATGTATACTTTGTATGTACGTTCTATTGACCTTAT